GAATCTAGTTTCATATTTCAAATATTCATAGCACACAATATTCTTGAAAATCAGTGAAATAATCAAAAACGGCCGGCAGTCAATGAGTTAATGTCTTGTGTGTATTTTATTCATTCAAATTATAGAGATTGCCTGCATGCCTTTTATCCATGTTTTTTGCGCACCATGAGTCAAAGCAAACTCCTAATTTCTGACTTCCTGTTACTTACAGTGATATTAAACTTAATTCTGATTCTGATTAGAATTGTTTTATCAGTGATTGCTAGATAAAATATTTAATAATACATGAAACTCATTACTTTGTGTAGAATATATTTCAGTCTGTAGATTTCTTATTCATCATTGAAGAATAAAAGGGGGTCTATGTCAGCCTTATCTTTATAAACGAGCCAACGACTGAAAATAATTTAAGAACGAGAATAAACTTTACAGATATTTGAGCTCTCAGACTTGTATCCGGTGGAAATAACTGCGTAAGTTTAGAGTTGTGTGGAGGGGCAGTGAATGGATGAGGTCGAGCAGTGTTGAAATGAGAGATAGAGGAATGTGAGTGTGACTGTTGTGTAAGAGATGTGCACTCGTCAGTTTGAGACGGGGCAGGTGACGGCCCCCGGGGCAGCAGCAGGTCAGAGGCTGGAGGCCTGCGAATACTTCAGATAGTGACAGGGCACCTTTTGTCCCCACTGGTAATGGTGGTATAATAATGTAATAACCTAATAGGACATCCCAGACACTTTTGAGGCATTATACAATCACTCAAAATGCCTTCAGGTTGATGAAATACTGCAGTTGCCACAGCTGCCCTGGGATAGAAAGCCAGTCCATGCCATTGGCCCAATGACTCACACACATATTTATACACATTAGTCCTCTATAGCCATGGCAATTAACAATTTCATAGCAAAATATTAAACGTTTAAATAGAAATTCTCGCACCCCTGAATCCCATACACAGACATCTTCCCTAATTGGGTCTGCACTCTGAAGTATTGCGCTTACATATTAGGCTACTAGCTTGATGTCCCACCCTCCACCGTTTTACCAATCAGAAAGGCTGTGATCCGGGTTTCCAAAACTCACAGCATCACGCTAATCTCACTGGTAAAGTACCATGTGCCCGCAGAACCAAAAACGCTCTCGTTATGATTCTCAAATCATTAACGACAAAACAAGGATTTCTATCGGGGCCTTTGTGAAAAAGGTGTTGGTTATAGATTTGTTGTTAACCAAACTCTTGTCTATTCAGATTATATGGTCCCAGCTGGATTTGTCTGCATATCTGGCAACCTGAGTCTGGGAGAGTGCAGTACCACTTTTGGCCAGATTTTTACATACTGCTCCTTTAACAAAACCGTGCCAACACAAATCAGAGAATCAAACAGTTCAAACACACAAGAAATGCAATAATACAAAACACATAGAGGCATTGGTCCATAAGGGGCAGATGACCAATGTCCAGTAATGTATGTATTATATGTTTATTTGATAGAGACTGAACAAAAAGTATAGCTACAGGCAAGGGCGTAGGTTTGCGTGGGGACCATGGGGACATGTCCCCACCAATATTTGGTGAGGACTAAAAAGTCCCCACCAAAATGACATGATGTCCCGTGACCCGGACGGTCCGGGACACATGTCTTCCGTTTGTGCACACGTCGCGCCTCCTCCTCGCCTCCAGAGTGTCACTCCCGTCTTCGTCCCGGAAACCGGATTCGTCCGGAAGTTCAGTTTGATCCAATGAGCAAACGCAGCAGTAGATTACGTCACGGAATCTGGACGGAAGCGGAAGTAAATATAAAAAACTACCTATTCATGCCTAAACTTAACCAGCCATTCCCATAAAATAACCCCAACCCACCCTTAACCCTAAACTTAACCATCTTAATCAGACGCCTAAACTTAACCAGTCACCACTTAAGGACATATTAAACTTTTTGACATGCGCAAACTGAACTTCCGGACGAATCCGGTTTCCGGGACGAATACGGGAGTGACACAGAGCAACAGCAGCAGCAGCAGCACGTGACCCGTTCCGTTCTCTGCAGTGATTGGCTGTCTTCTTCAGCGCCAAACTGAAGCACTGTTTAAAACTGAAGCGACTGTTTAATTTTTAAAAGTTAGCCAGCGTGAAGCAAGTGTTTTTTTTCGTTCCCTGAGCGTTGTAGCACGTGAGTAATCAGAGGAAAGTACTGTAGATCTATTACCATTCAAAGTACTTACGTTATTTCTAATCTGTCAGCGCACTGTTTAATGTTCCGAGGAGCTCACACGGCACAGAGACAGAACAGAACTGGCTCCAATAAAGAAACAGGTTGGTTGAAAGGCTGAGAAAATACTTATTGTGCTCTTACTATCCAAAATGTATAAGTGGGTGTGTTGTGTGAATCAGGATAAACTAGGGATGAAAATATTCCACGGATCCACGATTTACAACCTTTATCTGCTGATAATGTGATTTCTGTGAAATGTGTGACAGCGGGCACTTGCTGTTATTTGCTCTAAGCACATTCAAGCGATGCACTCGAATGTGCACGTCCTGGTGCAGCTGCTGCCGCTTTGTAATGACAGCCGCGGCGCTCAGTGAAAGCACAGCTCTAACATGGTACCGAGCTCGGACCATATGCAGACAGAACCATGTTGCAAGTGCGGGTCTCCCTCGTATCTCCCCCGTTTCTCCCCTGTGTCTCTGACATGTCTCTCCCCTGACTCTTCCCAAAGCGCAACCAGCGCTCCCGAAATTAAAGCTCGGATACCTGAATTTTCCATTGCGTTAACGATGCATGCTGGTTGTGCGCAAAACACACCACAACAGGTCATTAAAGTTTTTATTTTGCATACTTGAGAGCCCTGTGAGTCATTACTTGCCTTTTTGGGTTGAGAGTGGAATAAAAAAAAGAAAATATAGAAAAATCCACACTGTTACTTATTGCCAAACTCTTCTTAACTCATTGTATTGAGAAATACTATGTAACTTTTGACATTGGCCAAGTTATATAAATGATTCTGCAGTTCATGTATATGAATGTCTGTTTTTGATTGTCTATACCTTCTTATATAATTTAGAAAAAATGCCACCTCCACAAAAAAAGATAAAAGATATCAGGAGCTTTTTTAACAGTTGGAAAGTAAGTAAGAGAAAGCACAAGTAATAGCAAATTATGAATTGTGATGATTAATCTTCTGTTAACATACATAGGAAACTCAACCAACAAGAGAGAACAATATAGGGAATGTTGAGGTAGAAGCAACAGGCCCTTCAGTGCATCAGGCGAGGTTGGAATTTTGTAGGTATGCATGGGACTATGAATTGTTTTTAGAGATTGATCGTATGTCAAACAATGTAGTGAGCTACTCACTGTAGATTCTAATTCAATATTTTCTCCTCTGTTTTTATTTATTATAGGAAATTGAAAGATCAGAGCATGATTTATTTCAAGTATCGAGAGCAGTTCCTGAACTGTTAGAGCCTCAGGTGAGGGCTATTAAGTAGATTTGGATTAGGTTTAAGTCAGTATAGAATCATACTAAAGTTAAAGAACATCATTTGGTTGGAAATTACCTATGCCAATTACAACATATTTTACTACTATAATGATGCAAAAAGTGTTGTCTGAAATCTTTTACTAAATATAGGACACTCTGAGCGATATAATGGAAATTCAAGAAGGAGATAAAGACAAGGACAAGACAGGACTCCAGGTGAGGTTAGGATTAAGCAGTTAAAATCTTAGACCCATCAACCAATTCTAGTTTCATGAGATATTTAGCGACTGGTGTACCATGCCTAGGTTTCATTTTATTCAATGTAGAATGTGTGTTTTTATTAATACCATAAAGGAAAGTCAGACAAACAGGGAATGTGCAGTGCTGGTAGAGGATGAGGAAGTGGCTGGACCTTCAGGGCTTCAGGTGAGGTTGAAAGTATTTATTTGGTTTTGTTGGTGGTTTTATTTTGTATATGCTTAGATCTGATTTGTTTATGCACTACATGTGTTTTATTTATTATAGGGAACTCAGGTATTCAGGGAAGATGTAGTGCAGGCAGATATCGAAGCTGGACTTCAGGTGAGGCTGGAATTATGAAGATAAAATATGGGATTTTTTAAAGTTTCATAACAGTGTATTTGCTATTTAGGAGGCAGCCAATGAGAGTCACTCACAAGAAAGTGCCAGGGACAGAATATTTGAGATAGGTTGTAAACCATATCAGCCTGATCCTGAATACAGGATATATTTACTATCTTATTTACTATAAACATTTAAGCCATCTTGTGGACAAAGTTAGAATGAATGCAACACAAAACTCAGAAGCTCTGATCCAATTGATTTTGTTTTAACTATTAGAAAAAATCCTTAACTGCTTCTCATTCAGTCTACAGCTGAGTTTAGTATAGAAGGCAACACACTATTGCAAATATAGTGTGTGATTACACAACAAATTCTGGGGGAGAAACTCTGGACCCCGTGTCAATGGGTGTAGACTCAGGTCGTAGTGAATGTCCCCACCAAGATTGGAACCAAACCTACACCATTGGCTACAGGTAACTGATGTCATGTTCATAGGAAACGGCTAATTTGCAGACCTGGTCCCAAATGTCCCTAAATGTTGTTGAATGTAATTAAAAATGAATGGCGTTGAGACGAACTTTTACTTTGTGTCTTAAATCTGCGTGGGATATTGTTGTTGAGAGATGCAAAGAGCGACTCCCTTGGTATTTCTCGAAATGCACAACATTGCTCTGGCTGTCTGGGGGAATGTGACGAGTTGGTACCACCACAACTGCGATTGTTTTCTCACGGGAAAACAGTCCAGAACCCAGCATGCGTTTAGTGCACACGTGTAACTTTGGTCTTGTCCAGTTTTGTATATTCTGCTGAAAACGGGCCTTCTGCGAGCTCAACCAAATAACGTGACGCAAACAGTGAGTTGTTTTACTTTCCCTTGGTGCTCCTCATGGTCATGTTTACAGTTTGGAAGTGTCTTTTTGCACACTCGGCTCATGAGCGTGTCCAGTGTGTGCGTAAAGCTGAGAGCAGGGTGTGTGGGAGGAGAGGGAGGGGGAGTTGTGTGCTGGGTCTGTGGGAGAAGGGGGGGGGGTCTGGGCGGGTTTGGAGCATGGTTTGGAGACATTGCACGCGTCACTCACGCACTTTCAGCTGTTGGCACGCGCTCTGCTCCAGGCGAGGTCCACTCACTGCTGCTTCTGTGCGTGCGGCAGTGTTCTCGCAAAGCTCTGTCCATGAGTTGTGTGCAGAGCCGTGGACTGGGGGCTGGTCGGGATGTAGACTTGGAGCGCTGAAGGACTTGTGGCTGGGGCATGTTGGGTCCGATCCTGTGGGCTATGGTGAAGATGAGTCTGCGTGTGTGGACGGCGCACACGCTCACAGCTCTGCTCTTCTGCTGCGCTGCGGCTCAGTACTCCAGCGACCAGTGCAACTGGAGAGGAAGGTGAGCCAGACGTTTACAACTTGTTCCTGATGAGACTTATAAGGTGTTCTGTTTAATGAGAACAACAATGGACGGAATCAACAGAATAGTTTCTGTTGTGTTTTAGTTCATCTTTTATAATGTGATTCATCATTGTCATGTACTTTATAATACTTTATAATTGTCTGTTCTGAACCATTTCAAATACAACAACGAAAAGTGTTCCCAAACATGTTGATTTATTATACTACATCTGTGTTTCTTAAAAACAGATATAATGGTATAGGCCTACTCGCCAAATTCTTAGGTGGTACTTTACTTACTAAAGGTGGTTCTTACTTTACTAAAGATTAGTCTGTACATTAAACAAAATGTATCACTGATGTACCCAAGTAAAAAAAAGAAAACTCTACTATTGAGACCCAATCATTTTTTCTTTTCTCTTCTTTGTCCAGTCTATAATTACACAATAAAAAAAATATCTGTGTTTGCAGTGGTTTGAGCCATGAGCGGCACCGGCGTGATGTGGAGCAGGTGTATCTCCGCTGCTCACAGGGCTCTCTGCAGTGGCTCTATCCCACAGGAGCCATCATCCTAAACCTACACCCAAACTCTGAACCCCTGTCCAGCGGCGAGGCCAGAGGTCACGCATGCATCAAACCCCGCACTGACTCACAGGTACTACAGTACAGTATACAAACTAATAGTTACAACAAATTATACCTTAAAGCATTTCTTTGACTTTGGCACTAAAATAAACGCCTTATTTGTTTTTGCAAGAGAACTATTCATACATACAGATCTCTATTTATGATAGCTTCTTATTGATAAACCAACAGTAACATGCTATTAATAATATATGAGTTGCAAAGCCACTGCTCCTTTTAGCTCCCACTTTGCTTTATTTCTTACACCACAGGCATTTTTCAGATTTTCGAAAAGGTGAAAAAGATTATTGTAAAATATAGAATAGTAGAAGTGATTTTTTAAAAGTACATTTGTGGAAATTTGCTACCAAAGTAAACAGATTAGTGTTCTTAATAACTTCGGCAAGTATTGTGTTAGGGAATACTCAAACTAAAGGGTTTGAAATGACCTATTCTATTGTGTTTTGGTATGATGTGACTAAACCTGCACTTAAACTTGCAAGTTCTTTAAAAGGCTGTTAAAAAAAAAAAAGACCACACGATTGAGAATCCAACCTAAGACGCTCTGTTTCTTCTAAGGGGTCTCACATATATCTGGAGCGAGCGGGTGATCTGAAGTTGCTGCTGTCAGAAGAGCAACAGGCTCAGGGTGTGGTGCACTGCTTCAGCCTGACAGAGGGGGCGCTGTTTGTGGAGGCGGCCACGCACTCAGACATCAGCCGCAGGATCACGGCCTTTCAGTATGAGCTGCTGAGCGGACACCCAGGGACGCACATGATCCCCTACCTGCTCCAGGGGCCCGGTGAGTGCAGCTCCACTCCAGTTGTTTTATTTGAACATACAAACTCATGTACATTCAATCATTTTTGAGCTGTTTATATGCTTTACACATGAGATGCCATTGCTCTCCAATCAGTCCTCTGTCCAGTACCACCTAATACTTTTCTGAAACAGTGATATGTGGAGGCCACTTTTAGTGGCCCCTGAATTGATTTTTAATTGATGGTAATATGTTATATGTCTACCATGACATGTTATACCTTATGTTGGAGCCAGTGATACACATGTGATGTAGTGTGGAGGCATACATCTTTTGACCATCATCATTTACCCTCGTAAATCCCCTAGGGGTGGGAACCTAAGGGTACCTCACGATACGATACGATACGCGATACAAAGCTCACGATAACGATATTATCACGATAACAATATTATCACGATAACGATATCACAATAACGATTTTATCACGATTTGACGATATCACGATAACGATTTTATCACGATTTGACGATTATCGATATATTGGTCAGAAATATACAATATGCCAATTTATGCCATAAATAAAAGAAAAAATAGACTTTATTTCATGATAAATGGAAAGGAGATGCGTAATGTAGCCATATATTAAGTATTGATACCAATTTTTTTTTTTTATTGTAAAAAAATCGATATTGATACATGGCAAATGCATATCGATTATCGAATCGCGGGAGAAAGTATCGCGATATATTGATATATTGTCACACCCCTAAAATCCCAAAAAAACGTATTCACTCAAGAAAACAATCATTTGTTTTAATGTATTCTGAAATTAGAACCCAACACGTAATTATGGTTAAATAGGTCTAATAATCTTTCATACTCTTCTGAAAATTCTACCAGATTAGAAGTGGATAGCACTCTTGCCTCTCAGCAAGAAGGTCCTGGGTTCGAATCCTGGTCGGACCAGGGCCTTTCTGTAGTGATGGCAATATGAAGCCCCATGAAGCCTTGAGGGATAGCAGCCTATTACTCGGCCCATGAGTCGAAGGCTCAAGGTGAATCATGCTCCACTACGCTATCATGTGGACAAAGAAATACATAACACTCTTAAGTGCTTACAATGAATGGTGAGATCTAATGTTAAAATGTATATTTACAATCTATGGTCTAACGTGTTGTGTTTGAAATGATGCTTCATGAACTGTGAACTATTTGAGTCTTTCAGTCAATTGTGTTGATACAACAAACACATCCAAAGTAATACAGTTCTACAGAAAGTGATTAATGGAGGAAAAACTACCAAGAGGTGGATTAATTAAACACAACAAACCATTTATTCCCAATAAATAAATACATTTACTTTGCAACACAAAATTTATTATGGGTAGACCGGGATTCGAACGCTATATCTTCTGCTTCGGAGTCCGTCATATACCGACTGCGCCACACAGCTGTTGTGAAATGTATTATCCAGCGTATTATTACTAATAACTTGAAGCCTTGATATATGAGGTTTTACTAAAGTGAAACGTTTTTAATTGTATTTCATATGAAGTAGTTTCTCTATACTTAGTACAGGACTGCTCCACATCACGCACACACACGTACGCACACACACACACGTACGCACACAGAGGCAGACGGGGACAGCCAATACAGTCTATGGTACAGCCGCGGATCACAAAGCACCTGTCAAAGCAATGCACTCTCCGAACTATATGAAGCACTATATGAACCGTCACGTGGTGCGGCCGCTACGCGAGGCTTCGAACGTCACCAACACACGTGACCAGAGCTGGTGCTTGCCTTGTTGGGGCCCTAAGCAGAAGTCAGCATAGGGGCCCTATACACCTAACTCAAGAAACCATAAAAATTAAAGCAAGCATAAGTTCCATTACACATATATATTACAAATAAATAATTCACAGTAATCAAGCGATATAAGACTTGATTAGTGATGGATTCAACCGAAGATAAAAATACATTTGAACTTTTCACACACGATTAAAGATATGATAAGTAAGACTTTATTGATCTCACTCAGGAGAAATGTTCATGTCACATTTGGCACGTATAGAATAAATTGTGTACATAAGACAAGAGTACAAACATGTTAAAATACAAAAATAAACAAAATACAAATATTAGCTATTATATATATATATATATATATATATATATATATATATATATATATATAAAAAAATAACTAGTTTAATTATTATCACCACTAGTATTAATATATTACCTTAATATTAATATTAGTAGCGCATTATACAAACACTGTTAGTATTATGTCTAAATTACAAATGTAACAAAATACTTCCGATTATCAAAGGAAGCACGTTTATTTTGAAGGTGTCCACCTTAACCACAACAAAGAGCTTGACTGACTAAGTTGTTTTGGGACTCGTTAAAAGTAGAAATAAAACATGTCAGACACAATATTAAACTTTCTTTGCAGACAGTCAATGCGTCGGGTCGGGAACCACACGTTTTTTTACCCGTCTGTTGTTCCCGCAGTTTGCTGTATTTTTTCCTTTTTTCATCACTCTGCTTCAGCGTCTCTGCCTCTGCTGTGGCTGTGCGACTGACAACAACAAGGGGGAGGGAGGGGAGGGTTGAAAGTACGACGTAAGGACGTAACGTATGAGGATCATGGGAGACAGCAAGTGACAACTTTAACAACCAATCAAATGGGTGATTCCGGATATGAAGGGCCTCGTAACAGCACGAGTGAGAGCCCCCGCACTCCGGGGCCCTTCCAGCTGCGGGGCCCTACGCATACTGCGTAGTCTGCGTATAGGAAGCGCCGGCTCTGCACGTGACCAATACACGCCTCGACCCACACTTCACAAGAAACGCCCCCAGATTACTCGGTCCACGCTTCGAAGACTCGGTCCGCTCAGCACATCACTACCTTTCTGAGTGGAGTTTGCATGTTCTCCCCGTGTCTGCGTAGGTTTCCTCCGGGTACTCCGGTTTCCCCTACCACTAAAAACATGTACTATAGGTCTGGCATGCGCCTCCTGTTCGGCGACCCCGCTCCCATCTCTGTGTGGAGTGAGAGACAAATGCCCCAAAAAATAATAACAATTGTAAACCGCTTTGTGACCCTTGTCTGTGAAAGGCGGTATATAAATAAACATTACTTACTTACTTACTATGTCTTTCCACTAAGAAAAAACACTTTAAATATCAAATGAATTTACGTCCCTTGACCAGCTAACACTATTTAAATTCAGTTTGACACCTCTGCAATAATTATTGCTTCACAACTTGTTCTGTGGTGGAGCGGAGCGTCTGTAAAGGCATTCCGCTGGACTGAATGAGGAAAGAGACAAGTTGTGCACAACTCACATATTTATTGAACTATAATTTTGTAGGGAACTCTGAAGTCTAGGTAACCACATAGTCACATTGTGCTTCCTTTAAGTTAATATAATAGGATTTATTGTTGTATGGGAGACTAAAGTAAAAACAGAATATACTGTTACATCCATAAGATTTCTTACCCCCAGTATCAGAAGATGTAAGAATTTGTGAAACAAATTCAATGTAACTCAGTATAACTATTAATGATATCAAACATGGGGACGATTAAATAAAGCAGATGTCTTGATAAATGATCATAGAGTTAAACTACCCCACAATCGCAAAAACTCAATAACTTCTACATGATGCCGTTTCTCTCCTCACACCTTCATGTTGCTTATCTGCCTCCTCACTCCCACACTTTCTTCTTAACTGAATCAGACACATGAAAACAAGCAGAGCAATCATTAGGTCACCCCGGGGTCACAGCACCAGCCCCTGCAATCATGCCCCAGCCGTCAATCAGGAGCCAAGACCCCCTGAAGCACTGCATTTTGGGAAGCCCACACAAAATGAGCTGGATGGGTGCAGTCAGAGGAAGCCTGGCTTATAGCCGTGAGACAGAAGAAAGTCTGTGTGTGTGTGTGTCTGGCACATTTTATGAGGGTTTTAAAGCTGTTTGGGTCAAAGGTCTGTCCTGCTCGCCCACCTGCTCTTCTCATTCACCGTCAGTTTGCTTTGAAGTGTCCTCAGACTCAAACTCTCCAATGAAGAGCTCATGGGACCAGAAGCAAATGAGTGTATATAGGGATGTGTTATAAGTTCCAGTCCAAATCCTTAGTCTGTTTGCATTTCTTCATAGATACATGCAAACCTTGTTCAGATGAAGAGGTCCTCATGGCCGTGTGCACCAGCGACTTTGGTAAGTGCTTGGCTTCAGTTCATTCAATCTAGATATCTGTCATTTTGGAGCATTGTGTGAGAATGTTTGTGTTTCCTCTTTCAAAAGTTTAGTGTACTTTCTACTTTTGTTATGATTTGAAAACAGCAGCACGTCCTAGCAGCTGCTGTTCTATCTATCCACAATATGCGTGAGTAAGTCTTCTCTTGTGTTTCAGTGGGCGTTGGAGTGTTTCACAGAGCTGCAGCAGGTTCTGACTCTCACACTGTGGCTGAGGTGGCTCTGAGTCGACTGCTGCGTCAGAAAAGTAGGTTGTTTGTGAGAGCTGGAGGCAGAGGGCGCAGCTGGACAGGCCGGGTCCATGTGCCCACACAGTGCCCCCTTCCTCCTCATCGAGACCAGTACCTTCTGACCGGGGCGGTTCACTTCGGAGAGGCCTGGCTCGGCTGTGCACCTCGATACAGAGACTTCAGGGCTCTGTATAAACGAGCTCATGACGAAGGGATCAACCCCTGTGAAATCAACATTTATTAATCAATATGGACAAGGACACAATAAAAACACTGGGGATGTGAGGACAGAGAAACAGCCCAGATTTGGTCTTAAAGCTTGTTATTGTCTCTCTGCTCTGAGAGAATGGACAGTAATTGTTTGATGTGAAAGCGAGAGACAAGAGTTTCTTGTGTTATTTGAAAATGAATGTTTGCTTTGTAAAAAGCTTTTATGTAAAGTAGAAGTCTTCTCTTGACAGAAGTTACATATGTAGCTCTGTGAGTCTACAGTTCTTAAATCTGTGTGGTTTTATAGAATAACATAAAAGATTATTGTTGAAAAATAACTTTCCTAATTGTGCTGTTTCTTTGTTGATGGTTTCCAGTGGAGCAGTATAAGGTGCAAACTGAGGTGACTGACCCTAAACTGTGTTGAGTCCTCAGGAAGAGAAAGAATGGGAGGAATGTCCCCTCCCACAAAACACACAGTGTTCTGCCGGTATAATAAGAGCTTTGGATCCAACCTTCTCAAAGAATATGGGAGAAATACTGGCAAAAAGAACCTTGATGATCTTTTATATAAAAAGTACAAGGATTGTGTTTTGTGCACACTCGTGTGTTTGTTGGGGTTAGTCCACGCGCCCTGCGCACGGTCCACATACAAACATAGCGCAGAAACCCAACCCGCAGACAACACACTGCACCCTGGCATCAGCCCAGGGCCCTCTGGCATGACATCCCCGCTAATTCAGGACACACTTATCCAGCACGGGAACTTCATGGTAACCTTTCACTGCTGCAATGTGGAGAAATGGAAACAGTTGAGAAGCACAGCTGCGAGTCAACTGGAGACCTGGGAATGGCTGAGCTCAGGGAAAAATGCACTTGTGCGTCTCTGTCCACATTTAACCAGCGATGGTATCCAATGGATGGGGTGGGGCAATGGTTTTATAGGCATATCACTGATATTAAGTCTATGGCCCTAGTTTAAAAGTTTGTAAATAGACATTTGTATTTCAATGATTCAAAAGGAGTTGAAACTCCCTCCTCAACAATTAAAAACTGTTTTTGAGTGGACTGCCCTCTTGTGGCTGTCTTACCGTAAAACATGGTTTAGATTACACAAGTTGACAGCCAAAAAATGGTCAGGGGTTTCTCAACTGATTTAGACTAATGTTGGTGTTCTGAGTCCGACTATCATTTTGCTCTATCAGGTCAACTTTTTGAGATACAGCCATAGTGTTACGGATTACTTACGTCTACGTTATTATGAATTCTGATTATCAAATTTGATGGCATAAATAAAAACTGAATGACTTTGGATACGTTGACTTTTATTTCTTGAGGAAAACGGAAAAAATGTCAAGGGTTTCTCAGCTGATGATCCGCAGAAATTTGTTTTTTACTCAAAATCGATTAAAAAAAATATTTCTGTAGCAAAAAATCTTGACCTGATTGAGCAAAACCAAGATCATTTTCTGATTCAGAGCATCAAAATTAGTCTAATTCAGCTGAAAAACCCTGGACTATTTTCAAAAAATATATTTTTGTTACCCAGTGTATAGTCCAGGCAAATTATCTGATTTTGATCTTAAAATGAATGAATTGTAAAATGTTTCACCATGACAAATTTCTATGAGGTGGCTATCAATTAGAAAGCTATTAGGGCCTCTGTTCTGTAACAGAGGCCCTTCAGTCATTTTGACTGTCGGGATCAAAATAAAAAATGTGATTGCTTAGGTTTATCGGCAAAGTCCTTTGAGACTACTACTGTTGTGAACATGGGGCTTTAAAAGGAAAGTGAATTAGCCAACAAACCCACATCCAATGCAATATTTTAAATAATTGTAATATATAATATTCTAATATATTATAATTGTTGTCTATTCTGTGGTGCTCCATTTAGTGTTTAGTGATGAAGTTTGATTAAAAAAGATAAGCTTTACTCATCCCACATTGGAGAAATCTCAAAGTATAAAACAATACTCTAACCTTTGACTTCCGGTTTTGTTTTAAGATGAGTGTGAACGTTTAGAGTGCGGTTAAAAATGCAGAAGTCATAGTTTGTTTTAACCTACTGTCCACACTGTCTTATTTCCATCATGAGTACTTCAAGAAAACTGCTTTTCAGCCTCAGTAAGTTTTACACACGTTAAGTTTAGCCTTGACAAAGTTTAACATTTGTTTCATAATTTAACAATTATAATTAGTATTTTACTTGCTATGAAATTGTATTTTTGCAGTTTTCATGGCATGTAGCGCGGCGGCTGCATCAGACGTTGAAGTTTATGCATATGTTGGAGGAGATGCTGTAGTGCCATGCTCTTACCCAGCGGGCTATAAGTCTTATGTCAAATACTTCTGCAGTGAAGCCTGTGGCAATGCTGATGTCAAGGTTACAACCGATCAAGGGACCATGAATAGATTCTCAACAAGTGACAATCGACAAATGCAAATCTTTACTGTGACTATTTCAAATGTCCAGAAGTCTGATGCTGGGAAGTACTGGTGTGGAGTGAGCAAAAGTGGAACAGACATCTACACTGCAGTAACTCTGGCTGTTAAATCAGGTTAATGAACTATAAATCATGTATCAATGTCAACATGTGTACAAAATTGCAACTTGTTTTTGTTTCCATGTCAGATGAGTGTTGTGACAATGTCCAAAGCATCCAAGCATATGAGCGCAGCAGTGTGTCCATTCGCTGTCCACACCAAAACCAATACGCCAACAGCTTCAAATATGTGTGCAAAGGATCCCAGCCCTCCACCTGCCGCACACAGGCCCTCGTCACGACCAAAAAGGCGCAAAATGGACAGTTCCGGCTCAGGGACGACGAGTTCACACTGGAGCTCAATCATATAACCAAGCAGAATGCTGGATTGTACATGTGCGGGATTGAGAGGAGCAATGACTTTGATGTTTTTTCTCGAGTCAACCTGACGGTTAAAGGTAAAGCCAAATTTACTGGTGAAAAAATACTACTGCAATTTGTTAATCTAAAAAGGTATTAGGGCTTCTGTTCAGTAACCCTGACAAAGTAACTGATGCAAAACACATTTGACAAGATATGCCTTTAGATAATCCTTTGAGTAGCTTTCTAGTACAATAGTTAAAGCTGGGGTACCTAGTTTTTTTATATCACTAGTTTTCCATCCATCCATTTTCTTCCGCTTTATCCGTTGCCGGGTCGCGGGGGCAGCAGTCTAAGCAGAGACGCCCAGACTTCCCTATCCACACACACGTCCGGGGGGACCCCAAGGCGTTCCCAGGCCAGCTGAGAGACATAGTCCCTCCAGTGTGTCCTAGGTCTTCCCCGGGGCCTCTTCCCGGTGGGACGTGCCCGGAACACCTCCCCTGGGAGGCGTCCAGAAGGCATCCAGAACAGATGCCCGAGCCACCTCAACTGGTTCCTCTCGACGTGGAGAAGCAGCGGCTCTACTCCGAGCTCCTCCCGTGTGACTGAGCTCCTCACCCGGTCAATTTACCGGTCAACGAAGATTGACCGGTAATTTGAGAGCTTTGCCTTTCGGCTCAGCTCCCTCTTCACCACAACGGTCCGATACAGCGACCGCATCACTGCGCACGCTGCACCGATCCGCCTGTCAATCTCACGCTCCATCCTTCCCTCACTCGTGAACAAGACCCCGAGATACTTGAACCTCTCCACCTCTCCACCCACCCGGAGAGGGCAAGGCCCCTTTTTCCGGTCGAGCACCATGGCCTCGGATTTGGAGGTGCTGATTCTCATCCCAGCCGCTTCACACTCGGCTGCAAACCGCCCCATTGCATGCTGCAGGTCCTGGTTCGTTGGAGCCAACAGGACAACATCGTCCGCAAACAGCAGAGATGAAATCCTGTGGTCCCTGAACCGGACCCCCTCCGACCCCTGGCTGCGCCTAGAAATTCTGTCCAAAAACACAGTGAACAGAACCGGTGACAAAGGGCAGCCCTGGCGGAGGCCAACATGCACCGGGAACAGGTCTGACTTACTGCCGGCAATGCGAACACAGCTCTGGCTCCGGTCATATGGCCCTCAGCAGAGGACCCCGAACCCAGTACTCCCGAAGAACCCCCCAAAGGACACCCCGGGGAACACGGTCGAACGCCTTCTCCAAATCCACAAAGCACATGTGGACAGGTTGGGCGAACTCCCATGAACCCTCGAGTATCCGATGGAGAGTATAGAGCTGGTCCAGTTTTCCGCGACCGGGACGAAAACCACACTGCTCCTCCTGGATCCGAAATTCGACCATCGGCCGTAGCCTCCTCTCCAGTACCTTGGAGTAGACCTTACCGGGGTCTACTCGGTAAGGTCTACTCCTAGTTTTCAAATGCATGTATTTTCTGTCACATCTTTAGATTAGCTTTTTTCAGACAGAAAAGTGAAAAAGAGAGGTCTGATTTCTTTCTATTGGGACAAAACAATATATGGGACTCCGAGACTCTTTTACCAATGTGGAAAGTAATATTGAATAAAGAAAAAAAAAAGTGATGTTAATTTTTCTTTTGTCTATGTCAGACTGGTGCTGTGCAACCACCCATGATGTGAAGGGGTTTTTGGGGCAGTCGGTGACCTTGAATTGCCCCTATCCTAGCAAACATGGGCACAACACTAAGTTTCTGTGTAAGACGGACCAAGAAAAGTGTCCTAAAGTAGTGAGCAGCACAACAACTGCAGACCGGTTCACTCTTATGGAAGACCGCTCCTCAAACTCCTTCAAAGTGACCATCCAACGCCTCAAACCCACCGACGCAGGGACATACTGGTGCGGCTCCGACTCTCAGTGGGCCCCTGGAAATAACTATGTCCGCCTGCAGCTCACTCTGGGTCAGTCCATTCTTTGCAGTAAATATGATTTTATTGTAATAATCACATTGCACTGTTACTTTACAGAAACTCTGAGAGCTACCACAGGATCCTACTTCAAAACAACCAGTGACATGCCGACATCTGGGTCTCAATCATTACTTAAAGGTCAAATCAATCATTTAAGTGCAAGTCTGTTGTTCAATTGTTTTAAAGAATGACTCCAGAGGACATCATATTCAAAAGGAACTTAACCTAGGGTACCTAACCTTTTTTCTTTTTAATCCTAACCCTAACACATTTGAATGTCATGCCTGGCCTCTTATTGGCTCTGGAGGAATCAGACTCTCTTTGTGTAAACTATTTCTTTGAGCAGCAATGACAACTGTCTGTATTTTGTGTGTGTGACAAGCGAGCTGTCAATCACAGCCCAGACCACGCCCAACTCTAAGCCCCCCTTCTTGTTCCCAGGCAATACCCTTTTTAGAGAACATTTTCAAATGGACATGTGGGCAGAGTAAGGCTGGGCACAGGTGTTTAGTTGAACTTTAAATACTCACATAAATCAATAATAATTCCTTGTCCTTTGACGCAGATGCCGATAATGTGATCTCTCCTGTTGTTCTGTATGTGCTGCCTGGATCATTGCTGATTGTGGTCGTGATGATCGCAGTCATTATGTACAAATGTCTCAGAACACAAAGTATGTGGAACAGATTTCTAAAATGTAAATTCAATAAAATATAACATGTTGGATCTTACAGGAAACAGAGTGGATTACAACGTACGCTGTAATAAAGAAGAAGTCAGCACCAATGAGGTTGTGATGTGCAGCAGTGCGACATGTTTCTGAATACATTTGTTCAACTAACCCTTAGAACTCTTTTTTAATTTCCAGGTTTATTGTAACCAGGAACCTACAGACGAAAACATTTATGAAAACAACAGCAACGAACACATCTATGGTAACTGTTAAAAAAGCAGAAAAAGGCTTGTTGGATCATTAACAAAATTAAATCCCTTTTGTAAACCGTAATGTTATTGTACCACTGTAAATGTATGATTTTTTATTTGAGAGTCTGATGACTAGTGCATGGGGTTTCAGGATTTGTCACATAATTTCCTGTAAGAATAAAATGTGAAGGCGTTAGCAGTGTGAGTGAATTTTAAAATACTCTGCTTCTGCTTTTGTTTGTGCATGCACACATGAACTTTCAACATATATAGAATGATACTGAGAAATTACTATTTGACTGTACTATTTATGTGGAACTGATTTGAGTTGCTTGAATCAGTTTCAACCAATCTGGAACTGAATCTCATTTCAGAACAACAAACTGTTCTTGAGCCAACCCCAGTTCAACCAGATCTGATAACATACTAAATACAAACGAGTAAAGTTAGTCTATAGTACTTTTATACGGTATGATAAAGTCATTGAGACCGGAACGAAATTAAGTTGGTCTTAATTGAAATGCAGGTGAAAATCTGATGAATGCGAATGGCTTGGTCCAAAAGGATGAGGATGTGAATTATGTTCAAAGATGTTGAGACTGGAGTTAAAATCAGGTGAATGTGAAAGTAAAGCCTCTTTTCATGATTGGTTATCTGAGCTGAGGTCTCCAGCGTCTGTATCCAAGCAACAGTGAAACAAACACAGGTTTCTGGTTTGAGACTCACTGGCTGCACAAACGCTTCTGTTCTACTCTTATTCTACAACTCACAGGGACAAAGGCTGTATTAGTGACGTTTGTGTCCTGACACAGCATGAGCTCAGAGGTGCTGGTGTCCCGGCCGCACTACGATGACAGAGCAGTAGCCCTGGGCGTCCCTGCTCAGGACCCCCCAGTGGAACCAGACGTCCCACCACCATCCTCCGGCTCTGCTCCTGTTGGGTACCGCTCGGCCAAGTACACACCGGCCGAGTGGTTCTCCAAGTACCACAGCATTCTACAGAAGGCCACCACAGACCATGGTGAAGCAGAGAGGGTACAGAGACTGTCAAAAGTCCTGTCCCAGGACACCGAGACTGACACGCAGCACACACAGGCTCAGAACACGCGTCTGCTGGGGGACCGCCTGCAGGACATCCACTACTGGAGGTCTGAGCTGCAGCAGCACATCTCCCAGCTGCAGGCTGACATACAGGCTCTGTGCGGGCAGAGGCTGAGGCTGGAGAGAGCGCTGGACGCCACAGAAATACCCTTTGCCATAGCTACAGACAACCTGACCTGTCGGACCCGGAGGCCAGCACCAGACCTGGTCCAGGACTTGGTGGAAGAGGAGCTGCTCAAGGTGGGATAGTTTAGTCCTATTTTGTAGATTTTTTTGATTCATCCATAATGCTGAATGTTCATGTTTCTAGTGTCACTTTATTAAATATTCACTTTTACCTGAGCCAAAGGCAGGATTTTAAATCTCATGGTTCCATAACCAACTAGTTTTAGTTATTGATCAATTTCAATGTGTGCATCAGTTTGATTCAGCCCTCTTTTCATTATGAAAATGCTCCATGAGACAGACAAATTAATAAACCTAATTAATTTAACAAGACAAAGACTTCTGTCAAAAGATCTCTTTCATTCCTTACAAAAACCTTTATCCCCTTTGGCGGGGAATAGAATTTTTTTTTTTACTCCCATTTCCAGAGGCTTCTTTAAAATGTCTCCTAAAATTGTTGCGAACAGACAGACAAACAAACCTGGTGAAAACATAACCTCAGAGCAGAGGTAATAATAATACAGAATATTATTTTTTTTTAAAAGGAGCATTGTCATATTTTGAAGCTGAGCAGTTTCAGTTGTTATGTTCTTGTGAATCCAGCAGAGGGCAGAATATAACAAATGAATCCTCATGTCTGCAGGAGGTGGACCTCATCAAAAACATCCAGGCTCTGCTGAGGAGGACCACAGCTCATGTGGTCAGTCAGATCAAGTAAGCTAAACACATATGAACACACTCTAGTAATGTAACTTCTTGTTAATGAAATCTTCCCACCTCTCTTCTCTAAAATCAGGATAAACAAAGACACCAAACAGATGCTGGAGATGGACTGGTCTGATAAATATGAGGCCTATAACTTGGACGACACATGTGGAAGATACAGAAACAGCAGCACAGACACCAGACACCACCCCAGCTCAGCCAACGTGCAGGACCAGTGCGTCTGAATTAGGCCACACTCTAATTTACACATAAATAATGCATTATATTGTCTACAACATTCCTTCTGCTTTACAGGGTGTGCAACCCAGCGTCTTGGACCAAGTTTACTCAGGATAATCTGACCAAAGCCATGCAGGAAGAGCACGCCACATACAGCCTCAGGTTCTTGAACACACGAGCATGTGTGACATGAAGTCTGTCAAGTTAGCACTCAGGCCTCACAACACGGACAACCCATATGTATATGTTTCTATATACTGTGTAGAATGTTGGTGGACAGGGTTCTGGAGGACACCACCAGAGACCTCAGGGTTCAGTGTGCGAGTGTGGACCAGGCCTTCACTCAGCGCTGTGAGGAGCTCATCGAGGCCAAGACGCAACTGGAGACCAAGCGGGCGCAGGTGACTAACTTGTAGATGAATAGAACAAACTATTCTATCCTTTGTTATAGGGGGAATACATACATTCTCAGACAATGCCACAATCCAAGCAAAGTCAATACCCTTGGAATGATTTATTGATTAATTACATACCTAATATAATGATGATATGATTGGGATATGTTTTAAATTGGACCCACTGGTCTGTAATAAAGTTTAATTGAAATTGTTTAGATTTTGGAGCAGATCGGAGCTCAAGAGAGGAACATAGTGTCTCTGCAGCATGCCATACATGACAAAGAAGCTCCTTTAAGAGTGGTTCAGTCCAGACTGTATATACGCTCACGAAGACCCAACATGGAACTGTGCAGAGACCCAGCACAGATCAGGTAAAAGCACACACCTGATACATCACACAGATTGTCCAAACATATCCATACATGTTTTCCCTGATATTTACAGTTTGTCAGCCAGCTTTTACTTTACATTGGAAACAAGCATTTGATTTCACTCGGCTGGATGTGAGCTCAATAGGATCTGTGGAGATGCAAATCTTTCCAAAGAACTAAATTATCCAGAACTGAGCAAGGTGCATGTTATAAACCAAATTGAACAGCATTTCAAGCAAAGAATTATAGAGTATCTATCGCAAGAAGCAGGCAGCAGATCATTTCAAAAAAAGTCTCTGCAGTTCCCTAAATTGATGTTAATATTGAAATAAATAAGTGTGATTTCTGTAACTCATACTAACATGTGAAACCAATGTATCATATAGACAAATAAGTGTGCAAAGTGACACACATATATTGTGTCGATGATTGTGGCTTACAGTCAATTTTCCATTTTCTATTTTCTATTTTTAAAGCGTCAATTTTCTGACGCTTTATTTGGGTTTTAACGAGCTGTGAACCAACTATCAATATTATGGAAGCAGAATTGTCTTATTGCCATTTTAAGTGACAAGGCTAATTCACAGTTGTTGTATATTGTTTGATAGTCTTCACTTTGCATAATGAGCATCATATAATTGTTTCACACTGTAAGTTGAATTACAATGTGAAAATGTTTAATTTACAAAGGACTGTTGAACAATTTTCCAGTTATCCAAGTTTCACCTGTATAAAAGACAAACCCTTATACTTTCAAATAATTTATACCCACACTTTGCTTAATATTATAAATTGTTGGTAAAATCTTTTTTCAACTCATCGTCACCAGAGTAGTAAGAAGTATTTAGGTCTCATGGTTGAAAGAGGCAACCTACAACTTTATTTTGTATACTACCACAAACTGTTTTTGGTATGCCAACATGCTAATGAAATTCAGGATGGTTAAAATATATCATTATCAATATATCATCTTTTTGTTGTTGTCCTGTTTTTTGACATGTTATTGGGGCCCCTACATATAAGCCAAGTTGTGCTTGATGGGAGTCCCTTCACAAACCTAAATGTTTAAGTGTAAAAGTTGTAGATTTAACTAATGTTTGTGAACAAATAATAATAATTATTATTATATAAATGATCTTATTATCTCGTCTCCTGTTCAGCCTGGAGGAGGAGGATAAGCATATTCACGCCACGATACAGTCTTTGGAGCAGCAGCTGAGTCAGGCCCGTGGATCGCTGTCTTATCTGGAAGAATCACGAATGGCCATTGAAAAGGACATCGCATGTAAAACCAACTCATTATTTATCGAGAGGGACAAAAGTATGACGAAGAGAAAAAGATACCCCACCCTGTCTACTTTATCTGGATATTAGCAACAGATGAGTAGGTTTAAAAAGACTTATTCATTTAAAGTTTAAACTATTTTATTTCAGAAATAAGCGCCTGGTCAGAAAGCCCAAGACTTATCTGTTAATCAATCAAATACATTTCTATCTGTATTGTACCTATTTCTTTTTCAATATGCAATATACTGTGTGTATTGGATATTTTCTTTTAACTATGGACCGTATTGTATTGTGTCCTTAATAAAGATTAATATTGATAATTATAATATCTATCTATCTATCTATTTACTCGTCCCACATTGGAGAAATCTCAAAGTATAAAACAATACTCTAAATAAAACCTTTGACTTCCAGTTTTGTTTTAAGATGAGTGTGAACGTTTAGAGTGCTGTTAATAATGCAGAAGTCATAGTTTGTTTTAACCTACTGTTCACACTGTCTTATTTCCATCATGAGTACTTCAAGAAAACTGCTTTTCAGCCTCAGTAAGTTTTACACACGTTAAGTTTAGCCTTGACAAAGTTTAACATTTGTTTCATAATTTAACAATTATAATTAGTATTTTACTTGCTATGAAATTGTATTTTTGCAGTTTTCATGGCATGTAGCGCGGCGGCTGCATCAGACGTTGAAGTTTATGCATATGTTGGAGGAGATGCTGTAGTGCCATGCTCTTACCCAGCGGGCTATAAGTCTTATGTCAAATACTTCTGCAGTGAAGCCTGTGGCAATGCTGATGTCAAGGTTACAACCGATCAAGGGACCATGAATAGATTCTCAACAAGTGACAATCGACAAATGCAAATCTTTACTGTGACTATTTCAAATGTCCAGAAGTCTGATGCTGGGAAGTACTGGTGTGGAGTGAGCAAAAGTGGAACAGACATCTACACTGCAGTAACTCTGGCTGTTAAATCAGGTTAATGAACTATAAATCATGTATCAATGTCAACATGTGTACAAAATTGCAACTTGTTTTTGTTTCCATGTCAGATGAGTGCTGTGACAATGTCCAAAGCATCCAAGCATATGAGCGCAGCAGTGTGTCCATTCGCTGTCCACACCAAAACCAATACGCCAACAGCTTCAAATATGTGTGCAAAGGATCCCAGCCCTCCACCTGCCGCACACAGGCCCTCGTCACGACCAAAAAGGCACAAAATGGACAGTTCCGGCTCAGGGACGACGAGTTCACACTGGAGCTCAATCATATAACCAAGCAGAATGCTGGATTGTACATGTGCGGGATTGAGAGGAGCAATGACTTTGATGTTTTTTCTCGAGTCAACCTGACGGTTAAAGGTAAAGCCACATTTACTGGTGAAAAAATACTACTGCAATTTGTTAATCTAAAAAGGTATTAGGGCTTCTGTTCAGTAACCCTGACACAGTAACTGATGCAAAAAACATTTGACAAGATATGCCTTTAGATAATCCTTTGAGTAGCTTTCTAGTACAATAGTTAAAGCTGGGGTACCTAGTTTTTTTCTATCACTAGTTTTCATATGCATGTATTTTCTGGATGTATTTTCAGTCACACCTTTAGATTAGCTTTTTTCAGACAGAAAAGTGAAAAAGAGAGGTCTGATTTCTTTCTATTGGGACAAAACAATATATGGGGTGGGGGGAATTTGTTTTAAAATGATTTTCCGAGACTCTTTTACCAATGTGGAAAGTAATATTGAATAAAGAAAAAAAAAGTGATGTTTATTTTTCTTTTGTCTATGTCAGACTGGTGCTGTGCAACCACCCATGATGTGAAGGGGTTTTTGGGGCAGTCGGTGACCTTGAATTGCCCCTATCCTAGCAAACATGGAAACAACACTAAGTTTCTGTGTAAGACGGACCGAGAAAAGTGTCCTAAAGTAGTGAGCAGCACAACAACTGCAGACCGGTTCACTCTTATGGAAGACCGCTCCTCAAACTCCTTCAAAGTGACCATCCAACGCCTCAAACCCACCGACGCAGGGACATACTGGTGCGGCTCCGACTCTCAGTGGGCCCCTGGAAATAACTATGTCCGCCTGCAGCTCACTCTGGGTCAGTCCATTATTTGCAGTGAATATGATTTTATTGTAATAATCACATTGCACTGTTACTTTACAGAAACTCTGAGAGCTACCACAGGATCCTACTTCAAAACAACCAGTGACATGCCGACATCTGGGTCTCAATCATCACTTAAAGGTCAAATCAATCATTTAAGTGCAAGTCTGTTGTTAAATTGTTTTAAAGAATGACTCCAGAGGACATCATACTCAAAAGGAACTTAACCTAGGGTACCTAACCTTTTTTCTTTTTAATCCTAACCCTAACACATTTGAATGTCATGCCTGGCCTCTCATTGGCTCTGGAGGAATCAGACTCTCTTTGTGTAAACTATTTCTTTGAGCGGCAATGTGTATGTGTTTTTGTGTGTGTGACAAGCGAGCTGTCAATCACAGCCCAGACCACGCCCAACTCTAAGCCCCCCTTCTTGTCCCCAGGCAATACCCTTTTTAGAGAACATTTTCAAATGGACATGTGGGCGGAGTAAGGCTGGGCACAGGTGTTTAGTTGAACTTTAAATACTCACATAAATCAATGATAATTCCTTGTCCTTTGACGCAGATGCCGATAATGTGATCTCTCCTGTTGTTCTGTATGTGCTGCCTGGATCATTGCTGATTGTGGTCGTGATGATCGCAGTCATTATGTACAAATGTCTCAGAACACAAAGTATGTGGAACAGATTTCTAAAATGTAAATTCAATAAAATCTAACTTGTTGGATCTTACAGGAAACAGAGTGGATTACAACGTACGCTGTAATAAAGAAGAAGTCAGCACCAATGAGGTTGTGATGTGCAGCAGTGCGACATGTTTCTGAATACATTTGTTCAACTAACCCTTAGAACTCTTTTTTAATTTCCAGGTTTATTGTAACCAGGAACCTACGGCCGAAAACATTTATGAAACCAACGAACACATCTATGGTGACTGTTAAAAAAGCAGAAAAAGGCTTGTTGGATCATTAACAAAATTAAATCCCTTTTGTAAACCGTAATGTTATTGTACCACTGTAAATGTATGATTTTTTATTTGAGAGTCTGATGACTAGTGCATGGGGTTTCAGGATTTGTCACATAATTTCCTGTAAGAATAAAATGTGAAGGCGTTAGCAGTGTGAGTGAATTTTAAAATACTCTGCTTCTGCTTTTGTTTGTGCATGCACACATGAACTTTCAACATATATAGAATGATACTGAGAAATTACTATTTGACTGTACTATTTATGTGGAACTGATTTGAGTTGCTTGAATCAGTTTCAACCAATCTGGAACTGAATCTCATTTCAGAACAACAAACTGTTCTCGAGCCAACCCCAGTTCAACCAGATCTGATAACATACTAAACACAAACGAGTAAAGTTAATCTATACTACTTTATACGGTATGATAAAGTCATTGAGCCCGGAAAGAAATTAAGTTGGTCTTAATTGAAATGCAGGTGAAAATCTGATGAATGCGAATGGCTTGGTCCAAAAGGATGAGGATGTGAATTATGTTCAAAGATGTTGAGACTGGAGTTAAAATCAGGTGAATGTGAAAGTAAAGCCTCTTTTCATGATTGGTTATCTGAGCTGAGGTCTCCAGCGTCTGTATCCAAGCAACAGTGAAACAAACACAGGTTTCTGGTTTGAGACTCACTGGCTGCACAAACGCTTCTGTTCTACTCTTATTCTACAACTCACAGGGACAAAGGCTGTATTAGTGACGTTTGTGTCCTGACACAGCATGAGCTCAGAGGTGCTGGTGTCCCGGCCGCACTACGATGACAGAGCAGTAGCCCTGGGCGTCCCTGCTCAGGACCCCCCAGTGGAACCAGACGTCACACCACCATCCTCCGGCTCTGCTCCTGTTGGGTACCGCTCGGCCAAGTATACACCGGCCGAGTGGTTCTCCAAGTACCACAGCATTCTACAGAAGGCCACCACAGACCATGGTGAAGCAGAGAGGGTACAGAGACTGTCAAAAGTCCTGTCCCAGGACACAGAGACTGACACGCAGCACACACAGGCTCAGAACACGCGTCTGCTGGGGGACCGGCTGCAGGACATCCACTACTGGAGGTCTGAGCTGCAGCAGCACATCTCCCAGCTGCAGGCTGACATACAGGCTCTGTGCGGGCAGAGGCTGAGGCTGGAGAGAGCGCTGGACGCTACAGAAATACCCTTTGCCATAGCTACAGACAACCTGACCTGTCGGACCCAGAGGCCAGCACCAGACCTGGTCCAGGACTTGGTGGAAGAGGAGCTGCTCAAGGTGGGATAGTTTAGTCCTATTTTGTAGATTTTTGATTCATCCAAAATGCTGAATGTTCATGTTTCTAGTGTCACTTTATTAAATATCCACTTTTACCTGAGCCAAAGGCAGGATTTTAAATCTCATGGTTCCATAACCAACTAGTTTTAGTTATTGTTATAGACAAATTAATAAACCTAATTAATTTAACAAGACAAAGACTTCTGTCAAAAGATCTCTTCCATTCCTTAAAAAAAAAACTTGATCCCCTTTGGAGGGGAATAGAATGTTTTTTTTCTCCTTCCATTTCCAGAGGCTTCAGATTCAGATTCATATTAATTTATTTGCCATTTGCACTAAAACCACATTGGAAAAACTGTGCAAGACTACCCCAGTGTGCACCAGACACGGCACACACCAGAGGTCCTGCCACGGCGCCTATAAAATATCTCCTACAACTGTTGCTAACAGACAGAAAAACAACCCTGGTGAACCCATAACCTCCGAGCAGAGGTAATGATAATATAGAATATTATTTTAAAAAAAGGAGCATTGTCATATTTTGAAGCTGAGCAGTTTCAGTTGTTATGTTCTTGTGAATCCAGCAGAGGGCAGAATATAACAAATGAATCCTCATGTCTGCAGGAGGTGGACCTCATCAAAAACATCCAGGCTCTGCTGAGGAGGACCACAGCTCATGTGGTCAGTCAGATCAAGTAAGCTAACACATATGAACACACTCTAGCAATGTAACTTCTTGTTAATGAAATCTTCCCACCTCTCTTAAACAAAGACACCAAACAGATGCTGGAGATGGACTGGTCTGATAAATATGAGGCCTATAACTTGGACGACACATGTGGAAGATACAGAAACAGCAGCACAGACACCAGACACCACCCCAGCTCAGCCAACAGATTCAGATTCAGATTCCGTTTATTTGCCATTTGCAGTAAAAAAAGAAATTGGAATACATTAGCAAAAGTCACCAGTGTGCACAGACAAATACAGACATAAAACAACATTAAAAGTACGCAAATAAAACAAATAAAACAGTAAACAAGTGTCACTGTGAAGTCGATCGGCTAAAACAGTTTCAAAACAAGTGCAAATCATTAAAGTGCTCTGTTCACACTGATAACAGCCTGTGGAAAAAAGCTGTTAGCGTAACGAGATGTCCTGCATCTCAGAGAGCGATATCTTCTGCCAGAGGGAAGAAGCTGGAACATGGCTTTTCCAGGGTGGCCAGAAGAGTCATTGATAATTCTTAGACCTCTATTAAGAAGTCTGGATTAATAAAGAACCTCCAGAACAGGAAGCTCACAGCCCACAGTCCTCTTTGCAGAGCGGAGCACCTTGTTTAAAGATCTCTTTTCTTTATCTGTGATGTTTCCAAACCACACAGAACCAACAAGTAAACTCTCAATGGTGCAGCGATAAAAGTTGAGCAGAATCTTAGAGTTAGTGGTAAATTCTCGAAGTTTACGCAGAAATTAGAGACGCTGACGAGCTTTCTTAACGACTCGGTCAGTGTTTTTAACCCATTTCAGGTCGTTAGACAGAGTTAAACCCAGAAACTTGCACTCCTCTACGATCTGCACCTGGGATTTGTCGATAACTACAGGAGTGTGAGAACTATTAGGACTGAAGTCGTAGACCAGTTCACATGTTTTCGATGCGTTCAACTGGAGGTTGTTAGTTTTACTCCACTGAACCACATTGTTTTTTTTTTTTGTTTTTTTTTGTTTTTTTATTATAGACCCATTTGTACATTTAGACATGAACCAACATAAACATATAAGCATTTACACAGGGTCAGGAGGGGGGACAGGGGGGGGAGGGGGATTCAGCGTGCGCGTGCGTGTGTGTATGTGTGTGTTCAACTTTTGGTGTATTGAATAGGTATCTGAGGGTGTTGAAAATTTTCTTTTATTGACCGGTAGTGAGAAAGGGGAGAAAGAAAAGAGAGAGACTAATAATAATAGTAATACTAATAATACTAATAGTAATAATAATAATAGTAAAAACATAGGACGAGTTGAGGTGTTATAATCCAAGGGAGGGGGGATTATAGAGTGGGTGGTTATAGAGGGGGTGGTTGTAATGTTGGTGACGAGGGTAGCAGAGCCATAGGCATATTAATGTTTTTGGTATGAACGTAAGTAATCTTTATCCAATCAATCAATTTTGAGCATTATTCTTCTCTCCATCTTTATTTCTAATCTTCTTAGAACCACTTGCAGCAGCAATTCGCCAAAATAACCAAATCAAAGGATTCCAACCACAATCAATCGAACACAAAATCAGCCTGTATGCAGATGATATCCTCCTCTTTTTACAAAACCCACCTTCATCATTACACCACACAATAAACTTCATCGAATCATTTTCCAAACTCTCACAATATTCAATCAACTGGAGTAAATCCTCAATTCTCCCCCTACAGTCAAACAGTTGGGATGTTGCAGCCATCACACCTCCTGTCCCACTCTCTTCAAACCACATCACTTACCTGGGAATTAAGGTTTCCTCCAGGCTTTCAGAGCTGTTCTCTCTCAACTTCTCCCCCTTACTCAAACAATTAGAAGAAGATTTACAACGCTGGCTGAATCTCCCCATTTCAATCACAGGCAGAATCTCTTTGGTTAAAATGTCAATACTCCCCAAAATCAACTACATACTCTCAATGACCCCTGTTCAACCCACTCAAACCTGGTTTAAATCACTCAACTCTGCCATTAACAAATTCTACTGGAAAAACAAACCACCCCGTATCAAACTCGCAACACTACAGAAACCAAAACTACAGGGAGGCCTCAATGCCCCAAATTTTTACCACTATTCATTAGCTAATCATTTACAGTACATACACAAATGGATCCACTCAAACACTTCTGACTCAATCTGGATGGACACTGAACAATCACTTTGCAATAACATCAATCTCTCAGACCTACCCTTCTTTAATCAATCAATAAAGAAATACCCACTTTTCAAAACACCAACAATATCGGCAGCTCTGACAGCCTGGTGGAAACTACACGATTTAACAAACACCCCCCTTGCCCCATCCATCCGCTCCCCAATTTGGCACAACCCAGAATTCACAAACAATAATAAACCTCTGTACTTCCATTCATGGGCAGATAAAGGTATAACTCACCTCAATCACATTCTCACAAATAACAGTTTAAAACCACTGACACAGTTGGCCCAGGAGTATGGCATTGGGAGTAAATGCTTCCTCGAATACTTACAACTAAAATCAGCAATCCAAAAAAAAATCAACATCCAAACAATAAATCTAGGCCTTCATGATACAATTGCGGATTTCATAAATATTCCCCCCAAAAAACTGAACACCAAAATATACAAAATAATCACCAAATCAGATAATACACAATCTCTTCCAACTGCAAAGTGGCAACAAGATTTAGCATTTACTCCCAGTGCCAACTTCTGGACCCAAATCTGCAAAAATATGTATTCAATGACCACCAACTCCAACCTCCAACTCATACAATTAAAAATCCTACACAGATATCACTACACCGGTTACAAATTATCAAAAATGGGATCCACTTCAGACATCTGCCCACACTGCACACAGGGTTGTAGGGACAATTACATTCACGCTCTTTGTAGTAGTCATCTTTGTAGTAGTCATCTTTATTTTATATACTGCCTTTTCACTGCAGATCTGAGTCTCAAAGCGGTTTACAATTGTTAATTTTGGGCATTTGTCTCTCACTCCACACAGAGATGGGAGCAGGGTCGCCAGTACTGGAGGCGCATGCCAGAATTATTGGACATATTTTTAGTGGTAGGGGAAACCGGAGTACCCGGAGGAAACCTACGCAGACACGGGGAGAACATGCAAACTCCACTCAGAAAGGCCCTGGTCTGACCGGGATTCGAACCCAGGACCTTCTTGCTGAGAGGCGAGAGTGCTATCCACTCAGCCACCGTGCCGCCCGGGCACTTTGGCACTGCACTCCGGTCCAAGCATTCTGGAAAGCCGTCACTCAATCACTCACCACTTCACTTGGCTGCAACATCCCAATGTCCCCATCCCTCTGTCTTCTAGGAGACATATCCACACTCCCCATCAACCAGGGTAATTCAAAGTATATTTTAATGTCGCTAGCTATCGCCAAAAAAACAATACTCATAAACTGGAAATCCAAAACCAACATACACACCTCCACATGGGAAAACTTAATGTCAGATTATATTTCACTTCAAGACATACCCCCCAACCACACCTCAAACAATACACCCCACGCATCCCAGACCCCAGTCATAAGCTAACCTTATATACTTTACCTATTTCCAATATTTATGTCATCGTGTATTTTGCACACCTCTCTCTCTCTCCCTGCTGCTACACCACTGTACCCCTGTTCATATATATATAGATATACATACATTCTACGGTGATATGTTGATGAGGAGGGAATAAGAATAAATTAATATAGGAATTAATAAAAATATATAAATAAATACTGTAACAAATAACAAAAATAATAAATAAATAACAAAAAATAAGTCCTCTTCCCACATGCATCTCAAGCACACACTTTTAATGCACAACATCCCAAACCTGTTTTTAATGCACCACACAATCAGGGATGCTGCTGGAAGAGCAACACCAATCTTCTACCAACTCGCTCCCATCTCTGTGTGATTGAGAAGAATAATGCTCAAAACTGAACCACATTTTGTATCTCTCCTCTATAAGAGGTTTCATCATTGTCACTGATGAGACCGATGATGGTGGTGGTGGTGTCATCAGCATATTTATCTACTGTGAGCCCTGTGTGTCACTATATGACGCTTTGGGCTGGAAGATGTGATAGAGGACAAAAAATACATGCAAGAAAAAAACTAACCAAACTATGTTGAGAGCAAGGAGCTAGTTACATGGATTTTATTATAGTTATTTTTGGAAAGTTACGTACCCAAGCGTCAAACTACCTGAATATTATGTTAAAATCGCCCATGTTTCCTTTTTATTTTCATGATTCACTATCATTTTACTGTACCCTTTACAACCTCTAGAGGGAGAGGTCAACCATCACGTATTCCTCTAAATTAGTCTAAAGTGGAAGCAAAGTCCTCTGTCCAATACCTCTTTTTAGTTTTGTTTGTAATAAAAGTAAAATCTGTGTAATATTATGAAATCTAATATGAATAAAAATGTGTACTTATTATACTATAACTGATGTGTCTCCTGCATGATCTGATATAAGTCTTTCTTTGTCCATGTCCATTTTCAAGGGTTATAAAATCAAACAAATGTGACACGTGAATTCTTTGGAAAGAAAAAAAAGGAAAAAGCGTTATTTAAGTTTAAGGAAATGGGAGGGTGGATTTGTGATGTGAGGGAGTGACATGGGGAGGGAACAGAATAGAACGGGACCAAATCACTCCTGCTCCTTTGCACTGCACCCTTCTTTCCCTCGGTGACTCTTGGCTGTGACCGACCGACAGGTGAGTCCAGACTTTATTCATTTATATATGCATTTTTTGCTCATTGCAATCACTTAATAATTTATATGTATTGTTTTTTCATGCATATTGGGAATTATTTTACAAATTTATTTCAGCATTTAAATCACAATTCATATTTCCTCATTTATTTTCTTCACTATTATCCTGATCTCATGAAGGATGTGTTATTACTGATATTTCTTAAAACCATTTCTTGTCTTTAGTCTGTAAATCTTTGAATACTGTGTCAATAATAAACAGGTGATAATAAGTAATTACCTAAATTGTCTGACAGATGCAGACCTGTTACTTTATTTATGTGTGAGAACATTTTTATGGCAGTGTTTATTTGCTTTTGTGTCTGTTGGCTCAATACATACTGCTAAGTTTGAGGGTTTGTGGAAAGCCAAAGTTTCCGTTGGCTGGATGGAGACGCTACTTTTAGCCTTGGTTATTACACTCTTGGTCTAAATGGTTCAGACTGAGGCCACATTTTCACAATATTTCACAAGCAGTTGACTGTATGTCAAATTACTCTAATTATTATAACGGATAAAAACATACATCCATCTTCCTTTTACTGTGGAATGTCCCAGTACGTTTGTAATTATATGTTTTGTAGACAGGAATGTGAACGTTGAAGACATGGCTTTGCGTGATGTCTCAGACTTTTGTGGTGTCATGTGTGTATTTATATTGGGGTTCCAACTTCTCTATTTCCTATATCCTACGCTTTATTATGTAAATATATTTACCACAAGACCACTTCCTCTAATGGCTTGTGCTCTCCTTCAGGATGCTGGGCCTCAGCTCCCTGTTGCTGCTGCTGCTCTGCGCAGCTCATCTGTCCGCTCAGGACGTGCTGGTGCGACTCGCAGGTGTGGGCCGGCGCGGCCCAAATGAGGGCCGTGTGGAGGTCTTCTATAACGGAGCCTGGGGAACCATCTGTGACGACGAGGTGGACCTCAATCTGGCCAAGGTGGTCTGCCAGCAGCTGGGCTTCCTCCGTAGCCTCACATGGGCACACAGCGCCAAATTTGGTGAAGGACAAGGTAATTGAACCTGAAGAGTTGTGTCCTTCATTCTTCCTTTTTCTTTCTTCTTCTGTGTGTACAATGTATACTTTTTTTGTCTCAGGTTTGATCTGGTTGGACAACGTTATGTGCAGCGGCACAGAGCAGTCCATTGCAGAGTGCCGCTCCAATGGCTGGGGCATCAACGACTGCACCCATGCAGAGGACTTGGGTGTAATCTGTGGCCCTGAGAGGAGGCCAGGGTTCCCTCCTGCATCAATGGACGAAACCTCTTACAACCGGCCTCCTCAGCCCCAGCAGGGGGCCCATGAGCAAGTGCAGCCAGTGGGGCCTCCAGCTGAGCTTGCACCCCACTCTCACAACCCCTCACGGGGGCATCAGATCGCTCTTCATCGTGGGGCATCCTCATCGCGCCGTAGTAGTCTGTCACCGCAGCAAAACGGACATGAGATTCAGATCCTCCGCAGACACCGCGGAAGCTCCAGACCGGGACAACAGAGTGGCCAGGGAGTGCCACAGGGGCACCAGCTGCCATCTCGCCTCATCAACAGCGCCGCCTACAGGCAGAGACACGACACAACAAGGCTAAGTCCACAAGCAGTGAGACGAGAGGCAGAGGGCCAGATGAACAGACCCCCGGCCCATTCCCAATCAGAGAGGCGTCCTGACCAACAGCCCCTCAGCGGGAACCATGTGGACCCAGAGCCCGTGTATCCTGACCCAGGACATGAGACTCAATACACACAGGTAACCCACTGACACCAGTGCAGCACTTCACCCCTGCTTCGTTCAGTGTCAGACATAAATGTCATTTGTTGAGCCACAGCTGGGCAGGCATGTATAATTAGAGGCAAACTTAAAACCAGATTTCTTCAGTTTCGGCTCTAATGCACCAATGGGATTGAGGTTTCAACCACCCGATCTGTCACGTCCCAAAAGAGAACATCCAAGGGAAATTGCATGACATTTCTTTCTTGTGTTTGACTTTCTTTCCTTTGAACTTCCAAAGTTTACACTTTTGTCACTGTTTTGTAATCATTATAACAGAAATCCTGACGTATTAAACAAACTGTTTAACTTTTAGGTTCCTTCCTGCTTCCAGTGGTAGAGGGTGATTAAAGGGATCCTCTGATTGTACACACACAAAATTGACTCATACAAAAGGTTAATTGGATTAGAAAGAGAAATAAACGGTATTACTTACACATACTTGCATTTTGTGATCAGGGGGCCGAGAAGGCTCATGTGGAGGAGATCCGTCTGCGGCCAGTGTTGACCGGTAATCATGGTGGTCTGGTCACAGAAGGGGTGCTGGAGGTCAAACATGCTGGAAAATGGCGTCATGTGTGCAACCACGGATGGGACCTGAGCAGCAGTCGTGTCGCCTGCGGCATGTTGGGATTCCCAGCTGCACAAGCCCTTGACTTGAACCCTTACAGGTAAGAATAAACAAACAGAAGGAATTATAGCATAGAAAGGTCCACTGGGCTGTATATATAAAGATTTAAGAATTTAAGCTTGTGTATGGAGGAGCTAACCAGGAACAAACCCCCCATAGTAAAAGTTAACCGCAAGCGCTGTAATTAAACCACATGTAGCATGACAAGTCCAATGTCATTAATCAAGCCAGCCTATCCACTGCCTTCGCCTTTTCTGCTCTGTCGACAGAGTGGGCCTCAGAGGAGAGCTGGTTCTATAATAGTCTTCTAAAGTATGTTATTAATGTCACATCCAGACTGTAAGATTATCATCATCATCATCATGGTGTATGTTTTACATGAAGCCTCCCTTTCATGGTCCTTCATATAATTAGCAAGCTCTCTGTCACTGTCTCCTTTTACAGCCTCCAGAAAACGGCTGTGGAAAGTGTCTGTGATGGTTCAAAATTAAAAAAAAAATGATGTTGAATTCATAAATAACAGATTTTTTTGATTGTGTGAAAAAGGATTAGGACCCTTAGGACCAGTGAATGTTCTATATCCCATTTTAATTTACTAGGCCGTTTCGTGTGTAGTTACATTACAATCAACTGGCTGGAAAGCATTGATTACTGATGCAAACCACCAACTGGAGTTTAGCTTGAAACTGTAAAAACTGTGTATTACGTCCATCCATCCATTTTTCTCTGCTTTATCCGTTGCCGGGTCTATGCAGAGCTCATCTGGGAGAATCCTGAGGCCCTCCAATGTTTTCTAAGTCTTCCCCAGGGTCTACTCCCAGTGAGACATGCCTGAAAACACCTCCCCAGGGAGGCGTCCAGGAGGCATCTGAAACAGAGCCACCTAAACTGGCTCCTCTAGAACACCTCACCCTATCTCTAAGGGAGTGCCCAGTCACTCTGTGAAGGAAGCTCCTTTCGACCGCTTCATCCTTTCGGTCATTACCCAAAGCATGACCAGAAGTGAGAGTCCCTCAATCGTCTGATAGAGCACAGGCTAATTTAAAATTAAACATTACACATGAGAGGTTACTCTCATCTGATCCTGTTTTTTATGTTTTTTATGTCCTGTACAGTGTCCTTGGGTGTTTTGAAAGGCGCTTTTAAATAAAATGTATTATTATTATTATCTAGAAGTAAGAAATCAACAAACCATTGGTTTGAAACCCAAACTTTAGATAAATGTATCTATAGTGATCTCTCAATGTTGCTGTAATCTAATGCTTTGTGCTTTACGTTGGTACTAGAATGTTAGAAAACTAAATGCATTTATTACATGAAGAAAACACGTACAAAGACTCGACACCTAAAACAAATCTACAGACAACTTCACTCGAAATAAACCCACCTTTCTGTCTAATTTTGGACCTAAATACCACTTGAAGCACCTACGCCAACCTGCAAAGTCTTTGGACATATCATTACGGTCTCGCTCACATTCATCCTAATGCATTCCTCCCCCAACCTCACTGAACATCACGTTACAAGAACTTTACACAAATTACTCCCAAGATCCACACACACGAGCAAATAAACACGCAAACACAAACACAGCCGTCCCTCAGTGTGTGCGCCTGTCTGCCCACAAAACTCTTTTTAGGTTCTGGCCACCGGCTTCACTGAACTGACCAGCTCGCAGTGACACCAATAATTACCGCTTATGTCCACCTCTTCAACAGGAAAGCGCCATAAGACACACCTTTTCATGGTCTTATATTAAGTATATATTTTTTAAGCCAGATAATTCTGAACAGGCAAACTTCTGAGTGGTGTTTGCATGTTCTACCTGTGTCTGCGTAGGTTTCCTCACGGTACTCCGGTTTCTCCAATCACTAAAAACATGTACAATAGTTCTGGCATACGCCTCCTGTACTGGCGACACCGCTCCCATCTCTGTGTGGAGTGAGAGACAAATGCCCACACTTGTAAAGCGCTTTGCTATATAAATAGACAAATAAATAAATAAAGAAGATAATTCAACATATGGTATAACTGGTTCCAATGGCTTACCAGCCGTTGAAAAGTCAGATAAACCTACTGTTCATTTGGAAAAATAAAGGGACAAGAATTTTACCCATATTAAGTTTACATTTACCCAATCCCTAACTTCTGGAGTGAGGTTTTGCTAAAGTAGCGTTATTTTTTTAAATCTTGTCCTCACAGAATGGTTGTTAGATGCCTTTCTGCTTGTATGAAATGCGCTCTATTAAGAAAATTGGATTGATTGTTTGATTGATATCCGAGTGGAGTTGGCATGTTGTCCCTGTGTCTAAGTAGGTTTCCACCGGGTGCTCCGGTTATCTCCACCACAAAAAACATGTACATGACGTACAATCGTCCAGTTCCTGCCCATCAACATCTGATCATGACGCTGCACTGTGGCGACCACTGCTCCTGACAGAGGACAGGAACCCTACGGCGATCATAAGAGTGTACCTTAACCTTAACACTGAAAAAGATTTGAGCTGTAGTCGACCAAAGAAAAATCACTCAAATGTAACTTTTTAATCTGGCTTGATCATCAAAGTGTGGACTCAAATCTTCAGAGGATTTGCACCATGCCTTCCTATTCTTGCCGTTTTCCCGTTGGAAACCTAGCAATTACAAATATTTAGTCAACTAATTCAACATTTTGGTCGATCATGACATCGTTGGCCAGTTAATCACTTCAAGATCTCAAGCCTAAAAAATTAAAAAAGTTTAAATCAGAACAAAATTCTATTTAAAATACATATCTATTTTAAACAACATATTTATTGTTTCCCTTCTGATTTAGGAAATACACATCGGCTCAATTTCTCTGTGAGTTAACTATGTTCATTCTTGCTAAAGAATACTTGTGGTGTTCCTTTCTCCTGCGGCTGTATTGAAATACAGTTTATCCCTCATTAACATTATTGGAGTTAGTGATAACATCAGTGCTTTAATCCAGAGTATGTGAGTTCTTGTGTCCATCAGTGCTTTGTCAATCTAAAATAACATCAGTGTCTCTGCTCGCTGCGTCAGCACTTCCCACTCTGCCGTGCGGAGGCTTCTTTTGTCTTCACTTGTTAATTTACTCAGAGCATTTCTGCAGATGTTTGAACTCTCTCACACACTTTGTGGCACTTATACAGTGCAATGCACTAAGCCACTTTTCCACGAGTCCAGTTTCATCACATCCTCTCATCTCAACGCTGATGGCGACGTCTTCAATTGTTCTACTGACTTTCACCTTCTGCTTCTTCACAATTGTTTTTACAACTTTAGTATAATCCTTTAATGCTGTGTCAATGATTATAAGCCACATCTCAAGGAAAATGTGGTGGTCTGGCCCTTTTTTGTTCCTCACAGTTTGATTATAACCATCTAAAGACAACTCGCTGTCCCTCTCAAAGCTCCTCCAGACGAGCAGCTCTGCCTAATTGCCAGTTTGCGCTGTGGCTTATGGTCTTGTGCGATCGAAGATGCATAAAACATCCCTCACATCTCGACCCGGAGACACGAAATGCTTTTCTTTACATTTTAAAAAGCGGGTGGGAAAACCAGTCTGTTTTGATCAAGGCTTGATTCTGTGGTTAACTTTACTTTCCCAAAAAAGCTGAGAGATGCTCATAAAGTCCTCCTGTTCAGATGGATCGGTTTACATCAGAGCCTTCCAGACAGTCACATTTGAGGGAACAGGGAATGGGGAACAATACTGAGACATTTAAACTGCATTGTTTTGAGAAAAAGGAGAACAGAGAAAGTCGATATGTACGTGCATATTTCCATGTCTGGTGTGTGTGTCAACATGCTACTGCTCGACCGCATTGCAGACACTGCCAAGCACAGCAGGCAATTATATGGGTAGCACTCTCTCTGCTGCTCCCCCATCCTCCCCGCGAACTCACACCCCCATGCCGTCTGTCTCCCTCCTTTTGATTTACCGCACAGTTATGAAACCATTTAAATTGTGGAGACATGCAACGCCTGTATTTTTAGTTCAATTTTCATCTTTAAGTTATGACACTCCGTTAATATAATTGGTTGAGAGGATTAGCAGTGTTTCACATTTGCTTAAAGCCAAAAACATAGACAGAGAAGTGTTACATTATGGAGACAGAGGTGGGTTGAAAAAATAGACAGAGAACTTTAGTATAAGAAAAGAAAACAGTGCTGAAGGAACAGGAGCCAGTTAAACCAATGAGAGGAACAGGAGATTACAAGTGAAGCGTGGATTGTTACGGAGGAACGACTATCCAAATATATGTGTGTCTTTTGCATGGATTTTTGCATGAGCAGCTTCCGTCTATATGTGAAAAACAAAATAAACTTTTCCATCAATGAACGCCCAGACCAACAAAACTCCAGACATCCACACACACAAACACACTCGCACACACACACACAAAACCAACACTAAATAATAGGTAATGCTTATCTGAGGCTGGAACTTTCCTACGGCGGTGCAAGAAATCAGCCTTTTTCTTGCTATTTGTGGTAGGCCTGTTCCTTGGTTTTGTCTGTGTGGCTTTCCCTTGGAGGCGAGTCCCATTCAAGACCAATTACTCACCTAGAGCACTGCCGGACATATTCCGGACCCTCGCTGGTGTGCTATGGACAAGGAAATGTGTTCTATTTTAGTTAGTCAAATATTTAATTGCATCATGAGTCTAGCTGCATACGGTAAACTGTCCCTCTGGTCTATAGTTGGAGCTCATTCATGAAGGGCGTCAGTCACTCGCCACCTGCCTGTGGTTGCACTGGTTGATGTGGTTGGGAAATGTATGTGTCACTCAGCCACAATTCGGCAGCTTTCTTGGTGAAGTTTTCAGCAAATTCATATTTTTTTACTTTTCACACAAGACCCTTTGTACACACGCAGTTTTCTTAACTGTAATGTCAGGCAATATTTCTGTAGCAGGCAATAGTTTAGAGAAATCTGTTGGAGTTGGCCAACCTCAAAAAGGCCCATGGGAGGGATTAATGTACAGTGGTTTGTTTATATATTTTAAGTATGTTTCCATGCATGTCGGAAGAGGAGACACAGAGACACATATAGAAACTGAGAAGCTAATATACCCTTCCAAGAATGACACACAAGGAAACTTCTTCAGGTCAATCGTTTCCCCTAAAAATTTCACCTAAAACGGCAACAGAACCATCATTATGTATTTAAATATGTATTTTTCTCCCATAGGGCCATAAAGAGTACATCTCTCTTATTGTTACATCCATCAGTGAGTTACGTTATTATGGAGTTTGTTAGTTATAGTAAAATACAAACATAGTAAGTTTGCAGCCCAAACTTATTCCTCACATCAAATCAACCAGGACTTCATAGCCCAACAAGCAAAGTTTTCCTCATAATAATATTACCAACTATATATGGCCTGTCGATAATATAATCGCGTTATTAGTACCTTTTTACACATTAAATTTTGCGATTTGCATATCCTCAAACTAAAAATGATATTCCCAGGTTATCTCCCTTTTACTGGGGAAAACACATACATGACCTACGGTTCAATAGTCTCCAATATGTTGGCCATTTCTTCAGTCTGATAAGAATAATTTTGGTGAGAAATAACACACTTTGTCAATGTCATTTTAGGAAACTGTGGGACTCCAAACTGTCTGATCCATCTTCCAGGTATATTATTATGCTATTATATGACTATAATATGTGCCATGATGATCAAAGGCCTGCTTTGCTATTGAAGTAACGTGATGTCTCCTGTTAGGCTGGGGGGGCTGGTCTCTAAGAAGGCTTACTGGGTGGAGAAGGTGCAGTGTCAGGGCGTGGAGGCTTCTCTGTCTCAGTGTCAGACGCTGCTGTCTCTGCCCCGCGAAGAGGTGCCCTGTCGCGGCGGGATGCACGTGGTGGTCCGCTGTGTCCCTGGAGCTCAGTTCAGCCGCTCCGGCAGAGCTCCTGCTCCTCCCGCCACACCTGTGAGTACAGACTGTGGCGTTACATCTACAGACTGTGACGTTACATCTACAGACTGTGACGTTACATCTACAGACTGTGGCGTTACATCTACAGACTGTGACGTTTACATCTACAGACTGTGACGTTACATCTACAGACTGTGACGTTACATCTACAGACTGTGACGTTTACATCTACAGACTGTGACGTTACATCTACAGACTGTGGCGTTACATCTACAGACTGTGGCGTTACATCTACAGACTGTGGCGTTACATCTACAGACTGTGACGTTACATCTACAGACTGTGACGTTACATCTACAGACTGTGACCTTACATCTACAGACTGTGACGTTACATCTACAGACTGTGGCGTTACATCTACAGACTGTGGCGTTACATCTACAGACTGTGGCGTTACATCTACAGACTGTGGCGTTACATCTACAGACTGTGGCGTTACATCTACAGACTGTGGCGTTACATCTACAGACTGTGGCGTTACATCTACAGACTGTGGCGTTACATCTACAGACTGTGGCGTTACATCTACAGACTGTGGCGTTACATCTACAGACTGTGACGTTACATCTACAGACTGTGGCGTTACATCTACAGACTGTGGCGTTACATCTGCAGACTGTGGCGTTACATCTACAGACTGTGACGTTACATCTACAGACTGTGACGTTACATCTACAGACTGTGGCGTTACATCTACAGACTGTGACGTTACATCTACAGACTGTGACGTTACATCTACAGACTGTGACGTTACATCTACAGACTGTGGCGTTACATCTACAGACTGTGGCGTTACATCTACAGACTGTGACGTTACATCTACAGACTGTGACGTTACATCTACAGACTGTGGCGTTACATCTACAGACTGTGACCTTACATGATAGCACATAGGACCTTACAGGACCACGAACACGGGTCGACCATGAAGCTAACTCTGATGATTAGCAGCTAAAATGTGGTGTTATAAGCACAACCATAAACACACAGCTTTCTTGTACGAAAGTCCAACGGACCGAATACAGTCTACCGAGCTGTAGGAGACGTAAGGCCACATGTGATAAGGCCACATGTGACTACTTGCCCGAGGAGTCTGGTCCTGGTGAATTCACTTGTCGTTACATAGTAAAATACGTTATAATTAATGTAAACCCGCGTATTTAGTTTGCTGGTCAGGTAAATACACCCACGGTCAGTATGGTCAGTCACCGCGGTAAAGAGGGCCGCACATTTAAAGCGGGTTGCCGCTTACAAGCCGCGGGGATGAGCCGCCACAATGGACTTTTTAACATAATTTGTTTCAAAAAACAAAAACCACCTTAGAAAAAGCTTTCGCTGCACATTTGTTCACTGTGATGCCTTCTATTATTGTGCAAAGTGATATTCACTTTTACTGTGGAAATTCCAAGAAAATGGGGGTTAAAATGTGCAATATTGATCCAAAATGCACTTTTTAACCTTTTTAACAAGTAATATTCCAAAATAACAATTTCCTTATACTCTCTTAATGTCTTGAGACTACTTTCACTGTACACTCTAGGGACAAAAATTACACCAATGTTTGTGTCCAATCTTTTTCATAAACAGATTTGAAAAACCAGTAAATGTGACAGGAGGAAAATAATAACATGCATCACTTTACGCTGCTGTAACCATAACAGCATAAAGCGCCAACCCGCCTTTAATGTGCGGACCTCTTTACCGCTCGCTCCCAAAAGCTGGAGCTCTTTACCGCGGTATACAGTCTACACGTGAGTGCCTCCACTACTTCCGACCCGGTCCTTTATGATCCGGTTCTGAACATAGAAGGATAATCACCTACACACAATTCTATAGCGATAGTAATAAAACCACCAACTATAGGGAAATGCTTAGAGTTTAATAAGTTTGTGAAGTTTGTGAAAATAACATTTCCATGGAAACGACAGAAGAGGCTCCCTACACGAGTCATGTTTGTGGAAAGGCAAGCCCTCACACAATGAGAATGTCTTTATTATACCATAATCCAGTGCCACTAGCGTAGACTAAATATATTTATCTGTGTTTAATTCATTAATTTAGACTGAATTGCTGTGGATTGCTATAAATTAAATGTAAATGTAAACAAACCAGTCTGCAATGTATGTTATTGTAATAACTACTCAATAGAATAATTTGTTTGTTCCTTTATTTGTATATAAAGCCAGTAGTGCGTCTGAAGTCCGGGCCCCGGCTTGGAGAGGGCCGGGTGGAGGTCCTGAAGGAGGGCAAGTGGGGCTCCATCTGTGACCATCTGTGGGACATCAGTGACGCCAACGTGGTCTGCAGAGAGCTGGGCTTTGGGACCGCCAAAGAGGCCATGGGACAGGCTCAGCTGGGACAGGGTAAGACATACACTCACTATGCAACTGTCTTTGAAGTGGAAAGCCCAGCCAGACTACAGCACTTTTACTTCAGATGTCTGCTTTTTACATACAAATCAGATCATACACCCTGTGCTTGATCATTTCACCCAAGCATCTTTGAGACTAAACACTTGTGTGTCTAAATGACGTAAAGCCTGAGTACAAGTGACTTTGAGCAGACAAATAAACCCAGTGCAAATGTTTACTGCTGCACGATGTGCAGCAGTAAACATTTGCATTGGGTTTACTGCTGCACATCTGAGATGTGGATTTTGAAGGAATTTACCCATGACTAATTAAACATGAAGCTTTAGTGACTCTCACTGTTTGGGTTTGAAAATAAATGTGTTGCATTTGAAAAGTTAGCTCTAAAACCACTTTACAACTGTCAGAGCAGGTCCAAAGGCTGTGGCTTTTCTGGCTGCCATCTGGAACGAGTTTGTGCCCACTTAATTTCAAAAAACATAACTTAATAGTGCCTACTTTCTCCCAGTTGTTTATTGGTTCTCTGCTTCACCTCAGCTGTAATCAAGTCCATTTCCTGTCATTATCTTTGTACCAAAATAAGTAAATACACATTTCCAATAATAGTGGTGGATTTCCTTTGCTCAATTGAAGCTAATTAACTAATTCATGGAAATAATTTGAGGTTAGCTGCTGTACAAGAAGGTGTTATGCAGTGATGTCTCAATAATAGACATAGTTGGATGTGTTAACTATGTATTGTGGCTGTTCATTCCTGAGAATAGCACAGAGAGTTGAAGCCATTAGTCTGCGCAGCAGAGACCTATAAAGTCTCGTGACCAGGGTCAGAGCCGCATTATGAAGATGACATCATTAGCTATTTTTGTACAAATTGCAGGGCTTCATGGAGCTCGAGCCTCACACACCTACGCAAACAGTGTGTTCAGAGATTTTCCTCTTTTAGACATTATCTATTTTTGCAAATAAACTATAGTCCTGGTGTACTGCAGCAGCTGAGGGTAGTGTACAGCCATTGGACAAATCATTTAAGGACCCACATCTAAGATTCCCATCAATTCTGTCCTTTTAATCCTGCCGAAGAGGTTCAGTGCTCTGTGAATGTACAGCTCAGACTCGTGGATGTGGTGGGTATAGTGGTATGACCTCTGCACGCCCTTCTGTTTTAGGTACCGGCCCCATCCACATGAACAGTGTCCAGTGCACAGGCCGGGAGAGGACCATCAGCGAATGTAGCTACAGACCAGTACCGCTGTACACCTGCAAACACAACCAGGATGTGTCTGTGCGATGCAATGTTCCCATCACCGGGATGCAGGCTTCGGTAAAGTCCTCTACAACAATCGCACGCCTGAGTGTTGATCTCAGAGAAGAGTAAGCTGCATTTTCTACAATATAGGTGCGCCTGGCTGGAGGAAGAGAAAGAGCTGAGGGTCGAGTGGAGGTGCTGATGGACGTTGGAGGAGTGAAGCGATGGGGTTCTGTGTGCAGCGAAAACTGGGGGATCAACGAGGCCATGGTGGTGTGCCGACAGTTGGGTCTGGGCTTTGCGTCCAATGCACATCAGGTAAAATGCAGGTCTATTGGCTTCTTTCTTTTCTTTGCTTTCTGCCAAGTCTTTTTTTCTGCTGTTGTCCCTTGCTCTGTGTGTGCTGTGTTATTACCGAGGCCGGGTGTAATTACAGGCTTCTCAAACGTCCACTTCCAGCGCAACTAAAATAAAAGAGGGAAAGTGAGGTGAAGAGAGACTGAATTTCACAGAGAAAACAAACTCAAAAATAGACAAGTGCATGGAAAGAACAGCACAAATATTCCCCAGTGAATAATGTGCAATTTGTGCAAAACCGTTGCCATTAATACAACAGTCTTACTCTAACGTATCTTGACATTCAATCCACAGTTTGCAATCTTTGTTTTCTCTTTGAAGGAGACGTGGTACTGGCCCAGCTCTGCAGACGCTGGAGAGGTTTTACTGAGTGGAACACACTGCACCGGCAGCGAAATGTCCATCCAACACTGTCGACGAAACACAAACGTCTACTGTCCCAGAGGAGGAGAGGGCCGAGCAGCAGGAGTCACTTGTGTTGAGGGTAACGTCTCCTAAAACTCGCCATGAAAGACTCATAGAGTCAGTCTAAAAATACAATACGTAGAGACATAACAGATTAACAATGAGAGCCCTACACACACCACTATGATTCACCAGCTCACTAAACAAATTTGAGAGAATAAACGGTTTTTAAGATGTGATTTCACTTTATTTTACAATGACAAAGAATCGTAGCATTGACTTGGGCAAAAATTTGTTGAAGTCTTGGTCACAGATCTTTTCTGTGCTTGTTTGTATGTATGTAAGTATGGTATGTCATTGGGTGTTGCATGGTGTTTGGTGTCACATTATACGGTTTCTGAAGCTAAAATGAGCATATTGTGCTGTCTTTGAAGCTGCCCCTGACCTGGTGGTGGATTCTCAGCTGGTCCAGGAGACGGCGTACCTGGAGGATCGGCCGCTGCACCTGCTCACCTGTGCTCAGGAGGAGAACTGTCTGTCGTCCTCCGCGGCCCGGATGCACTGGCCCTACGGCCACCGGCGTCTGCTGCGCTTCTCCTCACGCATCATGAACGTGGGACAGGCTGACTTCAGGCCGCGAGCCTCCAGGGAGGACTGGGTCTGGCACCAGTGCCACAGGTATGAACCTTATATTAGTCATTATACAGTATCGCTTTTTCTGGGTGTTGGATATATCCTCACTTGTTACTGTTTAATCAGGAACGTCACTCATTTAGATTTAATACAATCTGTTTACATCAACACAAAGATGAGATCATCAGATTTAAGTGAACTTTGCAGAAAACGTCTTACAGTATATATATTCATACAGTATATATATTTGACCATATTTGTATATTTTGCGGCTTTGACCTTGCACATCATGAGATGAAACTGTCGTTCACAGATACAGTGTAATGATATGGCTTTTTTATTTCTAGGATTTGTTCTAAAAATAAGAGATTGGTCTGTTATTTGACTCTATAAACAAAATCTTTTATCGTTCGCAGTGATGTTTACGACAAACATCCTCCACTGGTCACCTAGTTGTTAGAGTCAGAGCAGGCTATGCGTCTTATCTTTGTGGTTTGTGGCTTCATCTCCTAAATCGAGAGGCTCCATGGAGCCACAGCGGCCACCACTTCTTCCACACATTCACTCATGGTCTGCACAAAAGATGTGTTACCCAAGTCTTTCAAACATCGGGGACATGAAAAGTCATAAACTGCACTTTAAACACACAGAACAGTCAGTTTGGTTTCAAGTTTTCAGTGTATTTCTTCTGTTGTTCTGCTCTGCCTCAGGCACTACCACAGTATTGAAGTCTTTACCCATTATGATCTACTGACACTCAACGGGACTAAAGTGGCTGAAGGACACAAGGCAAGTTTCTGCTTGGAGGACACCTACTGCCCTGAAGGTGAGATATCTGTTAGATATACCGCTGGTGTTGTTAAATAAAACTATTTGAAATAGGTTGGATAGATCTGAAAATAGTGTTATGATAGAGTAAAAAACGTTTTCCTTTCTTGTTTGTAGGCCTCCATAAGCGCTACGCCTGCTATAACTTGGGACAACAGGGCATCTCTGTGGGCTGCTGGGACACATACCGCCACGATATTGACTGTCAATGGATCGACGTAACAGATGTGCGGCCGGGAGAATACATCTTCCAGGTGAGGAAGCTTTTGTTCAAATTAAATTAATACATTTTTTGCTTTCACTGTTGGTCTAATCTATGTCAAACCAGCAAAGATAGTTACTCATACTGATCATTGCTGATTAAAATATGAAACATATTTGTGTCTGAGCAAAGGTTGCATGTAATAATTCTGATGATATTTGTGAGAAACTTGGCAAACAGTGAAGTGTTTCAGCATACAGGCACTCATCAGATAAAAGCTATAATAGAAGACTGTAATTACACTGATTGGGGTTTTGGCTGCAACGTGAGCTTTTCAGGTGTACAGCATGTGTGCAGCTTAAGGGTGTGTATGCAGTGAAAGAAAGTGAATTCATACTGGATTTTTATAGAAAAAGTAGACCTGCTATTAGTCTACCATTTCGCAAAATAGCGGCTTATTGGCAGTGGAAAGCCTCCGTCAGCGCTCTGCGTTTGTGCACAGTGACTATTCTGTTTTCAGCTCATGGTTAAACTTCATGCATCCTCTTTGAATGAGTGCTTTTGCACACTGTCATCTCTCTCTATCATTTAGTCTATTTTGGCTGAGAGAGATGATGTTTACAGTTGTCATGATTTTCAGCCTTTATATAAAAGTTTGGTATCCTTGGGAACTGCAGAATGCACAGATTTCACAGATTCTATATTTACTCACTGACTGATATTGAACTGATATTCAACAAAAGGGAAAGAAAGTCTCAAACTCATCTTTTTTTTAATCATTTTATACAAGAACAACATACAAGAAGTTCTGAGATTTTGTGGAAATTAAGAATTTAAATATTAACATTATATGTAAATACCTGCAGAAATCTTGTTTCTCATGGTTTCTTTATAACAAATGTGCACACACACGTGTCTAAAACATGTGCCGAGTCACGTCTCTCTGGGCGACCACATGTGTCATCAGAGTGCAGTGCAGTCCTGTTTTTGCCACGATGGCTGTACTTTGCGGCCCCACAGTAGCCGGGCGGCTCATAAATTGATGTTAAAAGTGCGAGACAGATGCTCGCTTGTCTTCCACGCCACAGCTGGGTGTTTCTTTGTGCCTTCACCTCAGTCTCAGGGTGGCAGACTTTTTTAGGAGCATGCATTTAGGCCCATGAGTCACGCTCACCTCATCTTGATAGCTGCTGATTGCTCCAGCATTTTAACACTGCTTGCACAAGTAGAGTCTTTATATAGTTGTGACAACATTCATTGTTGTGTAAAAATACAATTACAAAGGGATCCTCAAACTAAATTATTTAATTAGGGTATTGTAAAGAATGGAGACTTTCAACATTTGATTGTTTTTTTTTGTAAGCAGAAATCTGAGAACTTTGTATAAGGGGAAATAACTTGTGTGTTTTTAATATATAGTAACTGCACCAGAGAGCAGGCAGGGTGGAAAAGAACAAACCATCTCGACCAATCATGGCTTCAGGCTAATGATAGGCTGTGAGTTACAATCAAAACCCAAAACTGTCATCTACAACCTTTACTGCACAGATAACAGTGGAAAGTGATGTCATGCCCATCCTCAACCCACTATTTTAAGACCTATAGAAAAGACAAGGGCAATAATCTGAGTTGGCACAGACATAAAAAAGTTGTTTCTTCAGAGGCTCAACTCTCCCTCCTCTTTTTCTTTAAATACAAAACCCACCAGCGTTATGAATAAGCAGACATACAACTGGGTGTGCCTTCAGCTGAAGCTACTGAAAGATGGAGTGCACGTAAACTCCATTGTGAACTCTAGGATCGTTTTAAGAGATGATTTTATGTTTGATATATTTTAACTGAATCCCTCTTTTACTAGGTGGAAGTCAATCCTTCTTTAGACATGGCAGAGTCTGACTTTCAGAACAACGTGATGCGGTGTCGATGCAAGTACGACGGAGCTCGAGTTTACATGTTCGGCTGTCACGCAGGTACGGACCAACTCTTCAGGTTTCGATCAATCGTATAAAATATTTGAGAAACTGAGACCTTCGTATGTACGCTTCATTAATGTCACTTTCTATGCAGAGGCAAGGTAAGTTTATTTGTATAGCACATTGCACACTCAAGGCGACTCAAAGTGCTGAACAAAACAAGATAATCACACAATCCCTCTTTTTCTTTAAATGTGAAACAAATTTACACAAAATTAAATTCAGGGTGTGGATTATTTAACCTAAATATTGAAAGGTTTTTTGAGTGATTTTTTTTTTCCTTCATCTTACAAAGAAAGTGTCACTGAATGCAGCTGCGGTTTAGGGAGTTGGAAATGTACGGTTTTACATCAGAAAATGGAGCTCTGTGATTTTGATGAGGAAATGTTTGTGTATTTTTGTGGACAAATGGAAATTAGCATTGTACTAAATCAGGTGCATCTTATTAATGCAACTACTGTTTTCTATAAAGGTGCAAACTGTCCCGGTGGTTCAATGCCTCCTTCTTCATAGAAATGTTATCGCTTCACTTGATATGTCGCTCAGTTTGGTTTAAAATATGTACTTGGACAGTCTTCTTGTACAGCTAAGTTCTCAATCAATGTTTTCTAACCCTATTTTTTATGTATACTTGATGTAAATACAATTCTCAAGTATGGAGGAATTTAGTACTTTGGTTTACAGTGACAAGTCTCCTCTCCACAGATAAGGCAAGAACAGTGTTATGAAAACTGTTACACACATCTAGGAAGAAAATCAACAAAAGCAACATTTAGATGAACCCCAAAAAAAAGCAGAACCAGGACAATTGAAGTTAACTAACCATTCATTTGAATGGGTATATAGATCTGGCACGGTGAAAGAGTGGACAGCACTCTCACTTCTCAGCAAGAAGGTCCTGGGTTCGATTCCCGGTCGGAACAGGGCCTTTCAGAGTGGAGCTTGCATGTCTGCGTAGGTTTCCTCCAGGTACTCCGGTTTCCCCTACCTCTAAAACATGTACAATAGGTCTGGCATGCGCCTCCTGTTCTGGCGATCCCGCTCTCATCTCTGTGTGGAGTGAGAGACAAATGCCCAAAAATAACACTTGTAAACCGCTTTGAGACTCTGGTCTGAGAAAGAATACTTACTTACACCACAGATCTACAGTAAATGCAAAGAACTTCAGTGCATTGGGCGGCACGGTGGCTGAGTGGATAGCACTCTCGCCTCTCAGCAAGAAGGTCCTGGGTTCGAATCCCGGCCAGACCAGGGCCTTTCTGAGTGGAGTTTGCATGTTCTCCCCGTGTCTGCGTAGGTTTCCTCCGGGTACTCCGGTTTCCCCTACCACTAAAAATATGTACAATAGGTCTGGCATGCACCTCCTGTTCGGCGACCCCGCTCCCATCTCTGTGTGGAGTGAGTGGACAAATGCCCAAAAAATAACAATTGTAAACCGCTTTGTGACTCTGGTCTGTGAAAGGCGGTATATATATAAAGCTTACTTACTTACTTACTTACTTACTTACTTACTACTTACTTACTTACTATTGCAGTTTGTTGAAGTCTTCAAAGTTTTGTTTGAAGACATGTCTTTTGCATATTCTCCTGGTGGGAGGTCTATTGCGTCACAATAGAGCTTTATTAGTCTAGAAGATAAATGTTGAGTTTGATCTCTTAGCAGAATATCAATCATTGTTTTGAGCCCCACGCTCAGGTTTAGCATTGTGTGACGTCTTCTTTTGTTTTTCAGGCGATGCATACAGCGCAGAGGCTGAGGATTTGTTCGACCATCAACAGCAGATTTCCAACAACTTCCTGTGAACCCAGAAAAAATGACGCAAACAGTTGAACACACCCCAACATGCAGAGGGAAAATATGAGCTGGGCATGCAGTGGTGTTTTGATGGGACATTTGCAGAGACTGTTTCTGCAAGTCAAGAACTTGAAATTGAGAAACTGAGAATCCAGACAAACATGTCACTTTGGTGAAAGTAGAAAAAGTGATGTTTTACAATTATATTCCCTATTAAAAACAAAACTATGTTGAATGCAGTCATGACTAAGGAATATGACATTCTTTTATTAAGATGAAAAAACTGCACCAGATCAAAAGTGTTGTCCTTTTCTTTTCATGTTTCATATTTTGACTTGTAGTACACAAATTTTGTGATCTGGTTATGTTTTTATTTCATGGTGCTATTTTGCCGTATTTGAATAAATATTGTAATGTTATGCAATTGTATGGTCATGTACAGTTTTATAATACCTCTTTACAGTATTGCTAAGTCTCTTATTTATACAGAATCGATGTATGATAGACCAACCTTTGTCCCTGTGTGGCTGTGTTTTGTATTGTTATTTTATTCAAATGTTCTGCACCTCAGGGTGAAACAAGCTGGATGTAAGTGCTCCTTTAAACTTACTTTCTGCAATGATAGTGAAAGAATAAAGAAAACGTGAATGGCTATTTGAGCCATGTTTACCACAAAATATTGTTTTGAAATTTGTTTTTATTTAGTCAGTCCTAAATTACCTGATCATAACAATTACAATAGTTTCTTAATGAGCAATAAATGTTTCTAGATTACTGCCACTGTGTAATACAAACAAGTTTTTAAGCTGTAGATGGTGGAATAAAATAAAGTTCACTTTTATGGCCACTTTTTCTCAGCCAGTTCTTTTGATGATATGGAGAAATGGAAGAATGACTTACCTAAAAATATGTAGCCATGCAATAATACATGTTTGGGAAGTAGTTACAACATTATATAATCTATCACAATGTCTGAAGCAATATCATTCATCCATATTTTTTTTTATTGTGACAGGCCAAGTAAAATTTTTACAATTGTTCAAACTTCAAAAGAATCAAGAATAGGTTGTAGCCACAGCTGTCCTGGGGTAGACAGACAAAAACAAGCACCACTGCTGGTGCAAAAACAGCTAAAAGGGTAAAGTGTTGCAGGCTGTTTGAGTGGAGCCACTGTGGCACCTCATGGCCACATTTTAAGTACTGAACAGGAAATTAAAAAGGAGATTTTTAGTAACATATTTGATTTTTGTACAGTAATGCGGCAAAGTATATTATGCAGACTTCAAGTCCGTCACCACTACTTTAATAGGCGGAACAAAATGAATGAAAGACAGAGACTTCTACTTGTTTCCAGGATTCGAAATGACCCTTGTTTTACTGTAGTTTCCAAATAATTTTGTTTTACACCATGGAAACTCTATCACAGTATGCACCGTTTGAACTGAGAGCGATGAGAATAACATATCACTACACATCAAGAGGGAACAGTGTTTTGGGCTACAATAATCCGGCCAAATATCACCTCAAACAACCTGTGCTCCAAGTCTTTTGAATTACATAAAAATAATTAGAAAAAAAAGACATGTCTTTAATGAGTTGAGACTGAACCTCCTGACAGTAAAATGACAGCAGTTTGTACTAGCATTAACTTGGTGGTGGTTAGTGGTTGAGTGGTAAATCTATTAAGTTGATCTAATGAGCGTGTGAACTCAAAGCATTAGACTGAGTATATGAGTAATTATATATAATATTAAAAACACAAAAAAACAATGGGTACATTACACTTGTTCAGAAACATATTCATTCAAATGTACTGTATGGACCATATACCACAGAAATTCAGTGTCAAAATGGCTTTAAAACAAAGGCCTTTTGTAATGTGGCGTTTGAATTAAAATTGTGAAATATTTAAATACATTCCAAAGATTATTTTGCAAATATCAAATCTGCCTGATACACTTTAACGTTGATTTATAAACTAAAAATACACAAAATATCATTCCCTGAATAATATGTTTTAAAATACACAGATAAGAGACATTAATGTTTAAATCCTGTTTCAAAAGGAACTGCTTGTTCTAAATCAAAAAGTCAGAAAAAAAACATCCTTGAAGGAAAGCCTCCGGACTGCAATCCATGTTTGGCCCAACAGAGACTGATATTTTAGTCCCGGATCACAGAGTTCTGGGATGGTTTGAGGAAAAACGGTAAACAAAAGCAAAAGAAAAGGGAAGAAAAGTGTGGGAATCCTGTTCTGGGAATAAATGGAGGTTTGTGGAGAAAAAAAACAAACGGGAGGGGCATGGAGTTTATGGACAAAACCCAAGTCTTTTTGTAGACGGGGGGCCGTTTTCTTCTGTCAGTTTCCCTCCCAGGCGTCCTCTCTTTGTCTGGCTGCAAGACGTTTTTGATCTGAAAAAAAGAATCTAATTAACTAGTAATATATCCATTTACAATACATTTTGGATTTACATTTCTTGGGCCTGCTATGGTCAAATGTTAAACTAACTGCACAGAAATGTTATTTTGAGAAAGCAGATTTAAAAGTAAAACAGACAAAACATTTATTTATTTGTGTGCACTTGGCAAAGGTCAACACTGAGTTTGTTACAACACAAACTCCTCTTTGCACACAGCACTGAGGTCGCATAGGTTTGATCAAGAATTACCATGACTCTGCAATTTCACGCCCTTTGTAAACTTGTACTTTCAAAACCTCAATAATTGGTTTCACGGAGCAAGTACAAAGCAATTTCTCTGAAGTAACTTTCCCCCGAAAGCGTCAAAAATGGCAGGACACTTCTCCTCTCTCTACCAGCCGGATGCTCTGCGGGGGCGTGGCCCACGCACAAAGTCTCAGGTCAAAGCAAGAAGATAAAGGAATGGAAGCAGCAAAATACTCAATGTCTCACTTCAGAGTCCGAATATGGCTCCCTGACCAAAATTCATCTGCTATATAACTTCTGCTTCTAGTCTGGAGAAGGCTGATCAGATGTTATAATACATTCATGGACGAATCTTAAGAATTTGCTACAACATCCTCTGCAGCTCTTGAACAGCTCCCACTAGTGGCAGAAACAATGTAGTACATATACGTTTGTGCTTCATGGGAGTGGATCTCTGTCAGAGATTCTTGCTGACATTCTTGCTGACATAGGAGGGTGGAAGGACAAAGCATGCTCTATTCATTTGCTCAATTACATGAATTAATCTGTTTTCCTTTTTTTATATGGACCAATGACGAGTTCATTTATATTAAATATGACATGACATTCCAATTGATCTAATCAATTTGCCAATCAGCAATTTAGTGACAACCTTCAAGACGACTGCTGTTATAAAGAAAGAATACGTTTTTTTTCATACCTTTGGCATCTTGGAGTTTCTTCTTCTCTGCATCTCGCTGCTCCTTTGTCAAGTTGCTCTTCACACCCAGAGCTCCAATCACAAGCTTACGAGCCAGCGCTGCACTGGTCTGAGGTCGCTCCTTTGCAGGTAGAAGGTAGTCTTCACATAAAACAAAAGACAGATTTATATATATGCATTTCACACACATTTCATATAATCATAAGTGAAAAGTGAGTGCATTAGAGTCATACCAGAGGAACTGCGGGCTTTGGCCTTTGTGGCGGAGGAGGATTTGGACAGCGGGCGCACTTTCATCAATGGATGATTAGATCGAAGGGCTTCCCGAGCTATAAAAGTGTATACGTCATTCACAGATAATATATATAATAACAATAAAGCCAAGTTTGAAATTCAAATAGTTAAGTACCTGCTAATGAGCTTGAAAAGAGGCCAAGAGCATGTTTCTCATCAATCCATTTAATGTCCAAGCCTCTTTGTCTGAAAGTGGAAGGACATCCCTTGACTTAAAATTTACAAAAACTGAAAACAGCATGACTGAACTAATCGTGGCACATACTGGTTGGTGTGAAATAACTTGAGCAGGTCTTCTGTCTTAAATTCAGTGGGAAAGTCGTAAATCTCAATAATGTGGGACATCTCATCATCTGTGAGGTCGATGTCGTCATCGTATTCCCTGTTCATATTGTAGTAATCAAATCTGGAGTCTTGGATCGACTTTTTCCCTTTTCCATCTTCTATGGAAAGCTGGAACAAATAAAAATAGTAATTGTCATTTATCCCTTCATAGTGTCTTAAGAGAAAATCTGCAGGTCATGAAAATGCTGTAAAGCTATTATATTTGTGTCCTGAACTTAAAAAGGTACCATGCATGAAATTTACAGAATACATCTTATCTGTATCTCCAGACACAAGCATTAGATTCAACATTCTTTTCTGACTATTCTTAAAAATACACAATGGACATGACTTATGTTAAAAAAATATTATGATTGTATCCAATAAGATATGGTGTAATCACACTCCATTTATCTAGTCTGCAATTTATTTGAAGTGTTTTAAATGCTCTGATATTTGGGTGGTGCCGTGTTCAGTGCAGCCTCCCAGTGGTGTGGTGTTGTAAAGCTCCTTTGCTAAAACACTTGTGACTCTGTGACTTAATGTCCCACACAGACAACTGCAGGGAATAGACAGAATAGAGCAATAGAGAGCACAACCTAAGAGTTTCATGTATGGAAACAAAGGTTTAGGTTGTGATAAAGACTTTATTAAACCAGTGAGAGTGCAAACAGATTGATTTGCTAGACTTGAGACAGTGCAGCACCCGAGGTCCCATCTCCTTATGTTTATGCTGGCTAGGAAAGGACTTGTAATATGTCTATTTGAAGTTAATTTAACTCTATCTGATGAATCAATTCCATTGGAGAGAACAGTTGAAATAAGTATATCAATGTTTCCCTTTTGTTGTTTTTTTGTTTTTTTAAATAACATGAAATGATCATTTTGTGAACCTGGACTGAGCCTCCCAGAAATCCAGAAACCATCCCAGAAACAGTTTGGATCAGAAGCTCTAGTATATTTATATCCTGCAAATACTGCATTAAATCACAAATAGCCTCACCTCTTCAAGCACGTGAGCGTCCAGACACTCTCCATCGTCATTGAACATTGTGTCCCAACTTTCCTCTTCACCGTTTTCAATTTCCTCTAGCCCAGACGTACCATCAGCCGTCACCTCTGTCTCCTCAGGCTGATCTTTGCTTTGGGTTTCCTGCAGCAGCCTCTCTGTGGTTTCATCATGTGCATTTTCTGCATCCTGGTCAGCTCCAGATACACTCTCTGAAGCCCCAGCCTGGCTCTTCTTGTTCCTTGCATTCTTACGGGCTTTGTCAGTGTATCTTGGTCGGGGCTTTGGTGGACCATCTCCCTGGGATTGGGCTTTTTCTTTGGAGGACTGTCGTTGTTTGGGGACGTAGAGAGGCTGACTTGGCTTTTTGCTCTGAGAGGATGGCGTGGCTGAAGCTTGTGCTGCTGTAGTAGACTGTTCCTTTGGATTTTCCTGCTCCATTGTCCTAGCTGTGTATCAACCTTGCAAAGACGGTGGCAATGAACATATTAATACAGAATTCTTTAATCTATGAAGCAAATACTAAGTTGATAAAATAGCATAAAAGTGCCACATCTCTTAAAATTGTAATCTAGAAAAAATATCCATTATGATTGACTGACTGCCCTCCTGTTTTGGCTAGCGCTAATACCAAATATTCATCTCTTGTAAGTATTATCTATAATCCAAGGTTTAAATATGAACAACGGGATACTCACTTAAAACACTACGACTTATTCTTCGTTTCCAAAAGCAATGTGTACGGATTTCATTGGTTTTTCTCGGATGTTTTGGCTAGCCTGCGTTTGACTTGTTTTAGCTGCAAAGCGTCGCATTAATGACGTAAGCCGCAGCTTAACGCAAGGAATCATGGGATATGCAGTTCAAGTGTGTGTCTGACAAGCGTATTGTAATACAAATAAACGTAGTGTTTCAATAATAATCATGGTTTTGTATGTGATGTGAACTAACCTGAATGCCAGGTGTGTCTGTGTTTCAGGTTAAAACGTAGTTTACAAGTAAATGCAAAACATTCGTGGTACCAAAACTACTATCAACTGATTGGCCAAATACATTACGCTTACACAAGATGTTTCGTAAATGGCAAATTATGCACCTTGTTTGCTGAAGGAAACGGACATAGAAATTGTATAGTTATTGAGCAAAGGAGAGTGCGCCAACGTGCAGACAAGGAGGTACATGCAAGTATGATGCTGTTTATGGATTTGCATGCGCATTTTTCGCTTGTTTCACTTGAAGATGAAGATAAAGCTATGCCTTTGCAAGATGTATTGTTTACTTTACTTTTTTTGGGACTATTACTGTATTGCTCACCCTGTTGCACCATGAAAAAAGCAGAAAATTGGTTGATCTTATAAGTAATTGTTGTTGTTTTGTTTTGTTTTTCAGATCTCAATCATGTATTATTGGGTTCTTCTGGTTGGACTCTTATCCCCTCTCATCCAGGGGTCCGAGCCTCTGTTTCGAGACGTGACCCAGGCTGTGCTGGCGCCGAATAGACTGCACAACCCCACACAGCTCAACTACGGCATGGCAGTCACCGATGTAGATGGGGATGGGAGTCTGGAGGTGGTTGTTGCAGGGTGAGTATGAAGAAATAACAACACAATTATAAAGAGCTTGCTATTACATTATGATTCGGACCATCTGTCAAGACCACCACTTCCCCACAAAAGACAATATATGAATATCTTTCTATTGTCAGTGATTGTAAAATATGTACATTAGTTTTAGAATTTATTTGAGGTAAATTACAAGGACATCTGACACAAGTGATCACCCCACCCACAATTACCAAATCTAAATTTATTTGTTTTGGTAAATTGTTTGATTAATTACAGAGTGTACATTCACCCACTGTATTACAACAACAAACTAGAAACTTGCAATGGCTGAAGCCATTGCGATTGACTGCGGAACAGATCTAATGTGGAAATCTGCTAAAAAAAATCCTTGAAATCCTTTAAAAGGCCTTGAAACTGTTAAAATACTTGATAGATATTTGAAACTCCTGAAGTCCTTGAAATTGTTGAAACCTTTAAACTCCTGAAATCCTTGAAACTGTTGAAACATTGAAACTCCTGAAATCCTTGAAACTTTTTTAAACCTGGAAACTGTTGAAAGTGTGGAAACTCCTGAAATCCTTGAACCTCCTGATATCCTTGAAACTGGTTAAATTCTTAAACAGTTGAAATCCTTGAAACTACTGAATGTATTGAAAGTGTCCTTGAAACTGAAAAATCCCCTCACCGCTGAAACAATTTGGTTCCTGTAACTAAGGAAACCTGGTCTGTGGTCATTATCTGGTGGTGGTCTGAGTCTTCGTTTGGGTCTTGGTCTGGTGGTATAATGCAACCTATTAGGTTGCATTATACTGGTTTACATGGAAAAATCCCTATTAGGTTGCATTATACTGGTTTACATGTACAAATCCCTATTAAGTTGCTTTATACTGGTTTACATGTAAAAACCCCTATTAGGTTACATTATAGTGGTTTACATGTAAAAATCCTTATTAAGTTGCATTATACTGGTTTACATGTAAAAACCCCTATTAAGTTCCATTATACTTGTTTACATGTAAAAACCCCTATTAAGTTCCATTATACTGGTTTACATGTAAAAACCCTATTAAGTTGCATTATACTGGTTTACATGAAAAAACCCTATTAAGTTGCATTATACTGGTTTACATGGAAAAATCCCTATTAAGTTGCATAATACTGGTTTACATGGAAAAATCCCCATTAAGTTGCATTATACTGGTTTACATGAAAAAAACCCTATTAAGTTGCATTATACTGGTTTACATGGAAAAATCCCTATTAAGTTGCATTATACTGGTTTACATGGAAAAAACCCTATTAAGTTCCATTATACTGGTTTATATGTAAAAAAAAAACCTATTAAGTTGCATTATACTGGTTTACATGGAAAAATCCCCATTAAGTTGCATTATACTGGTTTACATGAAAAAAACCCTATTAAGTTGCATTATACTGGTTTACATGAAAAAAAACCCTATTAAGTTGCATTATACTGGTTTACATGGAAAAATCCCTATTAAGTTGCATAATACTGGTTTACATGGAAAAATCCCCATTAAGTTGCATTATACTGGTTTACATGAAAAAAACCCTATTAAGTTGCATTATACTGGTTTACATGGAAAAATCCCTATTAAGTTGCATTGTACTGGTTTACATGGAAAAATCCCTATTAAGTTGCATTATACTGGTTTACATGGAAAAAACCCTATTAAGTTGCATTATACTGGTTTACATGTAAAAACCCCTATTAAGTTGCATTATACTGGTTTACATGGAAAAATCCCCATTAAGTTGCATTATACTGGTTTACATGAAAAAAAACCCTATTAAGTTGCATTATACTGGTTTACATGAAAAAACCCTATTAAGTTGCATTATACTGGTTTACATGGAAAAATCCCTATTAAGTTGCATTATACTGGTTTACATGGAAAAATCCCTATTAGGTTGCATGATTACACTGAAGTCCTTGAAACTGCTGAAGTCCTTGAAACTGCTGAAGTCCTTGAAACTGTTGAAGTCCTTGAAACTCTTGAAATCTTGAAACTGCTGAAATCCTTGAAACTGTTGAATCCTTGAAACTGTTGAATCATTGAAACTGTAGAAATGTCTGAAAGAGCTGAAGTCCTATTAAAATGCATGGGCCTATTAAAATGCATTGCAGAATTCTCAATGCAGATTTTTGTCCGATTGCGGAAAAACCGGAAATCGCTGAAGTCCCAAAAGTAATAGCAATAATCTCCCAAACATGTGGAACGTTTTGATGTATAACTTGTGGAAATTGTTGAAAATGTGAAAGCTGTGAAACGTGTCAAAAAAAATGACGGAATAAAGAAATACAAAACCAATGGTTGACTGCGGAAGGTTCCGCAGTCAATCAAAAAGGATCGGACTGAAGCTACTTGCTTATTTAAGCCCATCCTGACATCATGTCACATGTAGGTCATACGCTACTTAAACACAACTTCTGTCACCTTACATTGTGTGCACCATGTGCACTTGTATATTGTAAATAGTAACTGTAACTCTATTTTAAATTTAAATGTATTCCTTAGAAGTGTTTTTTATTCTTTATTTTTATTCTTTATTTTTATTCTTTATTTTTATTATCTCTTTCTGACTGTTGCACTGAGCCAAAGCAATTTCCAAGTCTGTGACTTCCTGTTACTTATGTGGCAATAAAAATTATTCTGATTCTGATATAAAAAAATTTATAAGATACATATTACTGATAAACCTTAAAATACAAATTTGCTAGATCAACAAATTGTCCCTACACTGAACAATACATGAAACTCAAATTTTAACCTTTGAGTTTCATCCCAGAATTCTGGGATGCCTTTTAATTAATCAAACAAATAGAGTACCGTACATAAGAAATACCAAAGCAGCAATTTGTTCTTACTATTTCATGTGTTCACCTGCTAATGTGTTATATAATTAGTTTGAATGTGACACACATTATACAGGTATGAAGTTGCCAAATCTCTCGTTTCAGATACAATGGCCCTAACCTTGTTCTCAAATACGACAGCAGTCAAAGCAGACTTGTAAACATTGCAGTAGATGACCCTACCTCCCCTTATTACGCCCTGAGGGATACAGCAGGTAACGCCATCGGAGTCACTGCTTGTGATGTGGACGGAGATGGACGTGAAGAAATCTACTTCCTCAACACTAACAATGCCTACTCTGGTAAAGCATCAGGGTTGTGTTTCATTGGAATGAATGGTAACAAATGTGTGATTATTTATGGATGTATTTGATTCATTTCAGGACGGGCAACATATTCTGACAAGTTGTTTAAATTTCGCAATGGCCGCTTTGAAGATCTTCTCAGTGACGAGCTCAATGTACGCAGAGGTGTGGCCAACCGCATGGCAGGGCGTTCAGTGGCTTGTGTTGACAGAAAGGTAATTAATGATAATAATAACACCATGCATTGTACTTAAATAGGGCAAGAAAAATAATGTTTACATACTTTTGCTAAACAGGGAACCGGACGTTATTCCGTCTATGTTGCAAATTACGCCAGTGGAAATGTCGGGCCTCACGCTTTGCTAGAAATGGATGAGACGGCAAGTGACGTGACCAAAGGGTCCATTGCTCTTTCTGATGTTGCTTCCATAGCTGGAGTCAACAAACTCACAGGTGAAAACTCAGTATTGTTGAAGAGTAAAAAGGAACACTGCATTTGTGATTGTGTAGTGACTGTGTGAACTTTGCAGGAGGCCGAGGTGTCGTGGTCGGACCAATCCTGAGCGAGGCGAGATCTGATGTGTTCTGTGACAACGAAAATGGAGCAAACTTTCTCTTCAAAAATAATAATGATGGAACATTTGTGGATGTGGCTAAACAAGCAGGTTAGATTTTTTACATTTTGTTTTGCATCAAATAGAGATAGAGACGCTTTTGTGTCTACCTTGCATATGGTAGTAATAATATGCCTACTGTACACCACAATATTCTAAAATGCATAACATGCGTTACCCTATGTTAAATAAACTTTGAGTACACTGGGAGCCTGACACAAACAGTTAAAAGCAGATAAAAGTCCACTTCACAGTCTCTCTCCTCTGCCTTGGCAGGTGTGGAGGATCAGTACCAGCACGGCCGAGGAGTGGCTCTGGCTGACTTTAACGGTGATGGAAAGACGGACATTGTTTATGGAAACTGGAATGGACCACACCGATTGTATCTACAGGGCAGCGACTCAAAATTCAGGGTGAGAAAAAAAGACATTTAGTATTGTTCTATTTATACAAATATTTATTCATATTTTTCACTCATTTGATTTGTTTTCAGAACATAGCAACTGGAGGATTTGCCACGCCCTCACCCATCAGAACTATAATTGCTGCTGATTTTGATAACGACAAGGAGTTAGAAGTGTTTTTTAACAACATTGCATACAGAGGAAATGCACCTAACAGGGTTTTCAGGTAACCGCTCAAATATTGTATGTTAATTCTAAGAAAATATATTTGCAAACTGTATAAAGGCCTTGACTGTTTTGCACTTTAGAAGTTTTTCTGTCTTTACTATATTTCATTTTGAACATTTCAGGGTGTCGAGAAAGATCAACGCCAACCCTGTGATTGATGAGCTAAATGTGGGGGACGCAGCAGAGCCACAGGGAAGAGGAACAGGTACTTGGATTTACTGAATACAGTAAATAGTAAATCTTGTCAGTTATAGTTTTAAGCCTGTATTTCTATGTGTGCAGGAGGCACAGTCACAGACTTTGATGGTGATGGGCAGCTGGACCTGTTTATTGCACACGGAGAGAGTGCCCAGCAGCCAATATCTGTTTTCAAAGTCACACAAGTGAGTTTTATGATTAATAAAGATATGCATATATATATATATATATATATATATATATATATATATATATATATATATATATATATATGCGAGGGCCTGGAGGGTAAAGGTGACAGTAGTGCCCGTGGTGATCGGTGCACTCGGGGCAGTGACCCCGAAGCTAGATGAGTGGTTACAGCGGATCCCCGGAACAACCTCGGACATCTCGGTCCAGAAATGTGCAGTGCTAGGAACAGCAAAGATACTGCGCAGAACCCTCAAGCTCCCTGGCCTCTGGTAGAGGACCCGAGCTTAGAGAGGGATAACCGCCCGCGGAGGGCCAAAGGTGAGTGGACAATTTTATATATAGAGAGAGATGTTGATATTATTGTGAGCAGAAAGTGTCCCATTTGTCATAGATACTTTATCGATCCCGTAGGAGAAATTCAGTTGTCCAGTAGCGGCAGAAAAACATGCGTTAATCATACAATAGTATTAAAATGCAACAGCACTTCAGGCATGACTTCAGGTCACAGCAGCAGAGGTGGAGGAGCCACTTGGTTCAAACCATTTTCTCTGCTCTATTCCAAAGTGGGATTATGCTCCTGTTGTGAGCTGACTAGAGTCTGGGTGCAATGAACGTATTTACTTTTTTATGTATTTACTTACATTCAGTCAATATAATCTTGTTTCGTTAGGGCTCGTCCAATAACTGGCTGCGGATTGTCCCACGGACTCAGTTCGGATCGTTTGCGCGAGGAGCTAAAGTGACCGTGTTCACCAGTCAGAGTGGAGCTCTCACACGCATCATCGACGGTGGCTCTGGATACCTCTGCCAGATGGAGCCAGTGGCACATTTTGGTTTGGGTATGTAACCATTTTAGACAGTCCTCCAAAATTATCTGGAAACGCAGACCAAGGTCACAATTAGACTGAATTATATTTGATAATATGATCATGCTAAAAACTTTAGCATAAATTATCTTTGCAAATATTCTCTATCAATGAGACCTGAAAACAGGACCTTTGATCATAAAATTTCCTTTACTTGTGTCTTTTTTACTTGAAACTGACCTGTTGACTTCTATACTAATAATTATTGACAGCTTAACAGCAGACTGGATCATAAAACATGGGTTGAATACGAGTATTTCAATCTGCCTAAACATTTATTTGTTTTACTGTTAACCTGTTGAGCCTCTGACTGAGACCTCACCTGAAATACAGCTCAGGTTCTGGGGAAAAGTTTTTATTGTATCCTTTTATCCACAGCTTTTTCCTTGTACTGGTGTAACGGGACTCATTCTGCTTTGTGATCAGAGAATCGCCTTGAAAAAAATTAAAATCAATATCTCATACAAAAATGTTCTAACTAAAAATAACATTTTGTACATGCCAACCTTGTTTCCAGGGAAATAGTCTCACCGTCTGTCCCTTTCAGCTTTTAGTGAAAGTTTCTTTGGATGCAGGTGGTGATGAGGTGAAGGTCCTGGAAGTGTCCTGGCCCGACGGCAGAACAACATCCCGCTCACTTCAGGCTGGAGAGATGAACTCAGTGGTAGAAGTGCCTTACCCCAAAGATGGAGCCGTGTCTGTTTTAACTAATGACACTCAGGTATGTGCTCTGTGCTGCATGTTCAGTCAAATCAATATTTATGCAAAAACTCATCAATACAATGCTCTTCTTTAGTGCGGCCAAGGTTTTGAGGTCAGGAACGGCCGGTGTGCAGGTAAGAAAGACATCATCAATTGCTTTTCTTCTTCTTTTGTTACATTATGTGTCTCTTACGTTATACAGGTATTTGAAGATGACAAAGGAATGATGTCATCTTGTATGTTTTGCGTCTATTGCTTTGGGTTTTAGTCTTTTTTTTACTTTTTTGATAATAGCACCTTAATAACATTTTTGGTTTTCTTAAAAGTCCAGTATAGATCAAATGTATGTTTAATATTATACATTTTCTGGTTATGTCCATCTGGCAAATATTTCTACCTGTTAAGATAATCGTGTTGCAATATTAATATTCTGTTAATTTCTCTTTGTGAATAAATGCAGCTCTTGCTTCTTTCTACAACAGTCTTCACTCTTCAGTTTCTGAGTATGAACCATTTCTTCATGTGAGCCTCCGATGTGCCTTGATTGTAATTGTGGCTTTTACATTCTTATAATCGCATATACACTACTTTCTGGACTATTAAGCGCACCTGTATACAAACCAGCTCTAAAATATAATAAAGCAAATGTCCACATATACTGTAGGATGCACTTGGATATAAGCCGAAAGTTTGTTGTGTTGTAATGGAAAACTTAACATCGGTTGATTGACTTAACTGACAATTGATGGAGCAAAACAAAACTGTTGAATGACTATTTTATGATTTAATGGCCATCACAATGTTATAATGCACTGTTAATTCGCGATGACCAAAGTACTCAGGTAAATCCAGTCTGTTTGGACAATAAATATATGTGGTATTCCAACTAAACTAAAGAAGATAACTACGTTACTACTCTGCTCTGATTATAATCCAATGACTTAACTATTCCTTGTATCGGCTTGTTCTGCTGTTCACATAAACGCACAAGAAGCAGGAATGTGCTACATCATTATCATCTCTGGAGATCTGCAGATGGAGCTGTGTCCGAGTACGCTCCTGTGCTCCAGTGGCGCGCAAACAAGAACGATATACATACAGGCCGCACAGTTCACAGATGTTGAAACAAGTAGAGGCTATTAGTCCTGCAAGTATTGTAATCATCTGATGGCATCTTCATATGATCTGAATGTGGAGTTACCTGCATGACGTTTGGCATGAACAAAACACGGATGCAAAGTGATGAAAGAACATTTATTTAACAACTTAAAGCATGTGTTGTACAAATAATAACAATGTGACAATTATATTCCTTAAACACCGCCAAAGTAAAGTGGGACTTCCCCGTGTGTGAGCTTTTGGCAGTTGTTTCTTTGGAGGTTTGTTAAAACATTAAGATGGGATTTTCCTTAAAATAAATAAAAATGGAAGACTTGTTAACCCATCATTCAGAATTGTGTGCATTAGTTACACATTGTTGTTTTGCATATATCAATTTAGGAAGAATCGGCCTCAAATTACGAAACCAAATTTGTCTTTAGTTATTTTGAGACATCATGGAATATAAGCTACATTTTAAACATACTGAGATTAATTTGCTACAGTGTTCTGCAGGGAGAGGGACGCAGATGTGGCAGAAATGTCCTTCCAGAACGTATAATACAAACGCTTTTGGACGAGAGTGAATGAGCTATGAGGTTTGATGATGCCAGTGTTCATTACTCTTTAACACCATTATATTCACTGGTAGAAATTCAAATCAGGAAAAACAATAATAAATAAATCCCACAAAGTATCACCAGCAGTTCCTTTTGTTTGGATGATGAAGCTGCACGTGATCAATGTTCAAAGTAGTTATGTTCGAGTTATGACAACCCTCTTTGCTGACAATTGGACTTGTTGATAATTGTATAAATTGCTAGTGATAACTTTGTGCGAGCAGCCCACAGGAGAGTTTGACCAGCCGTGAACATGGAGACTGTGTCGTAAACTCTCCGTAGACACGCTGTGGTCCGTGATCCAGGTCTGGGTGGTCCCTCATCGCGTGGTGCTGCCGGACACAGAACTGCTACTGGAGCTGGAGCCACTGGAACCTCTGTCCTCATAGATGGAGATTTCCACCTGTAATATAACGGTTAAGGCAAACAAACCTGTGCAGACTGGGGACTTCTTTCTTAGTTCATCTTATCTTCTTAGCAGATCAAAGTATTTGTTAATAATACAGTACTTATGTTTTCTGTAAGGATACGACCCGCATTCCTCGTTCAATGGGATCTGTAATGAGCAGGCCTCTGGGAGCGTAAATCTTCTCATTCTGCTCCTGGATGTACTTGGCAATTTTCTTCAGCACCTGACATGGAAAAAATACTATTCGATTATTCAGTTCAAAGGGCCAGATATAGCAACCCTGATCCAGGACCCATTTTATACAGCAACTTGATATCCCATAAACATTTTCCTTACATATTTTTCTAGTTGTTATCATTGATTTTGGTAGTTATCTATCTCTAACCCTAACCTTACCCTAACCCAGTCCAAGAAGTAAAATGTGTAATGTTACAATGCTACAATTGCTGTTGATTTTATACAGAACAGACGGATGGAGCCATTTCCTTATTAAGTAGAATATATAGAAGAATCATGCTTCCTCATGAATATACATATAGTATAATGTGGATGACAACAATGTATCTAACTGACTCAAATGTAGCTCTTTTGATTTTAATATCACGTAGCAAGAGACAAGTTTTTGTTTTTACATACATATATATTTTTGTGTATTTATGTTGCTGTTTTTTTTAACTTGTCTGTACAGCATTTGGTAAACCTAGGCTGTTTTAAATGTGCTTCACACATTTGATTGATGGATTGAAATGTGTTGCAAGACTCAGTGGTGGGTTGAAAACTGCAGGAGACTGAGTGACCTTCTCGTAGCGAGTCTCGATGCAGAGGAAGATGAGGTAGGCGGTGGCACAGGCCAGACAGCCCTCCAGGTACGACTGCCCCCCAATCTTCTCCGCCTCGGCATAGTAGTTATTGAGTGTCTTCACCGTGTCCTCGAAGAGAGACCGCTCAATCTAAGAACCAAGATGATATATTTCTTAAGTTAGAAGAAGTATGTAAGGCTGAAAATTCAATTCAATTAATACCATGGTCAGTGAAGATTCCAATGCAAACTAGCACTGATTAACTGTTGAATCTGCAGGTTAAAGGTTCCATATCACCTGCCTAGGAAGTCGCCAGATAAAGCACATACTTTTGCATCATTAAAAGCTCTATTATAGCAGGACGTTGAACTAAGTTTTACTTTGGACTAGAGCAGAGAAAATGGTCCGAAACAAGCCGCTACTCCACCTTGTGACCCGTCCTGCTCCACCCAGAGGCTACTCCACCTCTGCTGCTGTGACCCGTCCTGCTACACCCAGAGGCTACTTAACCTCTGCTGCTGTGACCTGTCCTGCTCCACCCAGAGGCTACTCCACCTCTGCTGCTGCGACCCGTCCTGCTCCACCCAGCGGCTACTCCACCTCTGCTGCTGTGACCCGTCCTGCTCCACCCAGAGGCTACTCCACCTCTGCTGCTGTGACCCGTCCTGCTACACCCAGAGGCTACTTAACCTCTGCTGCTGTGACCTGTCCTGCTCCACCCAGAGGCTACTCCACCTCTGCTGCTGTGACCCGTCCTGCTCCACCCAGAGGCTACTCCACCTCTGCTGCTGTGACCTGAAGTGCTGTTGCTTATTATTACTATTGTTAGCTTTTTAGAATGATCATTTGATTTGTTTTGTTTGTGTGGATGGATCTGTTTTTTCTGCTAATGGACACCTGAATGTCTCCTACAGGGATCAATAAAGTATCTAACTAACAAATTAACTAAAGTATCTATTATTTTGTAAAAGCATGGGTTAAATGTTGGAAAACGCAGCTTTCTCTTCTCTGTCTTATTTTTTCCAAAAAAGCAGTCCCTTTTCTCAAACATGTTTTCAGGTGTAGAGGAAATAAAGTGTGAGTGTGTGAGTGTTTTGACCATGGCATAATTTTAGTGCGTTTAAAACAACAGTTACTTGTTGTTTTATCCTTGCTAATTTTAGTTTAGATAATCTATACAAAAATGCACCACACTAGTTGTCTCAAAAGACTTGATACAATTGTCTGCATCTGCAAAGAACGACTCAAAAACCCAAATACATATAAATACTCTGCACATTTACATTTTTAAGACATGTCACCAAATGTAAAACTGTTCATTCTCTTCTTCCCCTGTTAAACCTGATCCCATAAACAGTGGACCACGAGGAGACCTATTCTTGGTACGGCAGCAGGGTTATTTTTACAAGCCTACCCTCGTCTCCAGCTCAGAGGGGAACTTTGTCTGGAACTTGCACGTCGTCCCCTCGCTGTAGTCTCTCTGGATGAAGACTTTGTTGGCCAATGACGCGCTTTGCCTCAACTCCTGCAAGTTGTGAAACTGTGCACACACACGAACAGAGCACAAGTATTGATGCTAGAATGGAAATAGTTCTGAGACCATTCAATGTATACAAATAGAATATTGTGAATGTGTTTCAGAAAGTTAAATTCATAGTAGACAAACAATAAATATGTTGGAGTTTTTAAGCGTTGCCTTTGAAATACGGCCTTATACCTTTGTAATGCTTCAAACTGACAGAGAATAAGACAAAATATGAAGCCCTTAAGCCAAATAGCTTTCTGAAGTTTTTTCTGAATATTTTCTATGAACAATAAACTAAACTAAGTTAGAAGCGTAGTTAACCACAATTAATTATTCACTTAGTAGCAGGGCTAATCACTTCAAACCTGTTTTTATGTTGTGCGTGCCATCTGAAAAGTAACCCTATTTTAACATGTAATGAGAAGAAAGTGCAGATATTTGGATTTTAAAGTAAAGGCGTAATCATAATAAATAAGTAGCAAAGTCACAGGAATATCTACTTAAGTACACTACTTAAAGCTGAGGTACCCAACTTTTATTTTTCATAGCTAATGCATATTCTTTATCCAAGCAGAAATCCTTGTTAAAGTATAATTTAGTGAACAAAGGCATCATGGTGTTTCTCTATTCTATTATAAACATGTTATCGTGTGTACACTTGTAAGAACGAACCCTGTGCGTCACGATTTTACGCTTTGGGCTGAATGCTGAAGGTGGTAGCACACAAACAATACGATACACCACGATCCTTGACAAGTATAATAATGTGTGCAAACAACTGCTGATGCTGAATCGGTTTGAAGTGCACGTAGGTGGCGGACGAAGCGCAAAAATGTGATCGATGGCTTTTGGAGCTGCTCCCGGATTCGGACACACAATCCGCCCCACGCTCCCCCGCGGTCCTCCATACGCTCTCAGAGGATGTACGTTTTACTACACGCCACAACAAATCAATGAAACACAATCAGCAGCGGAGCAATAGAGCTCAAAGAGGCGCAGGGGCTGGTTCTGTCCTTGGTGCTGAACATTCACATCAGACTCTTGATGTTTGTGGTCAGGGCTCTCTCTTGGATTAACTGGGCGTCTCTACAACAGACTTAACGCGCGCAGAAAGGAAGACGAATGCATGTATTGGCGTTATTTTTATCCAATATAAAAAAATAAAACATAAAATCACAGGTGTTATCTCTGTGGGATTTTCATTTCTGGGCGCTCTCAGGGGATCTGTGAATGTAGGGCAATTCCAAAGAACAAGCTGCTTTTGGAGCATTAGTAAAACGCATCTATTTGTGTTGCGTTTTGAGCTGATCGCGCCGCTACTCTTGGGTGGAATCATTCGCGTTTGTCAAGAGTTAAAATACAAGTAAATAGGCATATAAAAGAGATGTTTTTACCTCTGTCGCCATGTTGCCATCCGTGTCCGCTGGAAGAGACCTCGCACGCGCTGAAATCTGCTTTAGTGGGACAGGGCCAAGGGGCGGGGCTTACGCTGCGACTGTGTCAATCCATTTCGTCTAAAATACATAATTATTTATTGTTCCAAAAAAATTATCCAGCAAAATCATGACGTGACAAAATTTAGCTGTTTGAGGAAAAACACCCAGAGACTGTACAGCACCTGTTTTCTCTCACACTTTCTGGATGGACTTGATAAGGGATTAAAATAGGAAAATATTGTTATTTTAAATATGGGAAAAGTTTGTTTTGTTTTCATTAATTAGTCATACATGTAAAATTCTATCTTCATAAGTTATCAGAAACTGAATCAGAACTAGGTAATAGGGTAGCATATGGGGCAATAAAAATAACGGCATGCCTGAAAATATTATTCCAATTCTTATAGACCATTCTATTATTTACAATATTTTGATAGAGATCTGTAGTGGTTTAAAGCCGAGTTATGTAACTTGTTTTGCATAAATACCTTGCAGTCTTCCACTTATTAGAAAACATTTTGCATATTTATCAATTGAGGCATTGCGAAGAGATGATTAACTGAGTGAGGGAAGTTCTCTTCAATTTTATCCTTTTTGGTGAATAGTTGAAAAAGAAATACATGGAAAGAAAAATATACACTATATAATTTGCGTGGTGGTAAAATGACACAAGTGACACAACTTTATTCAAATAATTTATTGTAATTAGTGATAGTTAAAACATAAACCAGTGGCAATATACACAAAATGATATACTTTGGCCTAGTTCAAATGACTTGCCCGCGTTTTAAAACAAATATATTAGCTATGTAACATTTAAAGACACAACCACAATAAAAAGCAGAGCCTATAATTACAATCATCCGTCTCTGAATCATGGTTGAAACTCTCCAAGATTCATGGGTAAAGTTACAGCAACAGGCACCGCTTCTCTCAAGTCCGGCTTTTGAGAAAACGATGCCTTATCGAAGTGGTTTGAAGTGGTCGTCCCGTTTGTCGCGGAGGTGAATTACCAGTGAGAAATACAGCGTCCTGTTGTGCTTTTATGCTTGATATAAAAATGAAGACAAAAACTTCTCCACTGAATATAAAAATAAGAAGCGACAAACCACCCCCTAAACAACATGAATTAATTTAACTTGTGGAAGATTATCAAGAGTTATGTCATGGTCCATTTGTGCATCTAATCCCGAGAGAGAGAGAGAGAGAGAGAGAGAGAGAGAGACGCGAACACAGACAGAAATCATCTGCTGCTTTTCAAACCACTGCATTATTGGTGAGATGTAAGAGATAATTAACATGATACTTTCATTTGTATTGTATTTTTGACAATTGACTTAATATTCGAGTGGTAAGCCTGTTGACCCATCATGATTCTACAATTAGAATGATATCTGCACACATTTGTTTGTACTGCTTTGTTTGCTGCACAGGATGATTTATAAAAGAAAGTTAATAAAGGGGAAACATAAACCACTGTCAACTTAAACCACAAAGCCCCAAATCTTTGATATTAATAATTGTAACAGACCTCTGCACAGCAAAGGAGGAAACAACTAGAAAATCTGTTTGTTTTTCCATAATAGGTCCAGTTCAAAGTGCACACACAATACCATACCAAAAGCAACATCAATATAAAAAAGGTGCAACTAAAAACCAAATAAGTTTGGAGGTATAAGACAGAAATGCCTTCAGTAAGTTCAGTAAAAGCGCAGGGTACACAGTGAATGACAGACCACTGGGAGAAATGTCTCATTGCAACTTGACGAGTGAAGAATTACATGTGGCGCAGACAAACACAGTCTCTCTTTGGGCCTCTGGAGCTGGAGAACAAACGTCATCCTCATAAATTAACGTTTACGTTGTTAGTAGTTATGAAGTGCTGCACTCACCGGTTGCCCCCATAGAAGATCTCAGCACCTTAAACGAACAGCATCGTGAGCAGAAGCTGTTTCCACAGTTACTGCAACTCCTCTGTAATATTAGGAGTCATATTAAACCAGAATCTTGAGAACACAAAACATGTGATTCACACAGATTTGGCTCTCACCCTTTTCTTCAGCACTGAGAACACTGCGTTACAGCTCGAACAGTTTCCTTGTGGGAACAAGAAAGAATCAATATTGATGCAAATCTTGAGATGAGGATTGTGCTGAAGATGTCACCTGCACTGGTTGCTGGGTAGCGCTTGCGGAGTCTCTCTGTAAGTTTTGACACTTTACTGCGAATGGGCTCATTCCGACTCAACAGACCATTTTCAGAAATGGTGTCGAACTCTGGTGCACCAAGGCCACTGTCGTCATCCTCCTGAATCAGACAGAACGCATTAGGAAACTTAAGACTAGACACATGCGAGATGATGTTCATCTGATAAGAATAGGAAACCAGCTGCTGCAGAAGATTTAGTTCCCAAAAGATCAAGGCTCCTGTGGACTCACCACCTACAGGAGGATCAGTGAGGGGCTGGTGCTAAGTGACTTGGGTGGCATCTCTGATTGCTACCCCCCCGACCCAGAAATGGATTAAGGGGTAGAAAATGAATGAATGAATGAACACATTTGTGTGTAGCCCACTTTGATCAGGGCTGTAAACTATTTGTGCTGAATTGTGTCGTCTAAAATGGAATAATGTTAGTAGACCAATATTTGGTGTACCTCCCTGCCCCACAGTCAATCAAAGTGCTCAGAACCAATCACGGTTTGCCATGCTAGTGCCAGCTGCACATGCTCAGTCCGTTTATGTAGCCAGTTAGTAGCTAAAGCTGGTTCTTTTGATTCTGGCAAAAATGGAGAGAGCAGCAAAAGCAAAAAATCGTTCAGGTGGTTGGTGAGACGATGTGAACGGTAGTAGAGCACAAAAAAATCCAGATGAAATCATCACAAATAACTTTAAAATAAATCATGGGTGGGTTTTGACCTAACCGGCTTTTCTGGTTTGCTGGATCTCCCCAAACAAGCTGGAAACCAGAATGAGAGATTCGTGTGGTTCTAATTCTCCTTCCTGATTGTATAATTAGCTTGAGAGCCACAATATGACACTTGAATATAAGCAATGTGGCCTCATGTCGATTCTAGAGGTAGTCAAGTATCATTGTGCTTGGGGACTCAGATAAAATATGTAATGCATATCTTACATACAATCTTACAAATGTGGCTGAATTGCAGTTATGAAAGGAAAGAGTTAAAAGATGATGACCCAGTCAGTAACCTGTGAATGTCACTCACCAAAAGGACCAAAGGGGATTCCTTAAAACGTCAGCGAAACATAAATAAATACATATATATACGATTATGTCTACGTTAATGAACATTTGACACATCCACAAGCATGCACTAAAGGGCAGGATCCACTAAGCATGCATTTTTATAAAAGGATGCACTAATACGTTGTCACTACAAGACTGGACTTCTGTAAAATGACAGTAACCCACTCACCTGTAGAGAAACTGAACCCTCCTATTGCATAAAGACACCAGAAAAGAACACTCTGATTTGAGGATGCAAAATCTTTCAAGATGAGCATCAATACAAAGCGGTGCTGTCAGTTTAACGTGGTAATAACGCAAACCTCTTTTAACGTACCATTAACACAAAAGTGCGTAAGCAAAAATGTGTGCGAGTTGTATTTTGGGCGGACAAGCACCTGGCTGCGCAGCTCGGTGCTCTGCCACAGGCACGTATCTGAAAATCATCCCCGCTGCAGCCTACGCACACCACTGCGCACGCCGTCATGCTTCAAAAGACGCATGTGTGGTGTCAGTAAAGTACAGCAGGCGTTACAGAAAACAAAAGCAGTCGCGCTCACTACTCGACGTCCATCAGTCTATATTCAGGTCACAGCCCAAACTAGAAGCTAGAGTTAATTCCACTGCGGTTAATTCCATCTAACTGACTTGAATTAAAACAAACAAAAGAGTAGCCTTTATTAAACTCCCAAGTAATTTTTACTTTGTTAAATAGTTCTATAGGATTGTAAAACGCAATAACAAAAACAAAGATTGAGTAGCCGATATTAGATAATTAAAATACTTTCTTTTTTGTGTGGATTGGATTAAAATAAGCTTTTTGCTTCATCCAAACCATTTTTGAAACCAAATCGTGGGACATTTAGAACAGGAAATAATGTGTGATTAATAGTGAGTTAACTTTGTATTATTGCTGTCAAAACGCATTAATGTCAAAGTATGACAAATGCATTTAGCTAGAATTATTAAAACAGTCACACGGATCATTTAAGTTGACCGCGTGGTTTATAAATAGTCCTTTACCTCAATAGCATCTTTGAAGTCCTCATCAGGCTCCGCCTCCTCAGCTTCTTCTACACTTCCGGGAGACAAGTCCTGCAGTAAATAGACACAAGCATTCAGATCACCAATAATCCATGCATCTGTGATCACAGCTGTGAAAAGAGGCTTCATCTGCAGTACGTATGGATCTGCATTAAGATACACTTTTGATCCCAGGCTGAATGTAAGAGGCTTAGCAGCACACGGCCATTTAGAGATGTGTACAGTATGTGTGTACAGTGTGTGTCCGTACCTCCACACTGGTTGGTGTGGGCGTTTCTATTAAGTGGCTATAATCCTGTGCCTCGGACGCTCCCTCAGAGTATTGTGTTGACCCCATAAAGAAAACATTTTTCAGGTTCAGCAAAACTGTAACAAAACAAAGAAATACATTCAAAATAATACATACAGTAGATCACAATCTGAGCAATTATGTAAACATTACCTCTGCAGAACTCATTGTTCCACAAAAAAATGAAGCTGTTGAGACACGCAAGTGCCCAACCCAGAGGAGAGATGTATAGCAAACAAACAACTATCAAAAGCCCTCCATAAAATCTGAAAATTGATTAATAAAACATATATATTTATTTATCTATGAAATCAAACTAAGCGAACACAAAATGTTTAGCAATAGACCTTGATGAAGTAGTGTAGTCGTCCCAATAGAGGACTTTGTAAACGGCCTCTGAACACTGACAGACTGAAGATAGAAGGTCATCCAGGTGTTTTAACCTGAGAGCAGAAAACATATATATATATATATATATATAGCATTAAACAACATGTGTGGGTCCCCATAAATCCTCCTTAGTAAGTGTGTTTCTTACAGATCTTTGACTTCCATCATCGCCTCTTGTTTTGTGATGTTGACATTGTGCAGGTCCCTGCGGTGCACAGCGTGGTGACGCCTCCTCTGCAGCTCTGCTTCTGATGCTCTGCCCATGCACCTGTCCTGCAGGTAACCCAGGGCAGCAGGCAATGACACAGCCACCATTGTCACTGTGAACCAGCCCACTAAACGCAGAGAAAACCACAACCAATATAATATAATACAATATAATAATCTGGGATTCCAAGGAACCGTACCTTCATTTACAGTAAAGAAGAAAATATTCAGAAATATACAGACAAGCAGAGAAAACAGCGGCATCCTCCATCTAGAAAATAAATCATGAGTTTTTTTACAATTAACATTTCTAGAGATTTTCAGCTGCATCATGATGCAGCACATTCAGTACATACCCGAGCAGGAAGCGAGTCAGCTCCACAGCATCAGCAACAGGCTCCAGGAACAGAACGATCCTTTTATACGACACCACCATGTTCAAAAGGTCGAAGTGCGGAGTGGAGCGTGGGCTCCCGAGCTCAGAGACGTCCTGAGAACCTGTTGTTTCTTTGGACAGTGAGTGGACCAGTTCTCCCCGCTCCGGGGGGCCTTGTGAGGGGTCTGAGCCTTGCATTTTGTTCCCTGTACAGACAATTCAACATCAGACTAAGGAACAACACTAGGAAGTTATAAAAAAAGGTTATACAAATGATCACCATTTTCTGAACAAAAAGAAAGGGAAACTCTTTTCCAAATGTATATTACATACACTTTGTGAATTGTTACGTTTCATCAAAATAAATGTATTTGTAAGGCTGAAAAATTAATCAAAAACAATTTCAAAATATACCTTGGCTTTGTTATAGTACATAATGCTTTAGTAGAAAAAATTCAAGTAAAATATTTTTCAAATGATAAAGACCATTTATGACACGTACAAGGCCGTCGGAGGAGATGAGGGGAAGCTACAGGGAACTGGAATTTCGCTTAATATTACGAAGGAGACAACTTCCAAACGAATGCATGCACGGATAACTCAAGCTACAACTTTTAAATAACTAGCTAACGAAACAGCATCCCCTTTTAATCTTTGGGTGCAGTATAAAGACAACTAGCAAAAGAAGCAGCATTATGCAGAGACCGTATTGATGTTTGGAAATAAAAGCTGTGAGGCCTCATTACACTGCTGTCTGGTAGTGAGAGCTTACCTCAGGCAGCTCACGGACAAAACAGCAGCGAAGACACACTCAGGCCAAATGATTTAGTCCTGAGGAGACAGTCTGCTGAGATGAGCTGCCGCCTCCTGATGAATCCCCGTCAAACATGTCTGCAAAAAGGACCGAAAACTGCAGCTTCACGAAACCAGGAGACAGACATGTCGTTTATCACCGCAAAACAACTTTTAACATCAGCGGAAGAGCGCAGGTGTCACAGCTAGCGTCACTGTTAGCTTTGTTTTCTACCAGCTCCACTTCCTGCTTTCCTCCTAGGCTGACGAATCAAGAGCCGAGCAGACCCCAGTGATCAAGGAGGAGTGACGAGTGTGCAGATAAGATAAACTTTATTGATCTCACAATGGAGAAACAAGTCACATTTAAATAGGATCACTCAGGTTGTGCAAACAAAAAACTATAAGTGCTCTATATAATAAAGACATAAGAATCATATTGCGAATTATATTTATTTCAAAGTATAAATGTAATTTTTAGAATAATAAAATACACATACATGAATAGATACATTTTTATAGATGACAATTTCCCTCTATGTGTGTCCATGTTTTTAGCAATATATAATGCAAGAATATATTAGATCTAAATTTGTATTTCAGATGAAAACTCAACATTGATTGTAAATCAATGTTGACTATTGTTATCAATAGTAAAAATATAAATATGCTCTCAAAAGAAAATACAAGGCAGAGAGATAAGTAATAATAAATATACAGTTTAATTCATTGTTAAGAAAATACATCAAGTAAAATTGAAAAAAAAAACCAACAATCTTAAACATAGATTTTTAGTTCTTGTTAAACGTACTTATTGCCACAGAGTAATGACAACATAGGAGAACGCATCAATGAAGAAAACATTAAATCAAAGTCTTTCATGAAACATCGGGGATTCAAAAACTGTTCATCCTCATTAGAATTTTTAACCCCTTCAAACTGAATCTCAAAACAATAATATTGCTACGTATATTTACGATCTAATCCATTATATTGTTTAATCCATTACATGTGCTATGATTTAACTTTCCTGCTGTTTGCTGTGTGATCGCTGATGAAATTTCAGTCCAGCATTGTGTCTAAAGGATTTCCCACAAAGGTCGCACACGTAGGGCTTCTCTCCGGTGTGGATGCGAAAGTGCCGCGTCAGAGCCCCCGAGTGCCGGAAAGCCGTGGAGCAGACAGAGCATGTGTAAGGCCGTTCCCCTGTGTGAATACGGAAGTGCGTTTTAAGATTTTCCAAATAATTGAATTCACGATTGCAATCTGGACACTGAAAGGGGCTGCAGCCAGGAGGGTAGAGCTGCACTTTGGTCCGTTTTCCTCCGATTTTGGGAACATAGTTGCGTAGATCCAGTTTTTGCTGACACTGTCCATAGTGACGGCTTAAAACCCTGGCTGAAGAAAAAGTCTGGCCACACAAACTGCAGGTGTGTGGATACGATTTGGCTGTTTCCTGATTATGAAGAACAGGTCCTTCGTGAAACCGAAGGGGCTGGTGTTCTTGATCAGTCACATGAACAGGGAGATGTGACACATTGACAGAGGAAGACTCCATATTTGAAGGGTGACCTACAATGGAGAATCATTTTCAGTATAGTTAGTATTCCTTTCAACTTCATAGCACTTTATTATAACTGTTGTAGCATATTATACAAGATCTCAAGGTGTTTTAATGTTATACCTTGAGCTGAGAGGATTGCATTTTGCTCATCAGATTCAAAGTGAGATCCCGCTGGTGTCCACTCTTCCAGCATTTTAGAAACAGCTTCCTCTTTAATGGAATCGACCATGTTGTTTGAAGCGTTTGATTCATCTTCTGACTTCTCCAGCTTGATCTTGACCAGGTGAGGTGCATCCATGCAGGCCTGGTCAGCATCGCTTTCCACTTTCACACCAGGGTATATTCCGGTGTCTGTAAATATGTAAATACAGTAAACTAAATGCATGTTTGAGCAGGCCTATGAGCACAACACTTTACACCAGAGCAGATGGGCTCTATAATGTAATACTTTTGGAAATAAATGAATAAAGCTGGGGAACCTAATTTTCAAATGTACACACTACCCTAACTACCCTAACAAGTCGAGTCACAAACATCACCGTTTTTGCCTGGCATTTTTGGCCTCCAAGTAGAGAGAGATGACCACATTTCATGCATGAGATATACACATTTAATTAAAATGAAGATCACATTGTGGTCTGATTTGTTCATGGTGTTTTATTTTACAAGGGGCTTTCTGTAGGAAGAAGATAGTATGTATGAAACAGAATATTAGGTACCACAGCTTTTATGTATAGGAAAACCTTCGAACGATATAACATACCTGTCCTATTACTTTCGTAGTGAGGACTTTTAGATGGCAGATCTTTAACACAAGAAATTGTCAGACTATTTTCTTGTTCGTGTGAACCTGAAGCATCCTCTTGTCTGAGTGTTTGCTCCTCTTGGTTGTGAACAGACAGAGTTGCAGAGTCAGAACATGTTTTGTGTAGGCTTTCACCTTGAGCTGCTGAAGTTGCAGCCCCGCCTCCATACACAAATTGATACATTTCAGGACAATTACTTCCACTGCTCGCAAAGACAGACTGTATAATAGACTGTGCTTTCTGTAACTCTTCTTTCAGCGTCTGGTTTTCCTGTCGCATCTTGTCACACACGTCCCCAGCGGCTGCAGAGACGAGCTTGGTCACCTCAAGAACTGCGATTTCCACCGCGACCTCAAACGCACCATGTATGGCGGAGGCGAGACTGTCCCGGAGAGTCGAGGACATCTCAAAACCATGAGTGTGAAAGGCTTTAGGGAGAAGAACCTGGTCTGGAGCAGAAGTCTTCATTACTGCAGCTCCCACTTTGGCTCCCACATAACAACCATCAACATCAGTCTTCCAGGTCTGTGCAGCTCGTGTGCCCCCTACTGTACTGGAGTCTGTACTACAACTCAGGTCTGAGCTCAATTTCAGTCCTCAAGTCTGGCCATCCGCAAACTCCAGACAATTATCATTTCCCTACAAAATAAAATTAGTACGATGGTGTGATAAGACCAGGCTATTTCAGTTCCAGTAAGTATAAATAAAGATTACTTACTTGCGTACAGATACCGGTTTTCCCTGTCACAGCCATACCATAGACTATTAAACGGCTCAAAAGTTACAATATTGTGGACATGTATTCATTCATAAAGTGAAACTAATTATCATCTCATATTCATCTCAATCACATGGTTTGTTGTGGTCTTATGTATATGCATTTTTATTATTTGTTGATACCATTATTTATGTTTATAATCTTTTAATGGAGTAAAACAATGGCATTTGTGTTGGATGATTTATAATTTGAAGAGAATTGTAAATATACATATTTACAATCAAGTAAGAAAAAAAAAATATTCTTGATGAACTTCTCAATCTCTTGCATGTATCTTGAGCTAGTGTGCAGCACTCTGGGCAGTGTACTAGTTTATCCCTGTGCTATGATCATGATCTAAAGGATTTTCAACAGGAGCAAGTTGTAAGGCAATGCAACGCAAACAAATTACAAAATGTTTTCACATCCGTTTCTTTCACATGATTTCAATTTCCTGGTAAAAATGCAACATTGAGGGCTTTTGCATTAAAAACAGTTATTATTCAAACATACAGCCAACAGTAAAAATAAAAAACAGAGCAAACTTTGGAGACAATGTTATCACAATTGGATAAGGGGTTCTTCAGACCATTACATCGTGTCCTTTTTTCAAATTGTCAATCAGTAAAGAGGAGTTCTATACATATTTGAAATGGACCAAAATTAGGAGAAAGGTTCAATCTTGTAAAAATGGTTATTACCATATAACTCAGGAAGTAACATAAGCTGACAGTTCTGAAGATTCTCGCAACTCTGCAGCTAAAACAGGTGAACACGGTCATACATCTCACGGATCTTTCAGAATAGAAGAACCACAACAAACACAACATGTTGTTTGCTTGACTGAAAAAAACACTTTCCCATAAAATGAAATAATGATTGGAAAAAATATTTTTCTTCATTGACCATATGCTTCTAAATTAATAATCAGCTCAAGAGCGCTGCTTCACTTCCAAATTTCTCTTCCCGTAGCTTCATCAGTGAAAAACATTATCTTGGCTCCCATAATTGTAATATTCTTGTTGTTCAATTTCAACTCAGCTGTTTGTTGTGTGAATGCTGATGGAACTTCAGCCCACTGGCGTTTCTAAAGGATTTCCCACAGAGGCCGCACACGTAGGGCTTCTCTCCCGTGTGGATGCGAAAGTGCCGCGTCAGAGCTCCTGAGTGGCGGAAGGCCTTGGAGCAGACGGAGCACGTGTACGGCCGTTCCCCTGTGTGAATACGGAGGTGTGTTTTCAGATTCTCCAACCGGTTGAATTCCCGATTGCAGTAAGAACAGAGAAAGGGGCTGCAGCCAGGAGGGTAGAGCTGCAGTTTGGCCCGTTTCCCCCCAGGGTTTGGCGTGTGGTTGCGTTGATTGAGTTTCCGCTGACACGCGCCGTAGTGCCGCCTTAGCATACTGGGAACAGGGAAGGTCTGGCCACACAACCTGCAGCTGTGAGGATTAGACTTGGCGATGATCTGGTTATGATGAACAAGATCTCCATAAATCTGAGGAGGCTGGTGTTCCTGATTGGTCACTTGATGATCAAAGTGTGGCTCACTGACAGAGGTAGACTCGGGAAAGTCCTCCTTTGAAGTATGACCTAGACGGGACGATATTGACGCTTCAGTTATTTCATTTTCAACATTGTATATTCACTCCCACAGTGAACAAAACAGGACCATATTCAGACAACACTCCATACAGCTGAACACCTCTCCATCAGAAATAACTTAAAAACTTGGTTACCGAACTTTTGTTTGATAAAATACACATGTGTTTATTTCCAACACAAAGTCTTAAAAGTCAAATGATGTGGACAAAACCAGGCCACAACATGCCGTATTTATTGTGTGTGTGTGTATATATATATATATATATATATATATATACATATACACACTATATATATATATATATATATCTTATCTTACATATTTATCTTTAGCATACGTGATTGAAAGAGCCCTATTCAATGATTTGGGCCAGGAACTCCTTTTCAATTTTTTGTTTGAAAAAGTTGAACAAAAGATGTGACAGAGCAGAGGCCAAACATACAGTACATGCATGTGAAAACTTCTGGGAGGACCAAACTGTTGAGAGGAGATTTGTAGGCCTAAAGCCAAGTTCCCCATGAATTTCTGCTTTACTTCCTTTCTTTTTGATACTGCTGGCCGATGATCTTTTATTTTGTGAAAAATGACTACATTCGGCAACATCTCTGACGGAAGTTGGGGTTTTCACAATTTCACACGGGATGACAACATGTCTGAACGCCCGAGCATCACCACAATGTAAATATTAACTTATTTCATGCATCAAATAATATATTATAAGCATGTTTGAAATCACAAAACTCCCACATTAAAACATTAATAAATAATTCACTTCTAAATGAACAATCTACTGCATGCAAAATTCATGTAATTTGGGTCTATTTATTTAACACGTTTTGAGGTGGCATGCTACAAACGGTGCATTAAGGAGTATATTCATCAAGGGTTTGTGTGATTAGCACCTATTACTCCAGTGTCAGATCAATAAAGTCTATCTTCTCTTTTTACCATTAAGCAAACTGGTCTGTAATACACATAAAAGTCCACCTGGAAATTGCAATTGCCTTCATACCGGTACTCAGCACACTGGATTTATAAATATAGTGTCAGTGTACCTTGTGGTTGATGAGGAGCTGGGAGTGGAGCATTTTGTTCGTCACATTCAAAGTGAGACCTCTCTGGTGTCCACTCTTCTAGAATGACTGAAACTGCCTCTTCTCCAAACGAATCCACAGAGTAGTTTGAAGATATCATTTCATCTTCTGACTTCTCCAGCTTGACTTTCAGGGGCTGAGGTGCACCATCATCATGAAAACAATGCATTGGCTGACTGCGGTCTTCAGAGTCCTCATAATCACAGGGCTGTTTGTCATTTATTTCCACTTTCACGCTGTAGTGGGACATTTCTGTTTGGGGTTCTGAAAATGCACAAATTGGTTAAAAGCAGATTGCGATTTCAAAAATAGCATAATATAGCAGGAGGGTCTGTTGGAGGGTCTAACTAAAAGTAGGGCTGCACGATATTGGAAATTAGTGCGATATTTGATATGAGTGTTTAGTATTTCGATGACGATATTATTGCGATATTTTTGTCTTTCACCTAAAATTGCAACCTGCATTGAAACGCAAGAGACAAAAAAAGCACAACATTAATGACCCTTCAAATGCATATATTTATATACTTTTTTGTTTGTTCTTGAAGGTTGATGTGTCTGTTTTGTTGTCTTTAATAAAAGGTAAAAATATAGGTTTTTTTTTTAATTGCAGATCTTTTTGATATGGAGATTGCACGCACCAATATCGCGATAACGATATTTTTTTATATAAAATGCAGCCCTAACTAAAAGGACAGCGGTGATGATCCAGGACGCTCAACTCAACATGCAACACATTTATAATCATTTATGGACATCGGTCATCTGCCCTTTATGGACCAATGTGTTTATAATGTTGCATTTCTTGTGATGGCTCTCTGATCTGTGTTGGCGAATTCAATGGTTTTGTTAAGTAATCAGAGAATACTATTGCAGTGATTTAGGGCTATACACGAATACATTGGAATATATATAAATGTAACATCAGGATCAATAACTACCGCTGTAAGTATGTGACTGTTCAGTGTGAGCATAAAGCAACACCTCTCTCTACAGCAGAGAATGTGAGAGATCCAACACCTTTGAGTGTGTGAAGTGTGAATGAAGTAGTCCATGCTTGTTGTAATGCATGCGTTAAGTTGCATTACAGTCATAATATTTTACAAATCCATTCGCTACACACAATTTTGTCAACTTACTTGAGTCGATGGCGTCAAGGAGAGCGGGTTTAGCCTGCAAGTCATCCCGATGGTCTTGTCCCTGTGAATCTGAAACAGCATTCTCTTGCCTTGTATGGTCCTCTTGCACTTTGGAATTGGAAATATGAGCTTTCCCGAAATTGTCACCATTGTGGGTCGCTAGTTTAGCACAATTACTTCCACTGCTCGCAAAGACAGACTGTATAATAGACTGTGCTTTCTGTAACTCTTCTTTCAGCGTCTGGTTTTCCTGTCGCATCTTGTCACACACGTCCCCAGCGGCTGCAGAGACGAGCTTGGTCACCTCAAGAACTGCGATTTCCACCGCGACCTCAAACGCACCATGTATGGCGGAGGCGAGACTGTCCCGGAGAGTCGAGGACATCTCAAAACCATGAGTGTGAAAGGCTTTAGGGAGAAGAACCTGGTCTGGAGCAGAAGTCTTCATTACTGCAGCTCCCACTTTGGCTCCCACATAACAACCATCAACATCAGTCTTCCAGGTCTGGACAGCTCGTGTGCCCCCTATTGTACTGGAGTTAGTATTACAACTGTGAGGGGCCGCAAATAAATCCTGGATCTATTGGAAATAAATACATAAATAAACCATACGTCACTTAACTTTCAAATAATAAACCTTATAACTTGTGATGGTCAAAGAAATTGCCACATTTGGTTTTGTTTACTTCTACTCAGAAAAACCTGATTGGGCAGTTGAAAATAATAGAATAACAAATGTTAGGCGTTTTAAGAAGAATACCCAAAATAAATACCAATATATAAGCAAAGTAGCACTGCAAGACACACAAATGGTAAATTAATTTATAAAAGGATAGTGCCCATATAGACCTCAGACATCCCCCCAAATTCCCACAGCCTCTGGACAGGACTTACCTCTCATCTCTGCTCGTGTATTGTAGGATATAACACATATAGGAAACAGCTTTCAACAGTCTGTCAAGAAACCCCCCTATGAACCTCTTTGGGTGAAATACAGGAGCGTTTACTTCCCATGATTATGCAAGAGGGTCTAAGGACAATGATGATGATCCAGGACATTCAACATTCAACGACATTTATGGACATTGGTCATTGACCTCTTATGGAACAATGGCTCTATGTGTTTTTTACCATTGCATTCTATGTATTTGTACTGTTTGATCTCTGATCTGTGTCGGCTTTTCAGAGAATCTGGGAATGAGCCAATCTTAGTGTGCAATAATAGTACATCACAGACAGAAGCATGTCATGTCATTTTGTCATGTCATTAATAAAGGGGTAGAAAATGACATAATAAATAGATTCTTTATATACATTATTTTATCCTTTGTTTATTCACTGAATCATTTTGTCTTGAGAATTGTCACCACCTCCTTCACGGAGGTCACAGACAGATTATTTATTTGTATCCAATCCTTGTCGCAGCAGTAGGTGGTATATGGGTCGGTCTGGTATTAGCTGTGGATCAGTTTATCTTTCAGGAAGACTTATCAATAAACCATACACCATCGGTGGAATTTGCAGACTTGAAAAGGTAAGTGAAAGCTTCTTAACTTCACTTTACATGAGCAGAGGATAAAAAAGTAAACATTGTTTAGAGCCTACACTCACACAAAAATAAATCTTAGGATGAAAGTGGACGGCCATATTAGACTTTGTATACTTTAAGGCATTAAGGATAAAAATTATAATCTCAGTGTTGGCTATATATATGGTCTATATGACCCAAAAAAGGCCACCAAAGACATATAGCGTCTTGTGGGTTTGTCCATTGAAGGCAAAAACTCTGAGAAGATTCAGTTCTACTCTACCATCGTAAAAACAGTATGATAGTGAGTCAATGTTTATGGATTGTCTTTTTGCTCTCTCATAAACAGATAATAAAGTATGTCAGACTCCACATTCTCACTTACCTCCAGTGAAGATGAGGCTTGTTCTTTTCGGGTTCTTCCTGGGCGCCGCAGCAGCAGGAAATCTGGATATTCCAACATCTTCTCTGGGATCAACATCCACCAGCTGCAGCGGCTTTTCCAAACAGCGGGAGACAGTGATGCGGAGCAGAGGGGCCGCCTGGTGTGGAGAGGGGCCCAGAATGATGAGGATGATGATGACGAAGACAGTGTGGTGAAGGCCGAGAGCACAGAGGCAGCACTGGCACAGGCGCTTGTGGGTCTCAGGATCTGTGCTCGGACTAAAGCAGGATTCAGAGCAGAGGCGTACAGAAAGTGCCCCCCATCCACGCAGCGGGTCAAAGGCAGTATACAGTAGGGCTGCATCATTTTTCACAAATTAAAAACTAAATGGCTCTTTTTGTGGTCGCGATTGTATTTTCTTTGCATTGCATCTGAGCATTTTTTTCCTAATTCTTTATAATTTTTCATAATTTAGAAAATGGTCCAAATGTGTTGCATTATCAGGTCTGACAGAAAAGATTAAACCATTCAAGTACTTATATACATTTAACATGTTCACAGTGAATCCTTTATTTCTACTCACAAGAAATAGTTTTACTAAAGGTTAGAATCCACATTTCAAAATGAGGCGATGCCGCACAGTAAGAAAGTTTCTGTATTTCAAGTTGTGGTGTTAAATTATGGAATAGTCTGTTTAGTGTTGAACTAAAATTATCCCAAAATATTATCCATTTAAAAAAAGAAAAATAAGGAAGACATTTTTGTGCAATATTTGAAATAGTCATAGTAAATTGTGTTGCTTTCATGTGTGATGTTATGTTTAAGTTACTGACCTGCAATACTTTGTATCGAAACTTAATGACTGTAGTATTAAACTTCTGTTTTTCTTCATATTGGAAGTAACTATGAATTGTGATACATAGTGAAGCTTATTAGAATAGTCAAGGGGAAGGATCACGTACGTTTTAAACTTCCTCCTACTCCTTTTGAGTACTAAGTTATGAAAGTACTCTGTCAATTTTTGTATATGTAATTTTTATTTCTATTTTTTGTAAATGACCAATTCTTGGAGTGGAATATCTTGCATGTGTTTGAACAGATGTTCAATTAAATAATCAAATTGTTTCATTGCTTCATTTTCACACTTCTTCAAATGTAACTCTGAACCAAGTTAGACTCATCAAACAAACAGAATCAAAAATCCCTAACCCTAGTTTTTCAAATATTATGAAATTAGACTTTTTATACAAATCTTGCTCTGGTAGACAGGACGTAACACTGGTGCTAAGAACGTGGAATAGTTGGAGCCAAGTGTTTTAAAAGGATGACAACACGGCGCTGTTACAAGGAGTAGCTCAAGACCATTTTAAACTTTACTTTTATCAATATTTCCCATTTAGTTGCATTATCAAAGGTAATTAGTAGTTTTTGTTGCCTATAACTTCTGCTTATGCGCATGTTCGAAAATGTTTCAAGAAGATTCATGAAAACATTCTGGAATTCATGCAAACATTGGAGAGAGATAAGTACTGCCCTTAATAACAAATAGAAGCAAAAAGTCCTGGTGTCCCTCTGAAAGACAGTGTGAAAACTGTCATGTGCCTAACAAACTGAGCATGACTTCACAAGACCGTGAGCACAAGCAGTCACGCTTCACTTTAGACATTCCTCTTTTTAAATGAGATTTGAGGAACAAAATCCTCCCATTTATAGAATACACCGTACAAATGATATGACTTTTTAACTATGTGTCTAACCTATGGACTAACTGTTGGTTTTATATCGGAAATAGGTTTACAACGGTGGAAATGGAGACAATCCCGGCTCAGTCATGTGTGAATAACTAAACAGACAGCATTTGAGCAGTTTGTAAGGCAATGTAATCTTTTTTTATCTCAATGATCTGGTTTTTAGTGTTCTGTAATATTAATTGCAACACTGACATTTATCCACTGTGGTATGAATAAATAGTTTTTTTCAGTATTAAGGACCATATTCTGGGTAATTTGTCAAAGAGGAAAAGATTACCAGCAAATAATCAGTTACCAATTTTCATAAAGGTGAAAATATCAAAACCACTATAATTAATTTATGAGTTTGAGGGTCACAGCTTTCATCCTCTACTAAAAACTAAAATATTGTATCAAAAAAGATTAACTAAAAACATTGTTGAACGTTGTATTAATAGGTTTTTAATTAATCTATCATTAAATATTACATACAAATTATACAGTGCATTTTCACAATAGAGTCAGCTCAGTAAGAGGTTCTTTTGTTTTCTTTCATGCACCTGGGGAAGTCGACAGGGTCCATGAAGATGTTTGAGGATTAATACACTCCTGCTCTTATGTCTACATCCACAGTCTTTTTTTTACACTGCAAAACCAGTCTCTTTTAGTTAAGTTCACTTCCTAAATCCTTGACATTACTTCTGCTCAGTATTGGCACATTTGTTATTCAAACCAGAACCAGGGCCTTAGACTGTAGCGTGAATGTTTAAAGGCAGAAATGTGAAATAAATGTGGAATGCTATAGCTACCCTCCAAAACAACAATAAAGGCTTTTGACTGGCATGCATGTGCATAATCAGATATGTGCACCCAAAGATCCAAAATAAAAGCCTTTTGTGTATCACATAAAACCATCAGGAAATAAGAACCACGATTGACTTCAGTGACATTCACAATCTCACAGAAGTGATCTTTTCCAGTTCACCATTTACAGGCCTCACATCCGTTAATGGAGTCACAAGGAGGGAATTAGTTTCAAGAGTAAAAATCCTTAGCTCGAGGCCGTAGTGCATCCACTTCATGCTGCTGTCCAGTGTCCAGTCCTACCACCAGGTGAAAAAGGGTCTTCTGCTTTGGAAACTCTGTGTGTAGGATTCACTGTTGGCTCGCTGAGGCGCTTTGGCCGTTTCAACGATCACTGGAGGCATTTGAACAAGCTGAAGAGGTGTTTTACCGTCTTTAAGGGCTTGACACAGATTCAGGATCTAGTGCAAGGAAAGCATGCCAGTATAAGTGATTTTTAGATCATTTAAACCATTATCAATAACCACCAACCCCCACTACTTTTGGTTTTATTTAAACAGCTGCATGAACTCACCTGCCCTCGCATCACTGAGACTTGTTTGAGAAATTGACCTCTGTCAAAACCGGCGTCTTTCTATAAAACAAAAACATAAAATCAGTTTTTCATCTTTTCAGTTGACCGACTGAGAAGTAGCATTCTCAAACCTTAAACAATTCATAGAGATCCTCTTCCAGGTCTTTAACAAAATTTGGGTCAGACAATTTGGGCAGAACCAGCTCACGAATTTCTTGTGAAAATGGGACTTTAGCTTGGGACAACCATGCCCAATAAAAAGGGTCTATAAAAAAAAAAGTGTTAAAAGTGTTGTATGCGTCAGTCAAGCTCCAGTGATATGGATGCTTACATGCTCTCCAGGAGTCTGGATGTTTGAGGGGAAAGGCGAGACCATTGTCTATCGCTGCCAGCTTAATAATTGGTTCCTTAACAACCACCCAACCATCATTATCCTGAAACAAGAAAGATTCTTGATTAGCACAATGTAATAAAGATATGCGAGTGCGAGTGTGTGTGTGTGTGTGCGCTACCCTGTTCCCAGTAGAGTCCATAGGGCAGTCATACTTAAGCAGCCAGTTGTCGTTTCCTCGATCTGCAACAAAACAGTTTAAGATTGAGAAAACAAATGTATGAGATTGTGTTTTATATTTGCATTCTTAGTGCAGAGCCGTAAACCTGCCTGTGTTTCTGATGATGTAATCAAGTACAACGAGTCGCTCGAACTGCAGCTGTAGCTGGCGGTTTGTGTTCTCAGGCAAAGGTTCTGTCTCAAACCTACGCAGCCAGAAATCTGCATCCTTGTAACCATCCACAAAAAGTTGGAACGAGCCAATCTGGAGAAATGGCAAAGCAATGGCTGATGATTGTATCCAAAGCAAATAAATATAAATATTATCAACACTGATAATTGTGTTATCTGAAACTCAGAACTCTAAGAATATATATGTATTTTTAACCTTTGGTGGCAGTCCAATTCTATGGAAGCGCTGACCAACTTTGGGCACTTTTTCTAAAGCTAGCCTCTTTCCCCTGGACTTAACTCGATCTATGGCATTGTAATTAAACGTTTCACTTGACAAGTGCACAACCTAAAGAAAAGATCAAACAAAAACATTACATCTTATTTATTCACAGCACAATACAAACAGCTTTATAATGAGGGATTTACCTTCGTTCTGGGAACTATATTCAGTTCAAGTTTTTGGTCAACCAAACTGGCCCCTGCCTCTGAAAGGTATCCTTGGTTAAGCACTAAACAGTCACGGCCAAAACAGCACGGGCAACAGAGCTTCTGCAACCATTTGGTCCATTTGGGGTTTAGTTGACCATAGGGCTCCTCGTTCTTTGGCTTAAATACTCCAATAATCTTCTGTAAGCACAGGCACAATACACACTTTAAATGAGGGTTGTTAAGCGCACGCGGTGAACAAAAGTCTCCAATGTTAAAATAGTTGATCTCTCTATGTGGATACAAGCATTGTGTATAATTTGGTGACAGAGTGTTGTAATTGCTACAGACAATGAAAAATACATCAAATGTGGAAAAACCTCTATTATGACAAGTACAGTTTGCGTCATAATAAACACACTCATTGACGAGAATTATATCTGAGAGCTACCACATGACTACTGAGCAAGATGTGGGGGGGTGGGGGGGGGGGTGACTTCATTAACTCCAAACCTTACTTGACAATGAATTTCGTATAGTTTACTCGTGTTTATTATGGTAAAAAGCAAAGTGAAACAAACATCAAGTTGCACTTCTTCATCATGACTGAAAGAACAGAAGCAAAGACACAAAGAACAAACTTTGAACAAAACAAAAAGAACAAAAGTTTAGATGGCAGAGATCGTATAAAAAGTAGTCATACATATTCTGTAATTATGCGTTTGTTACATGGGGCTGCGTTTGGCACATAATCAAATACTTTTGTCAGCCTGGGCTTTAGATTGGACTTACCAACTATAAAGTTAATTCAATAGAGTTTAGCTTACTCCTTGAGAATCCTTGACAAAGTAGCTGCCACTGGACCCCTGGTAGATCCTCTCTGGGTAGATGCCCTCTTCTATGGCTCTCTCGGCCTTTCGGATGATTTCCCTAAACTCGGGATCTTCCGGGAACTCGTTGTGGTGCGGATCCCTCGGAGAACCCCCTCTATCCCGGTCGAGCAGCGGCTGTCTTTCCCGACTGCGCCCAGGACTTCCCGCCGGGATCCGGACCACGGAGCCCGGGGTCCCTGCCAGTGTTCCCCGCGGGGTAGTGTGTTCAGGAGGACCGTAGTATTCTCCAGAGTCTCGCAGCGGAGAGACGAGAGGGCTCGTCTCGTCCATGTTTGGGACTGACTCCAGACGTGGGCAAAGAAATTAAACTGGTATAATAAGGACAAAACGGATAAACACAGAAATTGGTTGTTGTTTTGTGGCTAAGGCGCTAGCTAACAAGGAAAACTAAATCACCTGACTCTCAGCTTCCGGGATGGGGCGGGGCAAGATGATTGTGTTCGTTTTTTTTAACCAATCAGCGCTGAGAATTTCAGTAAATATTCTTATCTTAAATATATGATTGGTCATATTTGTGTAGACGTAAAGAAGACACGTGAGGGCCTCATCAAGTCAACAAAGTTTATTGATTGATGTGCAGAATATTTGTCGAGAAAAATTGGACAATTCATAACTGTAGTCGGGAATCTTTTAGATAAGAGAGCCAAACATTTCTCATACTTTATAATCTGTTCAGTGGGGACCATATACATTATTTTTCTTATCTGTGAATATGTGTGATTATTATTATTTTTTAAACAAGAGCAATATATTGAGACTGTAATATTGGTCTCAGAATGTATTGTTTTTGAAGGTTTTATACTGAAGAAATCCAATACATACAATTGTGGAACAATCTTCATATCAATGGTTCCTGACCTCTGCTTTGTTTTATCCTACCTCTGGACACTTTTCGATAATCTACGATGTTAAATGGCTACTGTGTGAATTTACATATTAGAATTTTATGAAGATTTTTACTTTTTATGCATACCCTTGTATCTATTGGCAAAGAAATATTCTGATACTGAGAATAGATACTGTTTTAATGATACAGTAATATTGATAAGGATATGACAAAGGTAACTAAATTGTCCGTTATAAAGGGAAAGTAGAATTTAAACAAAATGAAATGGACACATAATTGTTTTTGGCGCATTCTTGATTAATGTGACTTAAACACTATTAACTCTATAAACAATTAAAAAAAAAGTTTGGTAAGTTTTGTGTGTGCGTGCTTGTATTTTTGTTACATCTCAGTTCCTCATTCTGTACATACAAGCCTGGCGTATTTTGTCTATGTATCTCTCTTTTATTGATTAAAGATATCCATAGATAGATTGGGTCTTTGAACTCACTACCTTTCAGATTGACAGAAAATATTGAGCATGGCTGTACCTCTTGTGTGACAATTTATGGAAACAGATATTATAGTCTTCCAGATTGGCTCTTTATTCATCTATGAAACATAGATCTATGACACTGCTGCACAATAACCAGCATTTGAAAATAAAATATGTGCTTTCTGTAACAAGGCTTGAATCTCTACAAACATAGCCATAGCCTACCATGGCTCTATTATAATATCGCCTACTCATATGCCTCCTACTTGACCTGGTAGAAGGTCTTCTCGATTTGAGTGTTGTTCTTTGGCTCTGATCTTCAACAGAATGTTCTCATAAATACTGTGCAATGATGTGAAAAAAAAAAAAAGTGTTTTCCAAGGTTGACCATGCATTGAGAATTTTTTGAAGAAAATTGACAATCATGACCTTGATTGACTTAATTGAAAAAATACATGATGCAGCACCTTTCTTATGACAAATTAATTAATTGAACGCCAGTGGCAGTGATTGAAGTTTTGTTCCCATCTCTCCTCTTGCCCCGCCCATTCTCACACAGCTGCTCTGTGATTGGCTGAATCTGTGCACACCGAGCAGGAAGAGACTAGTAATCTGTCTCTCAAATTCATGTCCCTACGAATCATTTTGACTCGATTTAATCTCCACAGTTTCATCTCTGTGCCGTGGGAGTTTCGGCAACGCCAGAACAAATCTTTAACGTGCGCGTCCTTGTTCCAAAACAGACGTTTCTGTCACAATTTCTGGAAGTGCAGCGCAGAGGTCATTGGTGAGAGGATGGCCGCGTACAAACTGGTCCTGATCCGACACGGAGAGAGCTGCTGGAATCAGGAAAACCGCTTCTGCGGATGGTTCGACGCAGATCTGAGTGAGACGGGTGAAAAAGAGGCCAGGAGAGGAGGTCAGGCTCTAAAAGGTACGCAGGAAAATGAACCTATGTTTACAGGCTGTCATGACCATGGATCTATTCACAAGACCCATGACAAGATAAGTAGAGTAATCTGGGAAATACCTTTAAAGCTGCGCTACTTAACGTTCAAATAATCAAATGCAATAGTCTGTATAATTAGGCGTCCACTAATTCACATAAATAAAAGTGTTGACCTCTTTCACATCATATTTGTCTGATTTGTCCACAAAAATGCTACCAGCTGACTTTTATCAGACGCACCGTGGTGGGACTAATAAAAGTATCAAATTATGAGTTAAATATATTGTTTTGACTTTTATTGACTTCAAAAACTCAACAAATAAATATAATAGGTATGAATATTTAAATTATAAGTGCAAAGAATATAATTTATTAGCACAAGTCAAGCGCTAACCTCTGCACCACCATGTCCTGTTCACTCCTACAGATGCTGGCTATGAGTTTGACATTTGCTACACCTCGGTCTTGAAGAGAGCCGTTCGCACTCTGTGGCTGGTCCTTGATGGCATTGACCAGATGTGGCTACCTGTTCACCGGACCTGGCGTCTCAATGAGCGTCATTATGGCGGTCTAACTGGGCTGAACAAGGCTGAGACAGCAGCAAAACACGGAGAGGCCCAGGTTAAGATCTGGAGACGCTCTTTTGACATTCCCCCTCCGCCCATGGATGAAACGCATGACCATTACCAGAACATCAGCAAGGTGGTGCTTAGTTAAAGCCATAAAATAGCTTCAGTGTCATTTGTCTGATGTCTGAATTTGCTGATAGGATCGCCGGTATGCTGACCTGACTGAAGATCAGCTTCCAACATGTGAAAGTCTAAAAGACACCATTGCCCGAGCGCTGCCCTTTTGGAACGAAGAGATTGTACCGCAAATTAAAGAAGGGAAAAGAGTGCTAATCGCAGCCCATGGCAATAGTCTTCGAGGTATCGTCAAACATCTTGAAGGTTTGTCCATATATGTATTACAAACATTTAAACGACTGTAATAATTTAGTTATAAAATCTGTATACCCATTTTAATTGGCTTGTTTCTTGTTTTTCTTGCTAGACATGTCAGAGGAAGCCATCATGGAGTTGAATCTGCCGACTGGTATTCCCATTGTGTATGAGCTCGATAAAAACCTGAAGCCTTTGGGACCCATGCAGTTTCTGGGAGATAAGGAGACAGTTAAGAAGGCTATGGAGGCTGTGGCTGCTCAGGGAAAAGCAAAGAAATAGACAAGCTATTGCAATCAAGGCTTTTTAACCATTTAAACAAAATCAAAACTCCTGCATAATTGGGTAAACAGATGTGCTCACACACCAACATACAAACTAAAAATTACTGCAGAAGTTTAGTAATGTCAAAAATAAGCCTAGGAAACTATTGTATAATCAAATAAATCTAAACCACTTACTGCCTATATGTAAAGTCTGTCAAATAACTCAATGATTGATATGAAATTATACAGTACAATTTCATATCAATTGTTATGATATGAAAAGCCCCGTACAATGGGGCTTTGTTTTGACTCTTTCACTATTCTGTTACACAGTTTGGGGTTTATTTTCCCATATTTTGGAGGCCCCTGACTGAAAACATTTAGGACATTTCAAGTTTTAAAGTGGGTAACACTCATCAGTGGGTTTCCTTCCAATACGAGCCTGGGCCTTTCTGTGCGGCGTCTGTATGTTTATCCCCACCCCCACAATGTAAAACATGTACCATAGGAAAAATTCGGGTGGTCACTTGGGTGCTGCACTGCAACGACCACTGCTCCTGACAGGTTGCCCTTGAGTTATTGGGTGAAATGCTTTTCGTAAAAAATATTTATTTTTAATTTAGTGGATTGCAGTGATGTTTTAATTGTATGATTTTAATGTTTCCTTTATAGTTTTGTGAATTACTTGATTTGCCCAGTGTATGAATTGTGCTCTATGAATAAACTTGTCTTGTTTGAATACCAATTGTTATTGAATCAGAAAATCTTTTAGTCCATTTGTGGATCCAAGACGTGCGCATTAAAGAAGGTTTACCCGGAAAAGTCATAGTGCAATTTAGGATCAGAGCTAACTTTATGAATAGTAGAAAGTTAAATTTGGTTTTGCCCTTACCAAATATGGCTAGCAGTCATCACGTGTGCCCTTTCTTGGTTGTCCAATCAGCGCTCAGCCCTGTCTTACGTCACAACCAATCGCCCAACACCCTTCTCTTCTCGAAAACATGTCGCCCATGAAGCTGTGTGTTCCAGGTAAGCACCACATATTTCATGTTAAAATCTCCTTAAAAGTCTTCTGCTATGTACACAAACTTATATTTTGGTTTGTGAACATTAATCTAACGTGTAATGAGTTTGGATACTCTGAGTAATACTTGAGAATGATTACAATTGCTGTTAATCATGTCCGTCTGCCAGCATGGTGTGTGCAATATACATGTCTTTGGAAAAATGTGTATTAAATGTAAAGCACGTACACGCTATAGTAACGTTATGGGGAAATGCACGGGAGTCTGTCTTATGGGGGCTTTTTAAAAAATAAAGTTAATTTTATGTTTGCATGCTTGCGAGCTTTTACTTTCTAATGTGCCCTGCCCATCGCCGAGGGCAGGACAGCAGAATTCCTATCTTGTTTGACTCTTTACTCTCCCAGAAACTAAGTTATGTCATTATTATCATATGCTGTGGTAGTTAGAATGTCAGAACATCTCAGCGTTATCAACATAACAAAATAAAAGCTTTATCACTTAAAGTTGTTTTTTTTACTGATCTTTTATGGATAGACAAACTCAAGATTATACTTCGGGATTTGATTTCAAGTTCATTTGGCTATTTTAGAATTATTGTTTTTACACATCTGGCATGATATATGACCATGATCACTGTTTCCCTACTTTTGTTGCTATTCAATATTAACTGCTAAATACCCACCTGTAATGAACTGGCTTTGATTCCATAATATGTGTTTCATCAAATTTCTGTTTTTCTCCAGGTGACAAGCTATGCAGCCATGAAGACTGTATTCCTGGCACAGGAGTGTATCTGCGGCATGGATACATCTACTCTGCACTAGCAGGCTATGTGCTCAGAAAAAACGAGGGAGAGGAGGTTAGGGGTGTGTCAGGCATTGAAAGCATGTCTTAAGCTGTCAACCTTGCATAGTAATGCAGTTGCGCAATGATACCACAGCCTGTCAGCTGAAATACATGCTATATTTGTGTTTTTAAATGAGTGTAGTGGTTGTGTTTGAACTGGTCGCCTATTCAAAGTTAATGTCTTTGTTTTCAGTTGCCGGTGATATCTGTAGTGAGGGAAACTGAAACACAGCTGTTGCCAGATGTAGGGGCAATAGTCACCTGTAAGGTACGTTAGCCAATAGTTGTTTTGAACAGTGCATGTTAATGCCTTCGAACCATTTTCTTTCAATACCTTCCATCTATAATGTCAGGTAACCAGCATCAACCCGAGGTTTGCAAAGGTCCACATTCTTTATGTAGGCTCCACACCGTTAAAAGACCGCTTCAGAGGAACAATCAGGTAACATTAAAGCACACACCAATGTCGTTGCTGATTTATAAACTTAATCTACTTCACAGGAAAGAAGATGTGCGTGCAACTGAAAAAGACAAGGTGAATATGAAGCTTAACTTTAGATCACTCAGCACTTTCAACGGAATTTTAATTATCGTCTGTAAACCCATAGGTTGAAACCTACAAAAGCTTCAGACCTGGTGACATTGTTCTTGCCAAAGTGGTATCCTTTACTTCTGCTGTGAAACCTGCTCAACTTACTTTTGTTGTTGTTTTAGGTTTGTTTTAAGTTAGCAATGACATGAACCTTGACACTTCCCTTAGATTTCTCTGGGTGATGTGCAGTCAAACTACTTGTTGACGACTGCAGAGAATGAACTTGGAGTAGTAGTGGCCCACAGTGAAGCAGGTCGTTTCACTTCGTCTGTTTTGGTTACTTACAGTATATAATGCATGTCTACATAGGAAGTTGTATAGTTTTCAATACACTTAATTCAGACATGCAGGCTTAATGTGCTTATTGATTACGGCCCTGGCTCCAAATATTATCTGTAATATTAAGAAACATTAATAATGCACACTCATTTTATATTATAAAAAAAAAATGGCTATCACCTCACAGTGATACAATTATACCCTAAATAATTATTATTCCAAGTTGAAATTTGATGACGTTTCCCAACTTTACTGGCCCTGGCTCGCCCCTAGCTTGTTATCGACTCAAAGGAGCCGTGGGTCACAGAAGGATAATGTGAGGTTATTAGATTGAAATACAAAATGTTACTTAACATGATTAAATATCATACTTATGAGATTAAAATGCCATTCTGATATATAGTACTTGATTGTTTTTTTCAGGAGCCCAGATGATCCCCATCAGCTGGTGTGAGATGCAGTGCCCTCAAACACACGCTAAAGAGTTTCGAAAGGTGGCCCGAGTGCAGCCAGAGTATCTTGAAGCTTGAAAGACATCGGCTTCACAAGGAACACACAGCTTCCCTCCTCCATTCCCTTGGCGTCATGATACTTTACCAATCATTCCTGATGCCTTCTAAGAGAAAAAGCTTGTACAGTATAATGTTGGCTACTTGTGATGTCTCATCTCTTGTTTGTTGTATAACATGTTTTGGTATTGAGAACAAACTGAAGCTTTATCACAAAAAGTAAACAAATGATGTTGCCACTTGGGGAAATGCCTGAGACATCCAAACACATTACTGTGGAGCTGCTGAATGGATTCATAAGGGCACAAATATTGTGAGCCCTGCATCTACAGTGCCAGCACTATTGATATGGTGTCTTAACTGCATTTGAGGTAGCTAGAACATTGACTCTCTACCACAAAGATAGATGTCAGATTGGCCTGGAATATTGAAGTTTTAGAAAAGATAGTCTATAATTTCAGTTGTTCAGAAGTTATTTTACTGCAAAGTTTAAGAGTGCTATGTGAATGAATAAAGTGACTCAAGTGTTGTTACATTATTACAGGTGCTGTTGGATGTAATTAGTTGCAAATACTTTGTAAGAGTTGGCTCATAACTATTGTATCAATCTAAAACAATTGTTTTAATAAAAGCACATTACAGTGTAATTCATTATGTAACAATACTGTAAAAAAAAAAAAAAGCCACATGACTCATACTTAACGATAAGTTCATCACTGACCAATGTGGATTCACCTTCATCCTTAGCATCATGGGGGTTCACAATATTACTTTGCATTCTTGATTTAATCATTGCTGCTGTAAGCTTTACCTCACGCTAAATGCTGGTTATACTTCTGTGTCCAACATAAGGGCATACAGAGCAGTTTTATAACAAATACATTGCTTGTAAGACATTAATAAAATGATTGTAGCATCTTTTTACAAAAAATATTCAACCCTTGCGCTGCTATTTCTCATTTGAGAAAACAGATTACAATCAATGTTCCTAGTCATCAAAACGGATGGAACGTGTTGCATTTGCATCAATAGAAAACTTTTTAGTGGAGGGCGCTGTAAAACCAAGGCCAGCTCCTTTATTACTGAAGTCCATGCGCCTCGAGTGGGCACGCTCAAACTCTCCCATGAGTCCTTGCTGAAGCTGCTGCTGTGCGTTTTTTCCCAGAGCCATGTTCCCAGCTGCACCACTCACAGAGGCGGGCTCCACTCCCTTTTTAAAACCTCCCATTAAACGGAGAAACTTCTGCTGTTGCTCTGAGCTCCCAAACTCCACCGTGCTCCACTGCCCCAAACCCTACAAAAGTGTAAAGCACAAAGGCAAACGTCACGCTCATGTTAATGTTTATTGTGCACTGCAATTTTCTTTTTATTTGTGAGGAAAACAACGTGCCGATGGTTTTGCGGGCGGCGTTGGCTGAGATTCACGCTCCATTTCCATCTGCAAGGGCTTTCTTCTTTTCTGTAAAATGTTATTGAAAAACATGCGTCAAGTTACTCTTAAAATACTTTGATTTGCATTTACCTTGTGGACTTTTTCCTCATCGCCAACCTTTTCTGGAACCTCCACATGTGGGGAAGTCTGTGAAACAATAACAACTATAATTTTTCTTGCTTTTAAATACCACTTAAGCTTATGTCTGTATGTACCTCATTGTCCACGGGCTCTTTTTTCAGCTTTTTCTTTTTCTTATTTGTGGGATCATTCACCTCAACTTCAGTCTTTATCTTTTTGGAGGTTTTCTTTTTACTTTTTGTAGTGTCATCTCCACAGTCAACCACTGAATGTACGTCACCTTCTTCAGACGTTTTTCTCTTTTTCTTTTTTGGTTCCAGACTTTCTTGTGGAAACTTAACTAGTTCTGAATCTGTTTCAGTTTTGGATTTGTTTTGCTTTTTCTTCTTGGCTTTAATTGGTTCTACCTTTTCCACTTCTTCCACTTCCTCTTTTAAACAATCTTCTGCAATATCTTTTTTGTCAGTTCTCTTTTTTTTTACTTTTCTATTTTCGATCTGACTCTCAGAAGACTCCAATTGGACGCAATTTTGTTCCATCGTTGATTTATTCTTTGACTTTTTTGTTTTCACTGTTGCAACAGAAATGTCCTCTTCAGCAACCTGCTTTTCCTTCTTTTTACTTTTCTTATCCTTCTTTGAAATATTTTCTTGATCTGCATTTTTTTCAACATCCATCTCAGTTTTTAGAGACTTTATTTTAGTTCCATGTTTCTTTTTGTTCACTTGCTCATCTACAAGTACATTTTCTGCAGAATCAGTCAGGTCATTTTTCTTTCGCTGCTTCTTTGTAGAGACTTCAACATCTGTGTCTGTAGAAACTTGGGTCAATTTTCTTTTCTTTTTTTTCTTTTTAAGGTCCTGGTTGTCAGACAATTCAACTGTCTTTCTTTCCACCTTGACCATCGTCTCCGTTTCAACCTCAACAGTGCTTTTCTGTTTTTTAACCTTCTTTGCTGTGATGGTCATGCTTCTCTTGAGTTAATTATTTCCTCCAATCGTTTTACTGAAACAAATCTCAGACGTTTCTGTTGATAAATAACATTAAAAAAATAGGGTTAAAACATGTTTGTGAAAACCATTTGATCTATAGAATACAGTGCAACCTGTCTTGTAAGTAAACTTTTTGTTTTTTATGACAATAATCCATGTTTAAAGTTTAACAGTTGAATCAGCAACCTTTCCCTACAGCAGCCAGGAAAACAGAACTGAATTGATAAATGTGTTGTAAAACGGCTATGAGCATTGGGACTAAAACACAGTATAATTTAGTTTAGTAAACTCATAGATAAAGTGTGCGTTATCAACCCAAAACGCAGCTTCAAAAATCAGGTTCAAACCCACTGTTTAACTGTAATGCCTCTTCAAGACTTATATATAGTCTACATAAAGTTAATATTTATAAAAGTGTCAATAGTAGCAAAGTACTATATAGTGATCATAGCACTTTGAATCACTTCATCGTAGGAATTTGGATATGTGTTCTACAAACAACTTTTCGTGGACAAAGATCTCTAGTGGTGTTTTCTTGATTCTGTGGTCTGTGGGCATATCTTTATAGCTGGTTAGCCCATTATCTGTAGCGTTAGCTAACTAAATATTACGCTAGCCAGTCGTGTAGCGTCAGCGGTAAAACAATCTTACAAAACATGAATGGACCGATAACAATACGAAGACGCACCAGCTGAACATGTGGAAATAAAACCTCTCATGATATGAGAATGCTTACTTTGAAGGCTTCTTTGAAAAGTCCTCACATGTTGGAGCCTCGTTCAATTAACCCGGAAGCAGACCCCGCTTTACCACGTGGTTATATTGCATGACGTCATTGGCAACAGCCGTATACCCATACCATAACCCATACGGCCATTTAATACAATGTTTTGGTAGGTTTTCTAGGGCTCTGAATCTTATTATTTAAAATGTTGTTGAGGGAATATTGTCAGTGGTAGATCTCATTAAATAATAGAATAACATGTTGTTTTGTACATATTTTTTTGTGAATTTGCGTTATTGCAGCCTTTTCTATTTTCCAAATTAGGCCATTAAAATGGTGATATAATTCCAATTTCAGACAGTGCACTCAAGGCAGCCTGAGTTAAGCATAGTGATATGTTGAGGCGAGTTGGAAGCAAATATCCTCATACATGGGACTGAAAAGAGAAACGTGTGGGAAAAGCGGTGAAAATCTTTGAATTCCTTTGATGCCTTTACACACAAAAATATATTGTTACTGTGCCATAAGCACTGGCTTTTTAGATGAACATTTCAAATCAAAGTTATCAATATTAAACAAAATCAGTGATGTACAGCTCAAGATAGACAATAGATCACAACACACGCATTCATCGGAGGCTTGGACCTTTATTTAATAGTTTAAGGGTTTGCACAACACAGATACAGATGTAAACTTGTCTGGTTTGTGCTATCAAAATATTGCCTGTTAGTTTTTGGTGACATAAGACATTGACATTTTGGTGTAAGATTGGTACCACCAGATCAGGAGGTGGTTGTGGACCATCAACAAAAATGCCTAAATCACAATGTGCAAACACATGTAAAGCTGCCATTTAACAGTAACCATTGAATACTGTAGATATTATACTTTGATTAAAAAAGCATTATCACATGTACAAAAATGCAATAATTAATTAAAAGCACTAACATGTGAATACACCATTCAACTAAAACATACTGAAACACTACAGGATCTTGTTTTATAGAAGTCGTTACTTCAGTTCAATAGTTCACCGTTACAAACATATTGAATAAAACATTTTTTTTTTTCCCCTCCAATTTAAATGTTTTTCAAGCAAAGATGTGGGCTAAATGACTCAAAGCTTTGTGTATATGTGTAAATTGTATAGCACAATTCTTGTCAATGACAAGAGTTTGTAAACATTTAAAATAAGACGTATTTCTGTACATTTACAAAGTTACTGAAAATACAATTTGACAACTACATCACTCATTTCATGCAATTTAGGTGACTTGTATAAAGCACTCACGAGGATAGTAGATAAAGTGCAACATCACACTGTCGTGTTTGCAGTGCACTAATAGATGGCTTTTTGCTTTACCCCCAAAGCTGAATCACATTGTAATAGAGATATTACATTGTTGGTTGCGTTGGTAACGATTTTAAGAGTAAAGTTTGTAAACAAAGACGATTGGCTTAAAATGCATTTGCAGACTAATTTATGATAGTGTCAAAATGTGTAACTTTTTCGCAGCTACTTTGACAAGAAGTCTACAGCAGCCACATTGTACTTGGCTCTATCAGGCAAAATGGCTTTATATGACTACATTCAAATACTTACGGTATTTTGTCTCTCTGCTGCAGTATTACCTAAAGACAAACTTGTACAGTACATAAAATGTACCTTACCTATCAAGACCCATTTTCAAATTTTCCGGTTTTTCAATATTTGTGTGACATGCACAAACAAACATGTCCAATCCATTGAAAAGATTCTCTCTGTGTTTAGTTTCCCATTCTTGGCAAATTG